TCCTTTTATTTGGGTAGAAAACTTCATGGCTATTCGTTGCATAAACTCGAAATATGCTGTACAATTAACTGTTTCCAACGCAACCTTTTCGCAATTTGCGATTTTGTTTCAACATTATTTTTTATACTAACCTAAATTCACAACTGCATTGACTTTTCTTAAATTTAAACATCACATTTTAATACAAGTTCTAGGCAATACCATCTCGTTTAACCTTGATCTTTAACTTTTTCGACGAAAGGATGTGGCTACGATGCTCGCTACTGGAAAAATACTATGATGAACATGTTGCATTCAATAGTGTCATGTAATATACTATATATTTTATTTACAAAAGAAAAGTGTGTTTAACATTTAACTATTGCCATAACACATATTTTGATTATATGCGGAATGGTTGTTCTGTTATAAATAATTGTCATACAATGTGTCTCGAAATATTTAACTTCTAGCGTTACCACTACTTTCGTTTATGACGTGAAAAAGATATTGCTCATTAATTAATTTTGGTATTTTTATCATTATTTTGTTAACTTTATAGTCAATCAAAAAAGTTAACATTTTACTTGCACGTAGTTTAAAGGACTAAATGCTTTTTAAACTGATAAAAATAATAAACCTCATCCCGAACATGAATAGGTCTTATCCAAACTAATCTAGAGCAGTTAATTTAGTCCAAATACATGATCTCTATCGTCAATCCTCAAGGATTTAATAGATATTAAGTCCCTCATAGGCTTCTATTAATCAATGAAATTAGGAAACACTAGTTCGCCCTCGCCTCCGAGCACGGCGAGACCCACACAACGCGTACACAAGGTACACCCGCGTTCCGGGCGGTTCTCACCGCTCCCAGCCACCGATTAGCTAAATGCACAGTCGACGGCCGTCAGGGTCTCGGTCCGAACCGCGACCTCGACGGCCCTTAGATGACACACCATAGTAGTTAAACGCACGCATGAGCACATGCGCGACCCTACCCATAGCGGAGGGTCCAAGCCCGTGGGTTCTGGCTAGCCCACCGGTTCCGCGTCCGATAAAGCTTTAATAGTCTAAGGACTGAAAGCAAAAACATCAGTTAATACAAGATACAAGATGAAATTAGGAAAAAAGAAGATTTGTCTTAATTGAAAATAACAAATCTTAATGCCTATTGGTCTCTGAATAAGACCAGACTAAACTTAATGCCAATAATAATCTCTGAGTAAGAGTATAAGGAACAGATATCATACTTGGATGCTGTCCCTAATATACTTTTTGCAAATACTTCGCAGCCGCGTGGAACATTGTCGTCCTTGAATTATACACTTTGAGGCGCTCGGACATGAATCTGGCACCGGGCACTATAAATTGAATAATGGCCTTCAATTTGTGCATCAATCACCCTCATTGAAAGTAAATTAGCAGTCTGGTCGCTCATGAAGTGTTTTTTCTTCGTCTGGAATGTTTGTCTTGGATGTTTTATTACTCTCATACTCTGACAGTTGATACAAACAAAGTTTGTTTTCGACCGATTTCAAAAGGAGGAGGTCGAGTCGACTGTATTTTTTTTGTTTCTTACCTCATAACTTTCGACTAGGTTGACCGATTTTGATGATTCTTTATTTATTTGAAAGCTGGTGCTTCCCATGTGGTCCCATAATCTCATTGGAATTGTAATTTGGGCTCCGGAGATACTTAGATAACTAATGAATATCAATTACAAACTGAATACAGAGCGAGATTTAAAGTCGGTTTCGTTTTTTGTTATTACGATTTCATAGGTATGGATGCAACATAATGTAGTGTTAGGCTTGGCTCAAGCAACCAATCAATTTATGGGAAAGAAGCAGTGGTTGAACTGATGAAAGTGCCTGATCACTTCCATGGACATACGAAATCAGGACGCTGCCAACATTTAAGACATATGACGAATTCAGCTACTGCGTGGCAGTGACCGCAAACCTTAAAGCAATGCACCACGTTCAATAAAAGGGCAAATGGTTCGAGTCCGAATTGCAGATCGCAACTCATGTAAGCCTATACTGCATGCAGCACACACAGTAAGCGAAATCATATTATGGCCCATAACGACCGCCGAAATTAGCCACACATCGCACGCGGCGTACTAATTGACGATTGCCAAGAGAAAGTCGAATACGTCTCAAGTGCCAACTGGCCTAGCATGAGCGTCAGGCTGTCTGTAAGCTTGCACACTGTCGAAGTATTTTGGCAAATACTAAATACCTGTGATATTTTACATGACGGATATTTTCTTGCGGTCGTTTAACGAACTTATGACATAAAATACAAATATAGATCTAAGGACAGTGTAAGGGTGATTGAAGTTTGTTTTCTTTTTATACTTAACCATGATTAAATTGATCTTGCACCAACTTTGTCTCAACAACTCATATGGACGATATAAAGAAATTTCGGTATTACGGAATGCATTTTTAACTTCACTATGTTTGTGCTTTATAAAATATAACATCAAAAACTAAAATGCACTAACAAACCATTCCGACTTTGTGATAGTCAACATAACGAATTACCAACCCGGCATAAACCTCTTACGAACGTTGCCCGCGTAATGTCCTTATCGTCCCAGGAAGGGAACGGGATATAGGTACGTTTGATCCACCGGTACCACTAGACAAACATAACACACATAACCAATAATTCGGCCACCCCTACGAGCCTGGCGAAACTAAAACAAGACGTACACGAGACATAACGGTGTTACAGGGGTCGGTTCTCACCGCCGCCAGCCACAGTCTGACCAATGGCCCGTAGCTGAAATACCTCCCGTTTAAGACAGCGCACGCATGAGCAGATTTTTTTTTGCGAAAAGTTGTCAAGCGAGCAGACGGTTCACCTGATGTTAAGTGAATACCGCCGCCTATACACATGTGCTACACCCGAGGGTTGCAGATGCGTTGACAACCTTTTGAAAATTGGTCTCCGGCCACCACACTTAACATCAGGTGAAACACGGAAGTATTATACTTGCACTTTACGCCAGTCTTCTGTGAGGTCGTGGTACTTACCCAGACGAGCCTGCCCATTCATGCAACAGCCGATGCTGCTGCGTGGCCCTACCACCTAAACACACATGCGCGGCCCATCCCGACTCAGAGGGTCGTATCATGGTAGTGGGTTCTGGTTAAATCTGAATATTTGAATCGAGCGATCAATCGGTGGTGAAAATGTCATGATCTGATGTTCATATTAATCTACGCATTTCAAGGTTCTTTTAAAAATATACCTTGTTTAAAGTTATACTCATATAACTGTCGACAAACACAATGCATTTGAACGCAAATGAGTTTTATACTAACAAGGATACTTTAAATATTATCGATAACTACTTACGGGAAACGACAAATAATGCAATGATTTCATTGTCATATAAGTTACGAACTAAAAAATCTCTGCAATCGCGCCTTACCGTGGAGGATCACAACCGGATATAAGCCTAGGTGGAACAGCGTGAAGGTTTTAGTCGGTCCGAGTGCAAAATAAACCGCTTAACAAAAAAAATATTTATTTCTTAAATTATATACGTTATACCAACATTGTTTAAAGAACAATAGTGGATTGCAAACTGTTCTAATCCCAGTGGTGTCAATCGTCTGACTCAATAATTATGTGTGGATCACACAAATATTTGTTCTGTGTGGTAATCAAACCCGCGACCCATAGCTCATAAGCCATCAATCATCAAATCTACTACCAACTATCTCAAGCTTATTCTAAATCGTGAGATATACTTTCGATTTTTTGTATAAAATAGTCATTGTTGATTTCGATATTGGTCACTAAAAAATGTAGCACATAACTATTTCTGAATACAAAAAAAAAAGAAGCGGTGCTATCTCTTGTAAATAAAGCCAAGCTACTTTAGCAATCATTAAATATGATGATGATAATTCTATGTTGATATGTTCATCATATAAACGCTGTGTAGAAAAAAACTAAACAGTAATTAGGTCGTTTGTTTACGGCCATGTACATAATTATTAAGTTACGTACATTAGTTCAATTAGTCCTTCATGAAGGAGTAAGTCTGCCTTTACAGCCTACGTAATGTTTTGTTATTCATACTATTCTTGGTGGTAACTGGTTAATATTACTGTGGGTACATTAACAGCCTACAGTTGTAAAGTGTTTGCAAAAATTAAAAGAAGTTTGCTAACAACATTTTACAAGTACAAGAAAAATCCTGTCTTGCTTCCAGAGCTTTGACCGGATTAGCAACAATCGAAAAAAAATAATTGATCATCTAAGCTTGTACAAATGTGAAGACTTCCAAGTTATATTGGTTTCGAGACGTTTCCAAATTGAGGACGGCAAAATTTTTCCATTGTTCGCTCGCTGAATCGTTATTATGTAATTCATTTAAATCATGCAAATCACATTTCGTCGGCGGTACTTTGAAATTTTGTGTTTCGCAAATTACAGCGAAAATCAGTAGGCAAGCACAAGCTTTTAGAATGACCTTTCAAACTATACTCATCAAACAGAACAGTTTATATTAAGTTAAAACGATAACAGTATATCTGTGTAGGTATGTTTCAGCCTAAAATACTAAAGCCTCAAACCCCCACAAGCTTTTTAATCCATTGATAATTAAAAATATAAAATATAATACCTTAAAAAGCTGCTTAAAAATTAAGGTATCACTTTTCATTTTCTGAAGTAAAAGAATTACCTTAATGAGATATGAACAAATGTAAGTCCCGTTAGTTGGGTTTAAAATGGTAGTATTATCATAAAGATATCATTTTTCTACATGTTTTAATGTTTTAAAGACATCATTATTTAAATATTTTCGTTGCGACAAAAGCTTTGTAAAACTTTTAACTAATACAGTTACATTATTTTAAGATTTGCAAATTGAATTTTCTTGGTTAATAATTCATGGTTAATATCTATAAAACAAAATGCCATTATTTAATAACTTAATAAAAAAAGGTTATTTTAATTAATTTGATTATAAATTTAAAATTGAAACTTACCCGGGTGGAATGTTTGAACGATGAGAATAAAAAACACAAGCAATAATGTCAACATTTTTCGACAAATACCAAATCATACACTCTCAACATGGAATTAAAATTCAGAACCGTTTGCATCGTGTAATCGTTTTTTCTTTAAAAAAAAAGAGGTAAAACTATGAATCAGCAATCACCACAGTGTTATACACACACAGTTAACCGAATAGAACTGTTGAAATTTTATTCACAATTAAAAAATAACAGTTACAATTCGATGTTTAAATGAGCGTCAACATTTCGTTTGAAAACGTATGGAATCATTAGAAGAACGAATCGGTTGCACGTCGACGCCACACGGCGGATAAACTCACGACTGAGGCGCGAATCGAGATGGCGCGAACCGCGAAGGGAAGTCTCGCTCGGTTGCGCATACAAACATGAAACTGTGACTCCCTCAATAATCCCAGGCGAAAGGCTTCTTCAACGTTCATTATGGCATTATTTAATGGCGCCTACGTTACATTTGTAAAAAGTTAATATAGCATTTATACAGTTTATATTTAGAACGCAGAATTCATATAGGTAAGTAAATGTTAGATATTATAGAGCACTGTTTGTTAAAGCGAAAGAGTAATAAATGAGAAGGGGACTCGACAATTTATCACAAGCACACAAGCAAAAAACCTCAATGGTTTTTATTTTAATACCTACGCAAAATTGGTTTAAAAACCACTCAACGGAACCGGTAGCACATACCAAGAGGTTTGTGAGAACTGTGTTTTGATACACTACTGCATTCGTTTTTACGCCTTCTACGCTTCTTCTTGTTCCGACCCTGATCCCGATATTTGAGGTCGGGCTTCCTTACTGTTTCTGCGCCAGACAAACGGTCTTGGGTTGTCGCGTCAGACGATTGGGCTTTCTTAAGGTATCTTGCAATACTGGACCACCAGGACTTGAATACTGGCAGATTCGTGCGACGTGATCTTCGCTACGTCTTTTAATGTGTCCATACCATCTTAGGCGATTTTCTCTTATTTTTTTCTGTTATTGGTGCAACTCTAAGGCTGCCACGTATACAAATGTTCATTATGGACTTTGTCAATCCAAGTTGTGACTCGCCTTGACAAAGATGCAATATTCATTTCTAAAAATGAAGCATCTTCATTTTGTTGGTATGAACCGTGCGCCTTCTTTGTTGTCCAACAATCTGCTAACCATAAAATAACGCGGGACGTCCAGTTTTATAGATTTTACTTAGTTTTGTTTTGTCTCTCTTACTTTTGTCTCTCTTACTCTACTTCTCACTTGTCTTGTGTACTTAGTTTATACGTGGGTCGCATAATACTCCTGTAAGTGATCGCTATTTCAGCTAAGTGGCACTGATTCTATGGGCCACGTCTGCATCTGCTGTAAACATAGATCCCAAGTATTTGATTTTTTCCACTGTGGGAATATGTGTTTACCCGACACAGATAGTTTCAGTTACCACGTTTCTGCTGAAAGGGCTCAAACGGGTTTTACTCAAACTCACTCTCAGGCCGTACTTTTCAAGAGGATTTGTCCACATATTTAGAGTTTCCTGCATATAGCTTGCGGTATCAGCAGCTAGAACAATGTCATCAGTCATCCGCGTATAGCATAGCCCATAGCAATTCAAATTCAACTCAAATTTAAATATTTGTATGTAGGTCTTTGTTATTCATTTTTCTACGCGCTCAAAAATATACCTTAGTTCAGCCGAACCATGAGCGACCATGGGAAATACCTCGCTGAACACGCGGAATGCGTCCGCTCGCTTCGAGCTTTAGGATTATGATTTGTAAAACGTCGTAAATCATTTCGTTGCTTGTAACCCTCCTCCAAGATAAAAATTTTTCCTCTTATTCAATAATTTCATGGTATTTTTGTCCTGCGTACCGCTTCAAAAAATCGCGGAATTTCTACAGCCTCAGGTACATTAAACGCGCATCCAAACGATGTCCTGTTTTTCTTCAATAACCTCGAACCGTTTCACGGCGGTTCTCCTCAATCCTACCTGAAGGGCCAAAAGTTTCTGCTTACGCATGGGATTGGTTTGGATTCGCGCCTTCACGGCATTTATCATTGCTGGAGTGTTAACAAAAAATTCAAAATAGCGCACAATTCAAAATTCGAATTCAATAATGGCCGGCATTCAATATTCGAAAGTTTTCATTATGAGACAAAACATAATTAAAAAGTAGCAAAAACTAGTTCTATAAAATACCATAGAACGTTTTGTAAAAAGACTGTTTTGGTCATATAAACGACCTATAAAAGAGAATTTTATTTTGAAGTGGCGTTGGCGTGGCTTTTATTGTTCAGTTTTAAAACGATTTAATAGCAGTGTCATACATCACAAATCAGTCCTATAAAATCTTTGTATCGATGACGCAGGTCTCAAAATTGTGATGTAGGTACTGGCAACTATAGCACATTTTATAGTACTTTTACATACTATACAAGAGTTTCATTCATTTACCTCACATTATTCTTTTATCAATCGTGACGATGCAAAGTGCAAAAACTTGTAAGGCACAGTCATCGTAGTTTCACTCTGAAATTATAGTTTCGTATGAGAATAACTCAATTATATTATTATATTTATTAAAATTATGACCTTTGCAATACTCATTCTGTACGGAACTATTGCCCAAGATTCTGTTCTTAACTTGATTTTAGGTGTTATTCTCGGTTAGATCTTTGATGTAAAAGTTGCTGCTCTATTCTTTAATTCATGATTTTAGTGCAGAAGCATGACAAACTTTTTCAAGTGTTGCAGGTGTCCATGGACGGCGATGATCACTTACCATAAGTTCGTGTCATAAAAAAACTTACATGAATCAAAATGCCTGGGTTCCCTTGTACAACTGAGATATAAATTCTTTTTTAGGATATGATTTCTATTTAAAAGCAAGATTTATCTACCTTTATGTAGCATTTTTGTGTTATTAAAGATTACACGGCTATAATACTAAAATGTGTGGTACAACTGTGTTTGACCACGCAACAGCGTTAAATGTTGCACGAATGGGCAGGTCCGTCCGGCTTAGTACCACGACCTCACAGAATACCGGCGTAAAGTAGAAGTGTTACACTTCTGCCTTTCGTCTGGTGAGTAAGGTAGCCGGGGCCCACTTTATTTAAAGATGGCAACACATTTGCCACCCTACAGGTGTTGTAAATGTCCATGGGGGGCGGTTATCACTTAACATTAGGTGAACCGCCAGCACGTTTTCAATTTCTCCCATTAAAAGAATATTTATTATAGGCACTCAAAACGTCATCATACCACTATTGACATGTCACTATTCATTGAAACTATAATAGTTCTGCAAAAATTAATATATTAGAGTTAAACTACATAAGTGTAATCTGAAACTAGGCTACATCACATACTTAATCACTCTATTGTAGTGTTTTTGTGACTTCAAACCAACTCTATAGTAATTGCCTGAGTATTCACAATAGCGTAATTTTGTTCTAAAGTTGAAAGTTTATCATTGCTAAAACAAAATAACTAGTTATAGTAATTTCTATGTAACCCTTTGTTATAAAGCCCATGTGCCTTTATTTATCTGATTAGTTATCACTAATCAAATAAATAAAGGCACATGGGAACATTTCAATAGAGTAATATCGTACTTTACAAATTATTATTTTTTTTTTTTTATGGAGAAAAGGGGCAAACTTGCTATTTCACTTTACTAAAGGTTGTATAAAATAGTATATACTTATACAAAATAGTATAAGGTGTATAAAATAGTAAAATAGTATTGTATAAAATAGAGTAAAAAATGTTTTATCGAATGATTTTATACAACACACTGTCGCCGTGAAAATCTTAATAAAATACTTATAAAGCTTTTTAGAGATATAAACTTACTTATAGGACTGTTTTGCTAGTTAGGCTAACCGACACCGCCACAAAATTGAGCCTATAAGATTATAACTTTTATGGCGACATTTCAAGCCCCATAGTCGTGATTTGGCCCTTAATCCATACTTCATACTTAATTTAACTAACTCATAGATATATCACGATTAAATACGCTACTTCAAACCCATTCATTTTCACTCGTCAGTTGAAGCCAATAATAAGAGAAGTTTTAAAAGAAAGCCACTCCAAAAGGTTTCTATCTCTTCCTCTTTATAAGGCATAATGCGTTTAGCGGCCTCATTGCGAATTGCCTGAACACACATTATTTTGGAAAATCGTATTCTCAGACATTCAAGTCTGACTTATCACGTAAAGTTAGCATTTACGTGCCAGGACTTGAACTTGCTGTTCGAGAACAGCGAACATCAAACCAATTACTAGAAACATTTTAAAATTAAACATAAACGCAACAAGTATACTATGATCAATTATGGTAATTGTTTACAATGCTGCGTGCATTTTTCGTATAAAAATATTTTTAATCGATAGAGAAATCTTACCAATAACACAGTTCACTGGCATAATAGGGATGGGCGATTAAAAATCATATGTATTTTCGCATGAGTAGGCATACATATTTTTAAACCATTTCAAAATACGCAAAATAGAATAGACATGAAGAAAACTAAACTAAGAAAATAAAGAAAAAAATACTTTTTTCCAGTTTTTAAAGTTAACGACGTGCGAGGAGCAGGCAAATAGTACCTGTATACATTAAACACGAAACCAGCTTGCATTAAAAATTTATCCAAATTGACAAAAATTCGATAGTCTGAAATAAATGTCGAATATCGATATATGGCGATAAATAATATCGACGATATATATTATATATCGATAATTGAGTGGAAAAATATCGATATTTAGATATCTCGATATTTTTTGCATAACCTACGGGCTACGACACTACGATTTTTTTAATTAACCAAATTGACAAAATGAAAGTTGACATATGCATATGCCATCTGGCAGATGGATTTTTTCTTTTGTTTTAGTTCATTAATTTAATTAATATGTTACTTTTGAATTAAACTGTCCAAAAATATATATCTACTGGCCTTTTATTTAAATATCGCAATACTTTTTATTTTACAAGATGTCTTTAAAAAGTACAATCAATGTTTTTATTAGTTGCTGCCTTAGCTCTTTTTTAATGGAAATATTAATAGCTAATTCACCGGAGAGTGCTAATTTCATAACTTTTTTACAATTCTTTTTTATATCTCTACAAGGTATCATATTTAGAAAATTTGATGTGGTAAGACAATTTTTGGCAAACTTTAAGGGGTATTTGCTTCATACTGCACATAATTCTTTAATATTTTCATACTTTGTGGTTGTTATTATTAAAAATAATTTTATAGCTGCATTTGAAATTAAAAGCATGACTTCAATAAGTCTTCTTTTACAAATGCATGTTTCCAGGCTATTGCTTATTTTATTTATTAAATTTAAAAATGATAATCATTCACCGCAGTAATTTCTGCCAGTTCTCTGTATTGGTCTTAATCAGAAGAAATGATATATCTAGACGTTTACAAATTTTTGAGGCAAGCTTGAATCGGATAAAAAAGTTTTGACTGATGGAAATCTTTTTAAGATCCAGTATGGCCCTGGTAGAAAAGACTAAAATGTGAAATACTCATTTATAGCACTCATTTACATAGTAGATATTTATAATGCAATTTTGTATGAATTTTCAGCTTAAACCAAAAATTCCATTTAAACAGTATTTTACACTGATTGCTTTGTTTTTTATAACAAGTGTGGCAAATAATTATGTTTATGTCTTGCATGTGCCTTCGACATTGCATATGATAATAAGGTAATTTTTTTGAGTTATTTTTTCTGTTCCACCATTCTTTTAGCTGTTTATTTTCAATAAATCATTTAATTAATACTGAATAAAAAGTTGTATTCCTGCTTTTTTGCTTCTACCTAAAACTTCTCAATTTTGTTAGATTAAAAGAACAGGTTTTTTTAAAGAAATTGATAATAATAAGTATCGTAACAAGCCTTTGTTAAATAAACCAATAAATTTAACCTTGAGTTTTGGAGCAGAAAAGGATAGGTTTGTATACATTTTGGCAACAATTATCGAAATTTTCTATGTTACTAGCTGACCTGGCAAACATTATTTTGCCATATGAATTATTTGTAGGGAAGAAAAAAATGTTTGGCATGGTCCACCCTTAACATTTAGGGGGATGAAAAATAGATATCCGATTCTCCACCCTGGTATCTCCTAGTCTCCATCCGATATGCACACAAAATTTCACGACAATCTGTCGAGCCGTTTAGGAGTTCAATTACAAACACCATCACACGAGAATTTTATATATTAGATTATTTCATTTTCACTGTGGGAAATTGGGTAATCTATTAGGCTACTCAATTGAAAAATCAATTCAATTTCTGGTTGATACATATATTACAATTATTCTCTGCATCAAAAATGGTTGCAAAAATTTTCACCACTAATATGATTTAAAAAAAATTATATTCTATAAAATTTTTATTTCTCTTAAAATAACTCAATTAAGACCGATTTGTCTTTAACAGATCAGCCTCATCACCAGCAAGTATGATGGTATCATGGTTTATAAAAAATCGTGTACCAAAATTTACTTCTGCCGTTGGATCTGTTCTTATTAGCATTGGTGTAGCTCTTGCAATGTATGGTGGAGCAACAATTGTGGACGATCGAGAAGGGAATTTCATTTATTGGTGTATTGGAGTCACAATACTGCTTTCCACATTATTTACAGGAGCCTTCACTGGGCTTCAACAGGAGATCCTTTATGCCAAGTATGGAAAACATCCAAATGAGGTATGTACAACATCTTATTCAATTTAACCTTTTTTACAAAAAGTAATATTAAAGAGAATTAATTTTTCAGATGCTGTTTTACACTCATATAATACCATTACCATTGTTTTTTGGCGTATACCCACAATTGCAGGCAACCGCTTTTACCTTATCAAGCTCTATTTGGTTTATGATCATTTTAAATATTGTATCTCAATTTTACTGTAGCCATTCCGTCCATGACTTAGCAACTAAGGAGAATTCTGTCACTGTTACATTCATGCTGACTTTAAGAAAGTTTGTATCTTTATTAATATCTAGTATAGTTTTTAAGAATAATTTAACAATTCTTCACATGATAGGAACAGTTTTAGTTGCAATAGGTACATGTGTTTATTTTGATTTCTTTAAAAGTAGAAAACAACAACCCGTAAGCTTAAAAGATAAGTAATAAAGACTGATGTTCTAAGACTTCCATATATAATAATTTCGTATATTTGATAAGTTTGAGACTTTAGGTAAAACCTACAAATATTTACAATTTTATTTAAATATACCTTTATTGAGGAAATGCATTTTTATTCTCGTTTACACTCCGTAATGTTTTTAGTATCTGTTATGGCCATAATAGTTTACAAACAACTATGTCTGTAAACTGAATTAGCGTTATAGTTCTTTAGCATTTTTAAGGTATATACCAGATCTTAATCACTAAAGTTAAAACAAAGAAAGCATCTTTTACCAATATGACAGCCTGTCTTTGTTTCAATCACCTTATGATTCTGTATGAACTTGTTATATTTTTGTTTACATGTTAGTAATATTTGACGTCCAATTTGAGTATTTATCTGTTTTTGTTTCATAATTATACAAACATTGACTGTAAAATGAGTGTTTATTTCTTTCAATTGTATTTAAATTATGTATTTTAAGGGCTGTGGGTTTGAACATTTATGAAAAAAATAATAATAAAGGAGATGTGTAAAGAACATATTTATTCTTGATAAATATGAATCCTAATTTATATTCCATTGTATACTAAAATATAAATTTTTAATCAATAGTGAAATGACTATCAATAAATCTTAACTATTTAAAAAAAAAAACAAATGTAGATGAAAGGAATATAACGAACATATTTTCTTAAAGGTTGACATAACGATTAAGTTTTTTCAAGAAGCGTAGACGTTATGTTAAATAACCTTGTACACATATCAAACTTTATGCATTAAGCTTTAGCATAATTATGTATTAATAATGTCTTGCATTTATCAAAATTATAAATGCATACTACAACACCTGACAAAATATGTAATTTAAGTATGCATGAAGGATAACGAAGCCTAGATTCATCAAAGAAAACAAGCTGTTAAATATTATTAATATGTATATTTAGTCATCTTAAAAGTTAACTTAAATTAAATTTGATTAGGTACAAACACACTACATTTTAAGTTGTGAAACTAATGACAACTTGCATAAAAATGCAAATGATAGCTACATTGAAACAATGTTTCTGAATTTTGCCAAAATATAATGCAACTATTGTAACATCCTAAGAATCACAAACACACACCATTTTCTCACTATGTTACAGTTTCTTAAGGTTCCTTTTGTTCAATTTCAATGGAAACAGCCTTTTTCAGTATCTGAAAATATTAACATTTGTCATTAAAATTGTGTAGAAATCATAAATTATATAATTCTTTATTAATTAAAATATATGTCGTCACTGTACTACATTAAGTAATTTTGCTTTTCTAGTGACGATACATATTTTTTGGTCAATTTGCTTAGTGCATTTATATTAACATGAGCTGCGAGTAAAATATAAATGTGCTCACGTCGATAACATTTTCTTTTTGAGTTAGTTCAGACAACTTGTACCATTGTTGATAGTTTCATATAATAAGTACAAGTGGGCCCCGTTTACGTCAGAAAGTGAAATACTTCCACTTCACTTGAGTCTTCTATGGCAGTGGTAGTACTTGCTGAAATGGGCCAGCCCACTTGTGCAGCATTAAAATCTGTTAGAATGTCCAATCACCTGTTCTTGCTGTCGGACCGGCTGCGGCGTTCGCGCGATCGCGACCTTCGCACGGACGGTGAGCGGCGGCGGACCGACGGTGACCTTCGGGGCGAGGCGGAGCGCCCGCGGGAGTACGAGCGCCTACGCGGACTGCGGCTTCGTGACCTACATATCGGGGACAGCTCATTTATTGACCACATTGACAGTTTCACTGCAAACTATAATATACAAATGTAAAAAAAAAAGAAACAAATCCTTCCGCTTTCTAATCTGATTAAAAACAACACTGATTATATAAAAGACAAGATTACTCTCAAAAACATCATCAATATCGAACTATTTGAGTTTAGTTTCGATTTGCATTTAGTATTTCTTTCCATAGGAACCTGTTTAAGCGAAAATTTAATTAGTTTTGTTCTCTTATAAATTCACTTAATATTGTCTAAAAATCGTTACACCAAACACCAACATTGCTTACTTTGTTCTAAATACAACATTTACAAGTTAAAAGGTAAGGCAGTGCTAAAGTATAGGATTTAAAAAGTACCGAAACTTGGTGAGCCTGCGAAGGTCGCCGAGCGTTGTGGGGCTGCTGTGAGGCCGAAGGGATTTTGAAAACCGAGGCGGAGACAAGTTTCAACATAATCTTCCATTGAATGGTGATGCTTTAACCGGAAGTTTGTTGAGAACAAATTGTTGAGACGGAGAGAGCTGATCGCCGTATAGGTGGTATTTCTAGCCGGTGCCTCGGTGACGACGTGTGTGTGCAGCGGTGAAGCGTCGGGAGTTGCAATGACATTCAGGACGGTTGTAGGTTCCTATGCTTTGTGGCTGGCTCATCAGCATCGCAGTTTTTTTATTTTTACTTTTCCAGGTATTTAATAGGTAAGGGATCAGGTTATGGCTGTTAAAAGGATAGATATAGGGACGCAGTTGTTGAAGACTTCAGCTGCGCGTAGAAGTTTGGAGAGCCGATCGCAGAAGTTGAGCGGTATGTTGTTGCGAGCGGCGTTCGCGGATGTCTTATTTGTAAACAAGCCGTAGTTGTGGTGAAGAGATGTGGTGAGGTCGTTGGTGTGTTGGTGGTTGGTTGATAAAATGGACCTGCAAACGTTCCAACACCCACCACATTAAATAACTCCTTTTAAAACAGCTTAAAGTACCAGCATTATTTTGGAAAAACCTATTTATAATACTTATTTTTCAAAAAAAATACAGCTATAATAAAGGCAGTTAAAATTTTAATTTTTCCTAAGGTTTACCGCTGAGTTTACTAGGAATAACTGTCTCAATTATACTACAATATTTACTAAATTAATACTTTTGAAACGTTGAGTTTTAGAATTTAGCAGAAGTCAAATGTCAATAAGTGGATAGCTTAAGGGAGTGTTAATATTTTCTCTTTTTCAAATAATTTAATGATTATACAATTAACTTTGTGAAGTCAGAGGATTTTACTGATCTTAATAAGCAGCAATTTGCACTGATTGGTATAAGCACTGCTAAATAATACAATTTATTATTTAGGCAGTATTATAATATTATGTGGCGTTATTAAAAGTGCTTACCTTGAGTACCTGCGTTCTCTTCTTGTTCGGCCATTTGACATTTCAACACGGATACGTGTTCCACAGCAGCGTCTAAAAAGAAAGTTTACACTTAAGATTGTCACATGGTAAATTTTTAGATTGGCCGATTAAAACTACTTTTATTGAGTACTGAAACTCAAATGTTCCCCATTCCGAGGCGAGTGCATGTAAAATTTACAAACACATTTCTGCCTTGGTATGGAGGTATCGTACTCTAGCACACTTATGACTCAAGCGCTTCACATTGAAAATGAAACGGATCTAAGGAGCGTGCATCTAGCAAAAAACCACTTAAAGATATTTATGACCGATCAATATTCTATCTCCAAAGTAACGGGGTCAAATGACATCAAAATGGCGGACCCGTTTCATATAACAGGAATTAAATTTTTTTCACTGGAGAAAACTACATCGTTAAGACAAGAACTGTAAAGATATCACTTACGTTCCGTCTAAACCTCTAACTGAATCTTCTGCGTCACGAGGATCTTCAAATTCAACAAATGCAAATCCTGGTGGATTTCTCGCAACCCACACGTTTCGGATGTTTCCATATTTAGAAAACACCTTTTCAATTTCATACTTAGAAGCATTTGTACCCAAATTACCTACATATACTTTGCAAGATAAATCCCATTCGCGATAACGCGACATCTGCAAGAAATAACAAAATTAACACTCGTATGCCGCCATATTAAATCGATAAGATGCAGGTACTGGTATTACAGTTTCCTCACGAATAAATTTAATCATTCACATTAATACCTTGCTTTCCGTAATGTTATTTAGAGTTTTATTAATAAATGCGAGTGGTTAATGGTTTGTATTATTCACTTTCTAGATATTTACCACGTTTTAAAAATAGTTTAAAAATTGCTGTTGGACTCGGCGACGTCAGCACTAATAACTTTGCACATACAAATAAAACGTGTTGGCAGTGTTGCCCTCAGCATTGTATATCATATTCCCACATACAATGCTACAATTCCCCATTTTAATACAAATAGAACCAAAAAGTTAAGTATCAGCCTATACACGTCCTACTGCTGGGCAAAGGCCTCCTCTGTACAGAAGATAACAGGGCATAGTGCACCACGCGGCCCCACTGCGGATTGGCGGACTTGACAATGTTCGAAATATTGTTTTTATTGTTATTTCGAAAATATGGAAACCTGCATATTTTGTTGTTCGTTGTTTGATGTTTTATTTTGTTGTTTGTTGTTTTGTTTGTTGTTTGGTTCCATGATGTTTTCTTTCACCGTTGAGCACGTGATAATTCAGTACTTGAAATTAACAATTTCATTGGTGCCGGCATCGGGGATCGAACTCAGGTTGCTCGAGTATATTGAACTAAAAGCAAGCACCCATACACTGAGCTATCACGGCTCCACTCTAATAAAACCACACATAACTAAATTTAAGATTTTTAGTTTAGGTATTTAATTTATTCCTGTTATACGTTTCAATCTTTGTTAAATTACTAAATATGCGTTCTACAGAAGCGTTAGAGAAGGGAAAGGACAACAATGTTATAATAACTACTATGCCATTCGTTGCCATTTGAAGACAAATTTTCTAATAGTCTAAAGAAACAGGTAATAGAGGTTAATTATAATAAATAGAGGGTGTATTTATTAATAATGTGCAAGATGAGCAGGAAGTATAAATATTTTAAAATAAGATTTTGATAACAAATCTTTATATTCAAATAACTAAATTATGAAATACTTTTTCCAGAACCAATAATATTTCTCCGTTAATTCCCCACCATTCCCCTTCTTTATTCTTGTCTTCCCCAATTATTTTCTGTTCAATTTTATGTTTTTCTCCAATTTATCCCCACATAATTATAAAATTTCTCACGTTTTAGGGAATTCTCCACGAATTGGCAGCACTTTGTGTTGAATACTTAGTGTTGCCAATAGTATCTCACTATAAAAATAAAAATAAAAGTTCGACATTTTTATGGTATGTACTGTTTTTTTTTAAATTTTTTAAATGCATGCTGTTTGATGTCCAAGTTTTAACAAAATGTACCTAAATATAAATAGTGAAATATTTACCTATGCTATTTTTGCATTATAGTGACCTTCACAGCTAAATCTTTCCCTGCTAATAATATTTCTTATCTATTTGACCATGGGCTTTGGTGACTTTGACTTGTCTACATAGATTGTCTATGTTGTATTGTATTATATTTTGTCATTCATTCGCATTCATTGTTGTTTGCCAAACAGCTGATGGCCTTTTTGTGAATAGAAATTATTTTTAGTTATAACTATTGTTAAATAAATAAATGAACTTTAGTAAACATGGATGTTGTAGGCCTTTTAAATAATATAAACGATAAGTCAGATATGTTTGCGGTGAAAACATGGACTGCAGAATGGTCGAATAATTTTCAAGAGAACCAAGTAAGTGCTTTTATTGATTTTTATCTGACCCCTGAACAAGAACAGTATTATAAGCGATTGTTTAAGCTATTATTCATCTATAAGTTAGAGTCATGAAAGAATCGGCTTCCTGTGTTAGGTAACTATCGGTTTTAATTATAGAAATCTACATCCTTGAAGATTATCAGCAAATCGAAATTCATTAACGCAATATTATAGCACAATTTGAAAACATTATTTATAATTTTGAATAGTAAACTATTTTTATTAAATTGACAATTGATATTGTTTGTTACATCAAAATAATTGATATTATTATGAATAGCATTATGAAAATTAAGGAATTATAAATACATATGAACAATGTTTATTACAAATTTAATAGAGATCTCTGTAGGTCTTTGCCCGATAATGTAAGAAATTCAACAAATAAGGCCTCGAAACACTGGTCTGTGAACACTTGTTGAAGACAACAATTACTCAAGGTATAAGCCATTTTTATCGAAACCTATAAGTTTTTTATCATTTATTATTATATAATTAATATATATTTTTGTATAATCTCAAGTGCTAAATTTTATATATTTCTTATATTTATATGCATATATCTTCTTTTTATTTTCTTTCTGTAAAAACATTTTGTAAGTTTTGCATCCCTTGCAGCTCTTACCATAAGCTCTCACTATATCCTTTTTTATTTAAGGTTAGCAACGAAGCATGAATAAACAATAATAGTGTTGCATTGTTGATTAAAACCCCTTGTTTTAAATATTTATTATAGAGATAATCAATGATTTCTTCATTTAATAATAAAATCAAATGTGTCAATAAAGTGTAATTTGTTTTATAAACAATTTAACTTTTAAGAATTGTATTGTGAAAAAGAATTAAGGTTGAATTTGTTCCATTATGGTGTACGCAATTTTCGTAATGATTCGGTTTCGGTCAAAACTGGAACCAAAGCCGAATTTCGTAATGGTATTGAATGGCGGATTTCACATATCTTCGAAATATTTTTATTAGTATTTAGAAATTATGCAGGCTTTGTCACGAGGTTTTCCTACACCGTAGAGTACGTGATAAGTGAGCACTCAAATTAACAATTACATTGGTGCCGGCACCGGGATTTGAACCGAGCTTTACTTTAACAATGGTGTATTTTGATTCTATTCAAGTATTATTTACATCAAAAACATTAAATTGTGGTACGTAGGCAATTTTAATAATTTTTTTTATTGCAGTGTCATAAACAAGAGTGCCCGTGACGAAAGTTTAGAAGAAATTGTTTTATTGAGATTGAAATTTTTATTTTTTTTTGTACATAAATATTATAGATAAAAACAATTTTGTTTAGTATGCGTTCTCTTCATGTCAACTTCAGACTGAATGATTAAAAAAAAAATTGTAAAGGCTGTGATAACGTTTACGTATTTTTCTTACTAGAACATTTTCTCGTTACGTTATAAGGAAGTTTCGGTTACGGTTTTGGTGAAAACTGGAACCAAAACCGAAATTCGGTGCAGGTTTCTGTTACGGTCGTAAAAACTACTGTCGATCGGACACTATTTTACCTCGAAAGAGTAGGCCTTAAAGTCTAAAGTTTTGTTCAATTTTTTTTAATTTTATTATTCTCTTTTTAGGGCTCCGTTCCCAAAGGGGTTAAACAGGATCCTATTAATAAGACTTCGCTGTCTGTCTGTCTGTTCGTTTGTCATGAAGGCTGTATATCATGAACACGTGATAGTTAGACAGTTGAAGTATTTCTGTTGCCGGTGTAACAAAAAATACTAAAAACCGGAATAAAAAATATTTAAGTGGAGATCCCATACGACAGACATGATTTTTTTTTGACATGCAGTTTTTATAGATCAGATCGCAAGTCAGACTCGCACTTGCCCGGTTTTTGATTAACATTTAAAAAAGTCTAAATTTGTATGTTGAAATATGCGAATGGAATTGCTCTAAACGCACAAATACGTGCGACCGATTCGCGTTTACGAATCTTTAGCGATCTACCGTTTCACGGAAGTGTCCGGTGTGTGTTGGTTACTGATTGCCTTTTGTCAATAGATCGCGAAATCCACAGCGTTTATAACGACTAGTTCGTTTTCTACGGCCCTGAGCCCGAGTGACTCTCGAATGAGAAACGATTTTGAAGTAAAATCGTTCGCTATCTTTGTTACTCGGTTAAAATCTGTTTTTTATTCATTTGCCTTTTAATTTTTATTTTTTTAATATTTTAAGACACATTTTACGCAACGTTCTCTAGTCCCAAACTAAGCAACGCTTGTACTATGGTACTAGATAACTGACAAACATACTTTTCTTTTGTAAATAAATACATATTATACCCAGACACTGGAAGAACACCATGTTCATCACACGATATCCTTCCAGTAGTGGGGATCGAACCCACACTTTCTGGCTCAAGAAGCTAGCACTACCCACTACGCCAATCGGGTCGGCGCCTATAAAATTTTTAAAAAGTAGTTATTTGATTTAGTACTTATAAATTTGATGTGACCCCAATTGTGTGTAATTCTAATTTTACTCGATTTTTCTGATTCTACGCAACTTTTATGTCATTTTTTTTGTTTATCTTTGTTTTTTCTTTCACTAAGTAATCTGATGGTTAATTTTGGTATTGGTGTTATTTTGGTCTTACCTGACACGTATACATACTTACGAATCACAAATGATCCTTAAGTCCCGACGTCAAGTCTTCAAGTCAAGGTTTAAAAAAATATATTCAGTATAGTATATGTAGCTGTATTTAAAAAATAAAGCAAAATTCACCAAATACGATGACTCCGTGGCGCATGGGGTCGTGGGTTCGATTCCCACACGGGAAAACTATTTGTGCGACCCACATAATTGTTTCGGATCTGGGTGTTTGTCAACGTGAAATTTATGTTTGTAAAACGCTCTTACAACAACATTAATAATATTCTGCATTAAGGGCAATGTTTTGACAATAGATAATAATAAAAAAATTAAAAACAATATGTAGACATATCTTTAACAGTCAGTCATCCATTGTACTATATACTATATAATATACTAACATGTGTTGCCATCAGTGATAACACGGATCCAACACATTTTATGACAGGTCATCCACAAAGGTCCCCAACAAGTTAAAACAAACTTTAAGGGTCTTTCATTTAACCGACAATCTATAATTATTTTGGGATAGTAGCCGTAAGGTGCAGAAATTTGATTTTGCATTTATGTAGGAATGTTCTAGAGTGGCCTCGTGCACGACCTATTGATCTCGTGATGCCGTCTCCGGCACCGTCTCGGCAATGATATTATAGTACAAATTCAAGGTAGATAATGAACAGAGCAAACCAAAACTGAGGCACTCCAAGTACACCAATTGGTGTATATAGATTGCAATTCTATGCAATGCTATCTCTTTCCGTATCATACGTTCTACAACATCTGTCTCGTTCACTTATATCACTGCATAATATACAACAAACTCGTCCCGCTGTCTATACCTATGTGCTTATATCTTTAAAACTACGCAACGGATGTTGATGCGGTTTTTTTTAACTAGATAGAGTGATTCAAGAGGAAGGTAACCTACCTATAATGTATATGTATAATACATTGCACCCGCTCTAAGCCGGGGCGGGTCGCTAGTATGTCATACAATGTAAAGCGGAACAATTTTTAAACGTAGCTCAGTATGGTCATGCGTCATCTATGTTATTAAACATCTTGCCGTCTCGGTAATGAATGCAGGCGACTTAGGACTTCGTTCGTGTCAATGAAATAGGGTGTAATGATGATGTTGATGAATTTATATCTCGGTGTCTATTATATTTCATATTAAGTCCGACAGAAATAGTTTGACAGTAAAACTCGTACCATTTCACAAAATATTTATGTACAGTATATGTGATAATTTGTGGGACCTCCTTATTTGACTAAAAGTGCCTAACGCATCGGAAATCGCGGACAAACCATCGTTATGCCAATAAGGAAATATTTTACCTTAAAGCTGATGTAATTGATTGCTTGGAAGGGCAAGACTTATCTCAAAAAATTTGCCCTTGATGGATGCCGTGGAGGCTTTTTTAGAATTTTCTCATGAACGTGACGAAGACAAGGAGACCTAATATTCTATCGTAATAATCTGTAGACGTTTCCTGTATATACAAATATATAAGCTACATGGCTATCCGGTCATCTACTCGTTGCAGATAGGAGTCTGCATTTAGATATATACTATTTACTAATGGTGTGGTCAGTGAGGAAATTTTCTGCATGTATAAAATTTGCAAGCGTGATGAAAGAGATAGGCTTTAAATATTATAAATCATATTTTTCAAAGATTAATATTATTACTTTTACTGCTAGTCTTGGCACTCTAGATGAAGCTGTAAATTTTTGTAAAAAAAATGAACAAAAACTGCGTCTCCTGGTTTTGGGCCCAGACGCTTTATCAACTAATTTCGTACTTAGTAAGTTCATGTATTATAAAATAAAATAAAATTTTATTTATATAAAACATGGATAAAGTTGCGGACGTAATATCTTAACTTCTTATATATAAAATGGATTGCTGTTCGTTAGTGTTGCTAAAACTCGAGAACGGCTGGACCGGTTTGACTAATTTTGGTTTTGAAATATTTGTGCCACAAGTCCAGGGAAGGTTTAAACGATGAGAAATTATGGAAAAATTGCATGGGAAAATCGAAATAGCAACAATTTTATTTTCCCATACAAACTGTACCTGTCAACTATGTCTTTGTAACCTGTCAAACACTTTATACGTGCGTTCCGATTCCTCTAGAAATGATTTATATGGCAAAACAACGTTTGCCGAGTAATAAATAAATGTCCATCCGCCGACGCGATTCGCTACGTCATTAGATGACCGCTCGATTGCCTTGTTTATATTGTAATTTACTTTGTTTGTTGTTTTCTTAGAATGTAGTTGTCGTGACTTCCTCCACTTTGATAATATAATTGGTAACAAAAGCGAATGAAATCTTTTCGAAATGTTTCAGTTTAATGAAATAGTATTATGCCTTCAAAACTTGCCGTCAATACCTTAGCAATAAATTGATTATTATTATTATAATTAATGCGTCTCTGTATATATTTTCCTGTGTTGGTAACTGTCCTGATGAATAACACTTGAGCTAATAACTAAAAGCACGCAATAAATCTTGTGGTGAGATTAAGTGGACGTCATTATGTTTTAATTTTCAAGCGAAGTGTTCACTGTTATGTGTGTACAAAACACGTGGTTTAGTTAGATTATTATATATTCGTGATTTAGAGTTAGATGGCGTGTGTGCATCTGATAATTGTATGGCATTATTTAAAACAAGAATTTATGAGTGTATTATAATTTCTTCAAAACGCGTCTGATTGTATGTGTGATTATTGGTAGCGTCGTTTATCGTTTGTTATCATAATAGTTAATTATCACTGGGTAAAAGATGCGATTTACCTTTACTAAAGGTCCAATCCACCGCTCTTGATGATGGAATGATCACATTAACTACACACATTCCTCTACTCTGTACTGGGCATATACATTCATCCATTTTGTCTCTATTGTGCAATAATGGGCCACTACTTAAAAAATGTGTCCACTTCGCACTGCCGTCTACGACAGGAATCCACTAAGTGGCAGTGAATAGTTAAGGAGAAAGCAGGGCTCCATGCATAACTCTCTTTTGTATAAAGAGTTCAGAAGTAAGTCGTGATGAAGAGAGGCACGCAAAACTATATAAAAGTTAATTTTCAATTAAATTGTATGAAAATGTAGTGGAAGCAAATTAGTCCGTTTATAAAATATATCATAGATTTAACGTTTCACAACCAGAGAATGACATCGTGGTCATAGAACGTAAATTATGTGTTTATCAAAATATGGTTTGCTTTACAGGCTGTTTCGTCTAGAAAATTATTTGAATAAATAAACCTTAATGTTCCAATGAAGCATTGTCAGCGGAAAATCGGAAATGTTTTTGTAGTTTACTGGTGTCGCGTATAAATCTGTTCTGTTTTTAACTTGAGATTAGCCGCTTGCTGGTTTACAATATTTTCCATGTAAAAAAATTTAATAGGTTTCTGGTGTAACGTTTTCAATTACAATTAAACTGTAATGAAGCCTGCCAAGGTATTAAATAAACTTATTGGGCTTCGTTCAAGATTGATTGAACAATAACGTGTTAATGTTGTTTGATGAATCTCCACAATTTTACAAATTAAATTAGAACGAATGATTTTTATTTCATCAATATTTAAAATGATGAATAATTATTGCGAGTAATAGGCTGATTTAGGTCCCACAGAGCATGTTGTATTGATGATGACAAGATACCATTGGCTCTTTTTGCGAAGATAGAAATAAAATCACTACATAGTATAAAACGAAGTTGTCCCACTGTCTGTCTGTCCCTATGTATGCTTAGATCTTTAAAACTACGCAACGCTGCCTCTCACCTTTGCTCTTTACTCTCTACACCAGCGATATACCTAAAGACCCCCACGTCAATCTCGCGCTTTTCGCGGATGACACGGCGCTCTTTTATTCAGACCGCAACCTTAGACAACTAACCACTCGACTCCAAAGCGCTGCCGACCGCCTCGGCGATTGGTTCCGCAAATGGAGAATAGAAATAAATCCCGAAAAGAGTGTGGCGATTCACTTCACACGAAGTACTTACCCGTCACATCTTTATAATGGCCCTCGTCAATGCAGAAAGTTGGGGCAAATATCCCTTTATGGCCAACCGCTCCCCTGGGAGAAAAAGGTCTAATACTTAGGAGTCACTTTCGACTCGCGTATGTCATTTACTACGCACATTAATAACGTTCGCAATAGAGCCGCGTTCGTCTCCGGCCGGCTACACAATTTAACTAACGCTAAAAGTAAAATGCCCTCAAGGCACAAATTATTATTATATAAGACCTGCGTACGACCTATTATGTCTTAGCAATGCATGACCTTCGCCCACACGCACGCTACTCGCTTGTACAAGTTGCAAATAGTACAAAATAAGTTCATCCGCCGCGCAACCGGTGCGCAGTGGTATCAACGCAACGTCGACCTGCACAGCGATTGCAGACTCCCGACGATTCGGGAATATTTTAAAGACCTGACCAAACGGTTCTTCGATAGAGCCGAACATCATCCCAACCCTCTGGTGGTAAGCGCAGCAAATTACCAACCCGACAAAAACGCGAACTTCAACAAGCGTCGCCCGCGAAACGTCCTAATCGACCCGGTCGAGGAAGGGGAGTTAGACACGCCGGACCCACTGCCGGGGGTCCCGCCGGACAACACTACACCCACAGTTAGTGCAACAACAAACACACTAGTTCGCCCTCGCCTCCGAGCACGGCGAGACTAACACAACGCGTACACAAGGTACACCCGCGTTCCGGGACGGTTCTCACCGCCCCCAGCCACCGATTAGCTAATTGCACAGTCGACGGCCATCGGGGTGTCGGTCCGAACCACGACCTCGATGGCCCTTAGATGACACACCATAGTTAAATGCACGCATGAGCACATGCGTGGCCCTACCCACAGCGGAGGGCCCAAACCCGTGGGTTCTGGCTAGCCCACCGGTTCTGCGTCAGATGAAGCTTTAATAGTCTCGGGACTGAAAGCAAAAACATCAGTTAATACAAGATACAAGATACAAGCAACTACGCAACGGATCTTGATGCGGTTTTTTTATTAGGTAGAGTGATTTAAGAGAAAGGTTTATATGTATAACACATTGCACCTATGCGAAGCTGGGCGGGTCGCTTATAAATAATTAAATAATTGACGTAGCCCGGGTTAACTCTGACACTATGAAGTAAATAACTAACTCCGTCCCGTGACCATGAACGCTATAAAGGATTTCTTTTTATGTGAAAGTTGCCAAACGAGCAGACGGTTCACCTGATGTTAAGTGAATACCGCCGCCAATGGACAGCTGCTACACCCCACGGTTCCAGATGCGTTGACAACCTTTTGAAAATTGGGCTCCGGCCATCTCACTCACCAGACGAAACGCAAAAGTTTTTTACTTTCACTTTACGCCGGTCTTCTGTGAGGTCGTGGTAGGCTTACCCGGACGAGCCTGCCCATTCGTGTAACAGCCGAGGCTGCTGCGTGGCCCTACCACCGTTAAAGGATTCCAAACTTCGGGAATTTTAAATGAAAATAAATCGTGATAAGATCTGTAAAACGGTTATATAACCTTGTGTTATTAATTTTCATCTGTTGTCCTTCCCATGTTATTTCATAACTACACAGCATAAAAACCTCGTCGCTGTCTGTCTGTCCCCTATATATGCTTAGACCTTTAAAACTACGCAACGGATTTTGATGCGGTTTTCTTTAATAGATACAGTGATTCAAGAGGAAGGTTTATATGTATAATTCATGCACAATATAGTAGAGAAACACTGATAACTTTACAGGTTTCTAATGCGATCTCGAAAACAAACAATCAGCATTGCACCCGTGCCAAGCCGGGGCGGTTCGCTAGTTGTTAAATATAATTGTGTTGCTTTTGCAGTTGCTGTGGTCCTTCTGCGGATGTTTGATGGTGTCTCTGCTCGTCGTGTTCTTCTATTATTACAAACGATGGCGTTCGAAAGGTGAGTACCCACCATACGAGTTTAGGACACCACACGTGTTTTTATTTGGCGTGCGCTTTACAAATAACGTGGTTAAAAATTCATAGCATGATTTGCATATACGCCATTAATCTCAATTTTCGTCTAATTATTAAGATTCCTTAAAGGGATTTTTTGCGAGGATTAAGTTTGAAAGATAATTATTTATTTTCTTCTTCTTTAGGTATTCTGTAGATCGTTTTGTGTAACACACGAACATAGATGATGGGGCAAGAGGATATGAAACTAAAGTAGTTTATATATATTCGGCATATGATGAAACCACAAAACCTTGGCATAGTGACAGAGATAAATGTTTAGCATTGGCATATTTAATTGCTATAGTTTTGCGAGATAACTGAAAAAAATTGGCGATCAATTTGTACATATAATTTTTAGAGATGTGTTAATTAATGTAAACAAACGTACATGAATTTTGAATAATATTTTCTTTTTCAATAATTTATAAAAATGTTACAACAACAGGTTAATGAATCCATTTCACGTCATAAACCGTTTTAATTACTGGGGTTATTAACCCCGATGTAATATTTGGCCATGGATTGCGCCATTTTTTCGGTCGTATTCGTATTGTATTGTGTGTCGTGTATTTTAATACAAATAAAAAATGTTTATTTCACTAACTTATTTCTATTACAGTTGTAAATAGTTGGAGCTACCTCAAAACATTTTTTTTTGCTTGTGTTAGACAGCCAAATCCATGTCATACTCGCTTAAAGTACCCGGAGGACCGAGCTTTGCTCGGTTTGTTTTTTTTTTTTTTTTGGTAAATCGTGTATTTTGGAAATTACATTTAGATACAAATTACTGAGTAATGAAATATGCATAATATTTTTCGATCTTACCGACGTAATAATAAGAAAATATGAACTGATGTTTTTCACAAAAGAAAGAACTTTAAAAAAAAGGGAAAAAAATAACAAAATAACAAATCGACAAAAAATTAAAAATAAACAAATCAATGATCTGGAATCGAAAAAAAAGTAAAAAAATAAATGTGTAAATGATCGAACTACGGCCGTCTGTTTTGGGGCCGCCCGATTACCGACCGAGCTATTATGACATTTTCTCTTGCGGCGAAATTTACCATCATATTCGAATGATATTTTTCATTCACTGAAAACAGGGATAAAAGAACATTTTCTAAAAATGAAACCTAGCTAGATCGATTTTTCGCCCCCGAATCCACGCACATACTAAATTTCATGAAAATCGCTGGAGCCGTTTCCGAGATTCCGATTATATATATATATATATATATATACAAGAATTGCTCGTTTAAAGGATAAGATTAATATTATAAACTTACATAAATTACCTTTATACTTACTGTATATATAAAAATGAATTGCTGTTCTTTACTCTCGCTAAAACTCGAGAACAGCTGGGCCGATTTTGCTAATTTTGGTTCTGAAATATTTGTGGCAGTCCAGGGAAGGTTTAAACGATGAGGAATTATGGAAAAATTGTATGAAAAATCGAAATAGAATTTTATTTTCCCATACAAACTGTTCCCACCTGTCAAACATTTTATGCGTGCGTTCCGAAAATTCATTTTATGTGTTCAAATTAACAAATTACCTAGAAATAATTTATACGGCAAAAAACGTTTGCCCGGGTCAGCTAGTACTTACTATTTTTAACACATGCACACACATATAGATTTGCATTAAATTTTTTTTTAACGTGAAAAGTTTCCTAATGAGCGGACGGTTCACCTGATGTTAAGTGAATGCCGCCGCCCATGGACATCTGCTACATCCGAGGGTTCCAGATGCGTTGACAACCTTTTGAAAAATTGGGCTCCGGCCTCCTCACTGACCAGACGAAACGCGAAAGTAGTATAGGTACTTCCACTTTACGCCGGTCTTCTGTGAGGTCGTGGTACTTACCCGGACGACCCCTGCCCATTTATGCAACAGCCGAGGCTGCTGCGTTAATCGATCCCTCATCACTCCCGTTAATAAAATTCCCCGGTAGAGCTATCCGGCGGCACTGGCGCGGCCGACGCTGGTGGGGAGCCCGCGAAGCGGTTTCGGAAACGCGACAAGATGCTGTTCTACGGGCGGCGGATGCTGCGCAAGGTCAAGTCTATCTCCAACTCGGGCCAGGGCCGGAAGCGGCGGGCGGTCATGCGGTTCGCCAGGAAGCTGCTCCAGCTGAAGAAGGAGTCCGCCCCTGAACAGCTGAAGGTCGGTTGTACTGTTAGGTGGTGTCTGATTGTTAGCTTTCTCGTAATGTAGTTACTAGATCAGTTGTTTTGATCGTACTAATGTTTTTTTTTTATTGATATTATCTACACTCATTCTCTATATAAACTACTAGCTGCTGGCCGCGACTATGTCGTACGTAGAATAGGCTGAAGGCGTAACATTCAGACAGAAAGACATATTCAGACACAAATCATAGCCTATGTCTTATTCTGATCTATAAGTTATATTATTGCAAAGTTTCATTAAAATCCATTCGGTAGTATTTGCGTGAAAGTGTAACAAACATCCATCCACACATACAAACTTTCGCGTTTATAATATTAGTAAGGAAGTAAGGATGTGTGGGAAATTACGTAGTTCTCTGTCCGCGCAAGTTTCGTAAAAAGGAGTAAAGTTTTTGCTTCACTTATTAATATATAGATACTGATATGTGAAGTTGACTGTTCTTCACCTTAAAATACGTAGGAAAAAATACGCTGTAAAGGTTGTATGCTGTGAAGAATATAACAATAGACGAGCCAAGCATTGCTTGAAACGCGAAAAAACAGAGTATATAAAAGGCGTTGAGATGTTCGTCGGCGTGGCGATCGGCCTTTAGCTTAGTGGTTAAAGCGTCCGGGCGCGAATCCCGAAGAGATGGGATCGATTTCCACATCGGCGAAAGACTTTTCCTATACACAATGAAAGTTCACAGATATGAGAGCTTCCTGGTTATATTTCACATCGATCGTCTTTAATCAAGTATGGAAGAAAAATTGACCAAACCTGTTCGGGGGAATTGCCTCTTATTCTAAAACTGGTATATTTTTATCTTTCTTAATATCATGTTTTAATTTATTGTTTTCTTGTTTTTACTCGAATATATATACATTGTAAACGAGAAACTATTTTATTTTTTGCCCGGCAAAGTTGGGATCATTAAAATCCTAAATAGATCGGGCCTTTGGTGATTTTGACCTAGTCCTTTAATCTATGTTTGATTACGTAAAGGTTTGTAATTTATATTAAATATTGTTGCAAAAATTCGTAAGTAGAATAATTTGCAGAGAACTTAGCCTAAGCGGAAAATGTTTTGTATTGCACGTATTGGTCCAATGACATTTGATCTTAAGAATATTACTGACTATAGATTTAAAACTGATATAAAGATTATTTATTAACCGGTTTTTAATACGGACAATCATCGAAATATCAGACCGGAATGTGAACAGCATTTTTGGTACTTATTTATATATTTTTGACCTAACACGCTCGCGGAGGCTATCATTAGTTATCCCCTGCTTATTTAAAGTTTGCGTTATTTTATGGTTCTTGTTATATCTGATGTATTTATTGTAACTTATTGTGGCCATTGCCTTTCAGAGTTAAGTAATAATATTATTTTTATTCCCTGTCGCGAATTTTCTAAAATATGGGAATAGAGGGTAGGACTGGCTCTAAGTATTGTCTTGTAGCGCTCTGAGGTTTGGAGATAAATTATAGTTGGTGCAAAGATTTGAAAGAAATTTTGTATACTTCTAAAACTAGACATTTAAAATATCACTATGTAAGGATCATGATGTTCCGTCGGCTAATTTATGTAGCGTTATCTTATGGTAGTTTAGAGTATGGGTTTGATGTCTGAAATATAAGATTGCCTTCTTTTACTTTTACTTTAATTTTTAACTGAGATTTTTGCTCTGTCCGTAGACTATTAAATTTTCATCGAACGGAAGTTCAACACACGTGTAGTGTATATATTATAAAATATAATATATAACATTATTAAAGGCAATTAAATGAGATTGTGTTTATAATAAAGTAGTAGCGCATGATATTTATAATTTTTTACGTAATTTTGTTTTAATACGTGAATGACAACGGCTAACCATACCTTATATATTAACATTAGGTGCTTGATTTACATAAGTAGGGGATCAATTAAACTATTTTTAATTACCATTTAAATAAATGTTTATATATTAGGAATATTAAATTGTCAGTGATACATTGCATATTCATGTAAACAGTTCCAAGGCTCAACTGTGAAACGGCGCAGATCTATTTTCATTAGTATTAACAAAATTAGTTGTATTATATCGTTAAAATGGAAAAAAGTATCCGTTCATAGTTGATAAAACAGCAAATAGTAGTTTGGCCTTTGGTGAATAGTAATTTGTAAGTGATATGTAGTTTTAGGGTAACTCACTTTTTGTAACACAATTTTTTGGTAAAAAAAATTTCCTTCAAATATACCACGGCAAGTCAACGCGAGTTAATTGGCATATTATAACTTGTGCTGATAATGTTATCGTCCTTGGCTAAAGGGCAGTGACTTTAACTTCGCTGTATTACCATGGCAACCGATAAACACTTTTTGGTATTTAGCTATAATTGCAAGTTGTTAAATTAAACCGTTATTAATAGCATATAATGTGTTTATCACAAACAAAGACTTCTGACACAGAGAATAAGATTTTTAGTTATTTTTCTTTTCTTACTAATGAAGTATAATTTTAAGGTAAGGACAGACATGTTTTTTTTAGTATTTTCAACATTGTCTTCAAATTAGGAGCGTTATCCTGTGTTGTAAAGCGTTTCACAAACGTAGACAAACGCCCAGGTCCGTCGCAACTATCTGTGAGTCATGCAAATACTTGTCCCGTGTGGGAATCGAACCCTCGAAGCTCGGCGCTCAAGCCAATGCCCCGGCAACTGGGCCGCTGAGAAGTAAATAAATAAAAATCACTTTAATGCCATATTTATAACTTAGAACAAAACGTGCATTCTTAATCTTAAAGTACATACCCTTATTAATCCTTACTAATATTATAAACGCGAAAGTTTATATGTATGGATGGATGTTTGTTACTGTTTCACGCAAATACAACTGAATGGATTGTAATGAAACTTTACAATAATATAGCTTATGCATCAGAATAACACAAAGGCTATAATTTATATACATATTTTTTATATATCTGTCTTTCTGGCTGAATGTTACGCCTACAGCCTATTCTACGCAGATGTAGTCGCGGGGAGTAGCTAGTAATACAATAAAGGCAAAAGGAGGCGGCTCAGTGATCCGGACAGTAGTTCCTAACAGCGCTGGTTTTCAGTCTCTCCCCCACTTCCTGAGGTGTTTCTCGGAAGTTTTAGTTGTGGCCTACCAAGTGACGAATTATATAAAAAGTATGTAAGATGTATATAAAGAAAACAATATGAACCATCTGTTTGCGCCTAAGAAATATACGAAAACAAATTATTCACTCAAGTTTGCTATTAAATAACGTCAGGGCTACGAAAAACTACTTCCCAAATAAAAATTTATATGACGGTAGTTAATTAACAATTTGTTCGAACGTATCCATATTTGTACTTTTCAATTGAGACATACCGAAGCAGCGCTCAAACCAGTGGGTTCTCTCTAGCCCACCGGCTCTGCGTTCGATGAAGGTTTAATAGTCTCGGCACTGAAAGCGTAACAGGTTATTTTTAAACGTCGCCCTTGCTTTAGGATAACATTATCCCGTGTTGTAAGGACATTTTACAAACATGGACAAACACCCAGATGCGAAACAACTATCTGTGGATCTCGCATATATTCGTTCCGTATGGGATCGAACCCACGACCGCCGACTCCGAAGCCAACACCTTGGCAACTGCGCCACGGAGTCATCAAAAAATATTTTTAATCGTAAAATAACATTATGAACATCGCACTCCAAAAGGTCGAAGAAGAAAAAATCGAAGCCGCGATAGCTCAGTGTCCGGGCGCGCTCGCCTTTAATTCAATATACTCGAGCAACGTGAGTTCGATCCCCGGTGCCGGCACCAATGAAGTTTTTAACTTTAAGTGCTGACTTATCATGTGCTCCGCGGTGAAGGAAACATTGTGAGGAGACCTGCATATTTTCGAAATAATAACAAAAAAAAAAATATTTCAAAGATATGTGAAGTCCGCCAATCCGCAGTGGGGCCGCGTGGTGGACTATGCCCTGATACCCTCTGTATAGAGGAGGCCTTTGCCCAGCAGTGGGACATGTATAGGCTGTTACTTTACTATACTTTACTCCAAAAGGTGTTGGAGCCACCCGCGGAATATCTTGAAGAAGACCTGACGAACGACGACCGCGTTCCACCGGACGCGCTGTACATGCTGCACAGCATCAGGGTCTTCGGCCACTTCGAGAAGCCGGTGTTCCTGATGCTGTGCAAGCACACGGAGATACTGAACCTGCCCGCCGGCGCGTTCCTCTTCAAAGTTGGTGGGTCCCATTTGATAATGTTTTCTCCCGCTCGGTGTGGACGTAGAAATGGATGGTTGTTTCAACCGACTTTAAAACGGAGGAGTTTCTCAATTGGACTGTATTTTTTAAAGTTTGTTACCTCACAACTGTCGACTGGGTGAATCGATTTTGATGTTTCTTTTTTTAATTTGAAAGCTGGCGCTTCCCACGTGGTCCCATATAAATTTCATCGGTATTGGATCTTGAGATCCGGACATAATTAGGAAACTCGTGAAAATTCTCAGGAAACTCGTCAGTAAGGAAGTCTCATTGTGTTTGCTATGTATAGCATATATATATTTTTTTTCTGTGTATATTTCTTTTGTTATCATGCCAGATTGTATTCGGTTAAGCAGACCTAATAAACTAAAAAAAGAAAATAAATCAACTATGAAATGATACAGAGCGAGATATTAGATGTCGGCTTTGTTTTTCGTCAGTAAAGAAATGATTACGTGAAAATTTGTCGAACGTGGAGGCGGTTCACCTGATGTGTAGCGAAAGTTAGCTACACCCGAGAGTGTAGCGGATGTCCATGGGCGGCGGTATTCACTTAACATCAAGTGAACCGTCTGCTCGCTTGACAACTTTTCACATAAAAAAAAAATAAATACCGCCGCCCATGGCTTCGACAGCCGATTGCTTGCTGATGCGTTGACAACCTTGAAAGTATGGTCCCTGGTTATCTCACTCGCCCGTACGAAAGGCAGAAGTGTAGCGCTTCCACTTACACCGATCTTCTGTCAGGTCGTGGTACTTCAATAGCCGAGCCTCCCCATTCGTTCAAAAGCAGAAGCTGTGTTGCCAGTCACAGCCTGATCCTTGCTAAGACATTATAGACTAAGTAGTGATCTACTTCTATACCACCAGATAGCGAGTGGCGGTCGTACATGGATTTAGAATTAATGCTAGTCGCTGCCCTTAAGATTAAACTTAAAATGTGTTGATAAATTGTTACAAATTGTTTGCCTTCGTCTGGAGTCAATTCTGTGCCGTGTAGGTAACGCCACAGACGTTCTAAACACCAAACTATCGATATCCTCACCGCGCGAAATAGATGCTAAGGTAAACGTATTATTTATGTATAAGCCTGTTTACTCTTGCTCTAATATCCCCGTACCTATGACCTCAATCTAGAGGAGATTCCGCTATGCCGACGTATATACATACGTCAGATTTTATTACGTTGGGTTTTGTTGGTATTAGAACAAGTGACAAGTGGATTAACTTAAGCCTATGTACTTCAAGGTGTTTCGAACTTTATAACTGGCCAGAGTTTCTTATGAAAAAGACACTAAAATCTACTTTTCACCAGTATATAGTAATTGGTGTCCGTCCGTCCGTCTGTCCGTCCGTCCGTCCGTCCGTCCGTCCGTCCGTCCGGGCTCCCAGGCTGTATCTCATGAACCGTGATAGACAGTTGAAATTTCACAGATGACTGTTGTCGCTTTAATAACAAATACTAAAAAACAGAATAAAAAAAATTAAGTGGGGCTCCCATAGAACAGATATGATTTTTTTCGTGTTTTTATAGATAATGGTACGGAACCCTTCGTACGCAAGTCCAACTCTTACTTGGCCGGTTTTTATTATGTTAAAAGTTTGGCAAACGAACAGGGTTCACCTTGTTTTAAGCGATTATTTCACTGTGATAGGGTAAGAGCTGTGTCTAAAATGTCTATTGTCTAACTATCAAATGAAAGACGGACAGACCGACAGACAGACAGCGTAGTCCTAGCAGCAGGGTCCCGTTTCACCCGTCGGGTACGGAACCTTAACAAAACGGTGCACACCCGTCCGCAGGCGATACGGACGAGAACGTATACGTGGTTCAAACGGGCCGAGTGAACGTATACATAACAAACACGGACGGCAGCAGCCTATCGCTGAAGGTGGTCCGAGCCGGAGAGAGCGTCACCTCCCTGCTGAGCTTCACCGACGTCCTCACGGTAAGAAGAAGAAGAAGTGAGCAGCTTTAAGCTTTCACATCTGTCGGCAGTCCCCAAAACTCTTCGAGACACAGGACACATTTTTACACGACGTCATCTAGCCCCGAACTAAGCAAAGTTTATACTTTGGGTACTAGGCAACTTATACACACTTTTCTTTTGTAACTAAATGCATGTTATAGATATATGACGAGGGATAGATACCCAGGCACTAGAAAAACAAAATGTTCGTCACACAATATTTTCCAGTGGTGGGGATCGAACCCACACCCTCTAGCGTAAGAGGCAGGGTCAGTGCCCACTACGGAAATCGAGTCGTCAAGGAATAACTGTCCTTTTAGTTACACTTATTTGGGCGCGTTTGGTAAAAAGAATGAGAATAAAATTTTTACGACGCGTACCGAAGTTACGAATAGTAGTACCACCCGTATTTAAGTGGTTAATGCGGTACCAACCATCCCGTTAGCGGTGTAAAGCGCAGCTTTGACTACTAATTAACATCAGGAACTGCTTCATTTTTTACCCTCTAGGATAACATTATCCTGCGTCGTTGGGACGTTGTACAAACGTATATATCCCGTGTACAAACAGCGAGATCCGGAACAATCATCTGTGATTCACCCGAATACTTGTCCCGTGTGGGAATCGAACGCACGACGCCGATGCCAGTGGTGCCATGGGGCCTTTACCGTTCCAGGGCCACTCGCAACCGTACAAAACGGTGAACGCCAAAGCGCTGGAGGACTCGCAGGTGATCAAGCTGCCGATGAAGGCCTTCCAAGAGGTGTTCAAGGAGTATCCCGACATTTTCGTGCGCGTTATCCAGGTGAGCATTTCATATCGGAACATTTATAAGTATTTCGGGACGTTTTTACACAACGTTATCCAGTCGCAAACTGAGCAAAGCTTGCACTATCGGCACTACGTAACTGATAAACATAAATGTACTTTTATTTTTTTTATATAGATACATGTTATAGCAATATAAAAACTCAGACAGTAAAACAATTGTGTTATTATTACCTTTCAAATATGAATATATTTACATATATCACTTAAAATGTGAATTTCTTAGCAAAAACTTTTTGCAAGAAAAACTTTCGACGTTGCATTCGAACTTGCGTCTTCGAGTTTCGCGTCCAGGCGACATCACGGCGCCGATGACATCTAAGCTAAGCGGCCGATGACATCACGGCGCGTAAACCTCGACATCCCTCTCTATACTATTTTAATTGTATTTTTAGCAATTCTCGGCGCTATGTAGTGTGCATCATTGACAGCATGCTACACCGTACAATGCATTGTTTTAGAAATGCGCCATCTAGTGTGCATCCTTTACAGCATGCAACACCTTACAGAGAACATGGTGATGTCGACTTTGATCTTAAAATTATTGATGTGTAGTGACTAGCACTAAAAATAAAAATTAATAATAAAAAAAAATGTATCTCTTCGTTAATTTTAACCGCATAATTAATTTATTGTTATTATCACATTTTCAGATAATCATGGTGCGGCTGCAGCGCGTCACTTTCACCGCCCTCCATCAGTACTTGGGATTGAGCGCTGAACTAGTCAATCCGGTACAGAAATTTGATGCACTTTCTAATATGGTATAAAGTCAAAAGTCTTTCTTAAGATATCTAAGTCGATCTTAAGATGAAGCATTAGTGAATTTTTCGACGTCGTGCACTTAAAGCTCTTATACTTTGTAACTAGGGTTTTAAATTCGTGCATTTGCGAAGATTGGCCTAATTTGTTTTGTTGATAAGACTGCACTGAATTTAACATATTTAATGCTAATTTAGAGCTTATTGCAGCATCTCAGTGCGGCTTTAATTTTTATTTAATTATTTTGTATGAGCTGAATCGCTACAATGTTCGAAATATAACATATTCGTTGCTATGTTCATACAACATCTTTCAATTTGTACGGTTCTTTGAAGGGAACTACATAAATTATGCCACTCGGTTGAATCACACCAGGTCGTGGGTTCGATATCCACTCGGACGATAGTATTCGTGTTGGATCATACGTATAATCAAGTCCCACTGACAGTTTTTAAACACGTATACCGAATTTGCGTGTAGAAACCAAAAGTCGTAGACGTATTAACGTAACAGATTTGTCAAGGACTTACCGCAGTAAAGGTTTTGTTTGTTTAACGGTGTTCAGGGACGAGAGCGGAGGCGGACGCAGCAAAACGCTTCGTCGCCGGCCAAGGCCAAGCCGCCGGACCACTCGCCCCACCATTTGGACCGTCCGGAGCGACTCGACCGTCCGGAGCGACTCGACCGTCCGGACCGACTCGACCGTCCGGACCGACTCGACCGTCCGGACCGACTCGACCGTCCGGACCGACTCGACCGTCCGGACTACACGGTGCGCTAATATACAGGCCGTCTAATGCCCGTTTCCTATATTCAACGAACCACCGTTTGTTACATGGGTTCCTAACTTTCGTAACAACTTGTAGATAAAAGGCGTGTACGCCCGGTTCCTATATTAACAAAACGAGGCGTTTTCCTTACGAGCCGTTGCATTACCTGCGGGAAGTAAGGTAACTAGCGTTCCTTCAATCTACATGTCGTTATGAAAGTTACGAAGCTATGTAACTAACGGCCGTTCGTTGAATATAGGAACCGGGCATAAATTTATTTGACGATGTAAGCACTGTGCCGTACCGACGAGTGCAAAAGTCGTATAATCATTATAAAGTGAACCCCGGCTATCCCACTTACTAACAGTTACAATACTACCGGTCCATGTTTATTTTTAATAATCCTCTCCTATAACATTTCAGAATACGCAAAAACCTTATCCAAACCCTTTCATTGACTTTGACAATTGTATTTAGCCACCGTAGATAGACCTCTTTCCACCTTGTAACTAACAAGACATACAATGCAGGAGGGGGGTCACCAGACTTCCTCCCCCATTCACATCCAGGGTCGGAAGCCCAGACCCGACATGGTGCCCGATTTAACGACTAACACGCCCCAGGTAACGCCCATAAAGGTAATAAACGAATAATATATCTTACATTTCCCATCACTAGTGATAATCTATATCTAAACAGACATTTTGAAGCTAAATTTGTACATAATGAATTGGTTCTTGGTTCCATGCTTTTTGTAAATATTGACAACCCAAAGTGAAGTCAAGCTATATTTAATGTGTAATAGATAATGACGTAAAGAGAGAGACGTCATGTTCTGTCCCGAACATATTTGTTAGAAAATGTGTTTCCGTGGATCAAAATAAATATGCAGTTCTGCTTTCATGATTGGTTTATTCTGTTTAGCTTACATCATTTAACACTTTATACTAGGTTTCACATGATACTACTTAATTACAATAATCAACTTAATCAATTTCAAATCACAACTACACCATCTTGACCAATTAAACAGAGTAGAGAGTTTTGTCTATGCAGTCACAGAGCAACTAAAACAATAGCAATGTTACAAGGTACAAAATCATATTTTCAACAATACTTTTTCTGAAATTTCCAAACGGATTAAGTTGAATCCAGTCATCTACAAACAATTTATATTGCCCAGCTAATACTGTCAGCTCTGACGTCAACTTAATTGTCAATTTTTCAATATTCAAGTAAGCCACTATTCATTCGACTCGTTATTTGTTGTCATCAACTGCCGCTATGATTTTGGAGCATTTTGTATCTGTTTTTAGACGTAAGTGTGCGTGTGTAAAAAAATGATTACAGCAACAGCCAGACGTTCACCCGGTGACGTCGTCTTTCAAAAGCAAGGAGGGTTCCTCATTCAAGAAACACAACACGGATAATCTCGACGAGCAGGTAATTAAAAGAACCTTTATAAAAAAAAGTAAAGCAACGGCCTATAAAGTTCCCACTGCTGGGCAAAGGCCTCCTGTGTAAAGAGGAGGTATCAGGGCATAGTCTACCGCGCGAATTTCGCTGCGGATTGGAGGACTTCATATATTTTCTAAAATAATATTTTTATAGTGCTAATCTCTGCACATAAGATTAATCATTGAAATATGTAGAAAAAAGTACGAAAAGTTTTTCCCCGATGTTGGAATCGAACCCTCGTCTTCGGGATTCGCGCTCTAGCCACTAAGCTAAACGGCTGATTGCCACACCGACGAAAATCTCAACGTCTTTGGTCAAGATCAATGTGGATACATTGTGGTTTTAGCATTTGAAGCAATGCTTGGCGCAGCGATTGTTATGTCCTTTCCAGCATACAAACAATTTCAAATATCGTATTAACAACGATAATTCGAACGAGAGATGTCGCCATAGCTTTTTAGAAATTTTATTTTTATAGTGCTTATCTCTGCACATAAGATTAAACATTAAAATTTTCAGAAAAGTGTTTATCAATAAAAGTCAAAAAAGTTTATCATATTTTTATTAATTTTAACTTTTGATGAACACTAACGACTCCGTGGCGCAGTCGCCAAGGTATCGGCTTCGGCTATCGGGGTCGTGGGTTCGATTCCCACACGGGACAACTATTTGTCTATAGTTGTTTCGCATCTGGGAGTTTGTCCGCGTGAAATTTTTATTTGTAAAACGTCCTTACAACAGAGGATAGAGTTCCTAAAGTAAGGGCAATGTTTTAAAAAAGTTAAAAAAAAAAACTTTATCGCTTCACCTTCGCTAAGTGAAACAATGGGCGGACTTAATGTCTGATTGCATCTACAAGTCATACTTGTCATGGTGTAGACTTTATTTTTGTTATATCACTGCAGGCGCTCGTCCAAATCGCCACCGAGGCTTTCGTTAAGGAGCTGGGCTTGGAGAGCGACCAACTTTTGCGCGGGAACGTTCAAGTGCGAGACCTACCGGCTGGGACCTATATCATGAAAGAAGAGAGCCATAAGGTACCAACAACTTTTCACTTATATGCCCCTGACGCAAAGCTTTGATGTGTCCCATACACAAAGCTTTGAGGTGGTTTGCAGATGTACCTAAAATTGATTATAAAGCTACTGAAGTTGCAAACCAATAAATTTAATTTCTTCTGAAGTTGCAAATACCGATTAATTATGTTTTATTAATATATTAGATTATTATGTTTAATTTGATAATGTATTAGGTTTAATAGAATACAGCGGACATAACCAAAAGCATAAAAGCTTTTAGTATATGATCTGAGCTAGCAAATAACTTAAATTTTGATGTAAAATGAATGTCTTTCACTTTGATTTTTAATATCAGTGTATATAACGATTTTTTTTTATTTGTGCTTATTTTATTAACTTATTATATAATAGTGAACATCCTTTATACGGCTTTTGCATAAATACTAGTTTCTAATGTAATTTAATATCCTTAAAGTATATTTCTGAATTTAATTCCTGACATTATGTAATCTTACTGTAAATGTTATTTTTGTTTATCTTATAACTTAATCTAAAATAAGCAATAATGAAACATACAAAAATATTTTATAAAAAGTTACGTTAGATTGGTTGACTCCACACTCCGTGTATTATTATTGTTATAACTTTTCAATCCTTCTTTTAATTCTGTTAATTTATATTTTATATAATTTGTATTAATATTTATTTAATTCCTCCCCAAAGCTCTATTATTGTATCGAGGGTGAGCCAGAAATAGTTCAGGTAGATAATAGAGTTTATTTTCGTTAGCCTTCAGAGTGTTTGACTTTTGTCACTTAAATGTTTTTCGACTCACAAAAATGTTCACATTATTTACGCATCTCTGTTACATAATGTCAGCAGCATGATCTTTACCATTTATATGATTGAAAATTACCCCCATAGCATTTACCTATGAAAGAAATGACACTTCTGGTTAAAACGGATTTTCATGAAGCCTGTAACACTAACTGAACGAAGCTGTCACTGCCAAAAGTCAGGTCAAACATATTTGATACATGAGTGATAATATTTGATTGACCAGTTAAGTGATAAGGCAGGGAAATATTTTAGATATTTTTATTTTAGTGTTCTTTTTTTTTTCTTATCAAGCATGATACGAGTGCTTTGTAAACTAATAAGCGATGAGCTATTTATCATCATACGTGATATTTTATCGTTTTTATATTTTTATAGATTTATATTTTCATAGTTTTATATTGGTTAATTGAAATGGTTTGTTAGACCCCATAGACTAGTCGACCTTTTCTATAAAAATATATTTATGGTGTCTGTCTGTTAGGATGTGGCTTTGGTGTACCTGTTGTCTGGGGCGCTTCTGGTGTCGCAGAAGGTAGCAGAGGGTGAAGGGGAGGTGCACATGTTCACGGCGTACCCAGGTGGGTAGGCAGTAATGTCTTTTTTTAATAGGGGTCTAGTGGTTTATACCAAAAAATTATAAAAGGTAATATTTTATATATGTATATTTCTGTAATAAATTAAATGTCAATTACTTTAAGGCTTGCTTTCGTGGGCAAATAAAAAAAAAGGAAGCTATAAGCTGCCTATTATAACAGAGAAGTAGTCAAGTCCTTATGTGATGTTAATGGTCATGATGGTGTTTATGATGGTGTTTATGATGGTGTTTATGATGGTGATGATAATGATTGTGATCAAGATAAAAATGGCCACGGTCATTATGATAATGGCAGTAAAAAACTCTTTTGATGGCTTTTTTATGTGAGAAAGTACCAAGCGAGCTGCCGGTTCACCTGATGCTAAGTGATAACGATCGCCCAAGGACATTTACAATACCCTAATAAAGTGGGCCCCGGCTACCTCATTCACCAGACAAATCGTAGAAGTATAAGACTTCACACATTTCACGTCTACACTTCACTACTACCAGTTATATCGTGTATACTGTGTATAACTGTGGTGAGCTGGCGACTGTCACGATTACTACCCTTCGTACTTCTCTCTTGACCAGGCGAGGTGAATAGCTTAGCTATCATTACTGCTGTACTCTGTTCTAATTTCTCGTCCAGCCGAGGTGCAAGGCGTTGAAATCCTTACTCTGCATGATATCATGACTGCTGCGCTCTGTGCCCTTCTCATGTCCAGGCTAGTGGAATGGCTTCGCTATCGTGACTGCTGGACTCGTATGATCCCCTCTCGTCCAGGCGAACGAAGGCGCCTATTGCTGCTATAATTAATCCTTCCCCCCCCCCCCCCCCCCCCCCCCTCCCGCAACGTCCAGGCGAGGTGGAGGGCGGGCTGGCGGTGCTGACCGGCGAGCCGAGCTTCTTCTCGATCCGCGCTAAGCACTTCTCTCGCATCGGCCTCCTCTCCAAGGGCACCGTGTACGGCGCAATGCGCGAGCGGCCCGCGGTGGTGCTGCACATCGCGAACACCGTGGTCAAGAGGCTCTCGCCGTTCGTCCGCCAGGTGGACTTCGCGCTGGACTGGGTGAGCCGCGCCCCTTTGGGGCCGATACACGTGACGGTATTGGGGGGGGGGGGGGAGTAGGGGGGGGAAGGGGGGGCGTGATCGGTCGGGGTGATCGGTCGGGGATGCCACGCGGTTACGCTCGGAACGGGGCTTGGGCGGCTATGCTATTTCTTTTCCCTTTATTTTTTTTATGTGAAACGTTGCCAAACGAGCAGACGTTGTCACCTGATGTTAAGTGAATACCGCCGCCCATGGACATCTGCTACACCCGAGGGTTACAGATGAGTCGACGACCTTTTGAAAATTGGGCTCCGGCTACCCCACTCACCAGACGAAACGCGAAAGTATTTGTCATACTTCCACTTTACGCTGGTCTTCTGTGAGGTCGTGGTACTTACTCGGACGGGCTTGCCCATTCGTGCAACAGCCGAGGCTGCTGCGTGGCCCTAGTATACCTTACTATCTTTAGTGTAAGACGAGAGCTGGCGGTTCAAACTATGATAAGTGGTTACCGTTTCGTACCGTCGACGCGGACAACACCTGTTCAAGGGCGGCCGTGACTACTACTTATGACCAGAAACTGCTTTTTTTAATTGTAGGATAACATTATCCTATGTTGCTAGGACGTTATTAAAACGTATATTTCACGTGGACAAACATCCTAATCCGAAACAATTTCTGCGGCTCACACAAATAGTTGTCCCGTTTGAGATTCGAACTCACGAATCTCGGTTGTGAAGGCAAAAGATACCATTATTATATCTTATTTTAAGCTTTCAGCTGTATAAAAAGGCGACTATTCCTACTCATTTATCATCATCCTCCTTCGGGATCGGCACAACATGCTGTAAATGGTATCCGCTTGGTGTTTTAAAAGCTGCCGCCTGCCTGACGTCAACCCACCCTCCTTTGGAATGAACACCCAGATCGCGAACAAATATCTGTGGGTCAAACAAATATTGTTCTCGTTTTGGAACCGAAGCCACTACCTCCGGCACCGAGGCAACAACCCTATACTTTACAGTGAATTAAAAAAGAAAACAAGTTATAATAAAGTATTCCCCGCGAGACATCGAAGCTAGACTAATTCATCTCGTCGCTTGTAGGTGTTCCTAGAGTCTGGGCGCGCGGTATACCGTCAGGGCGAGGAGTCAGGTTCCACGTTCATCGTGCTGAGCGGCCGGCTGCGTTCAGTCATCACCCACCCCAACGGCAAGAAGGAGCTCGTGGGGGAGTACGGGAAGGGAGACCTGGTCGGCATAGTGAGTATACTCCTACCGTAGTCTTCCCAGACCCTAAACTCAACGACAGCCAGAACAGAGTGAGAACAGCCCAAAGAACACACGGTGACCATAGTCCAAAGTCTTCACGAACCCCTTTAGAGTCGATGACATTCAAAATGGAGTGGAAATAATCCAGAAAATGCAAGGTGGTCCCAGGCCTAAATATACCAGTTAGTTATAGTATAGGCTATATATAGTATATAGGTTACGGCTCGATTTTCTGCCACGCAGAACCACTTAGTGGAACAAGTTAAGAAATGGAAGAGGCATACTTTACCTTTAAAGCTGGCAACGTAGTCGTGACCCCTATCGCTGAAAATCACGTGTTCTGATTGCTCTTTAGCCTAAGAACAAGATATTAGAGATGATCTTCTTCTGCTCTCGCTTGTTTTGTGTATCTTTTACTTATATCACATATTCTTAAGAAGAGTATTTATAAGAATTACCATCACTCAAGTGTTGATACTCGGGAGTCGATACTATGGAGTTTTGTCAGATGGAGCCGTGATAGCTCAGTTTCCAGGCGTTCGCCTTTTTTTAATCGAGCAACCTGAGTTCGAATCCCGGTGCCAGCGCCAAAAGGATTGTTAATTTTAGGTGCTAAAATTAACAATCCTTTTGGCGCTTTAGTGCTTGTTAAATTTAGGTGTTAATTTTAAGTCCGCCAATCCGCAGTGGGGCCGCGTGGCGGAGGCGCTGATACCCTCTGTACAGAATACCATACTTACATAAGTAGTAATTATGATAGTATACATACTCGGCAGCGCACGGGACGAGTATTTGCATCAACCACAGATTGCTCATTTCGCAATTGCTTATTTGCCTATACCACAAAAACAATTACGCCAATTTTTTGTTCAGGTGGAGATGGTGACGCAGACCCGCCGCAGCACCACCGTGATGGCGGTGCGCGACTCCGAGCTGGCCAAGCTGCCCGAGGGGCTGTTCAACGCCATCAAGCTCCGCTTCCCAGTGGTGGTGACGAGGCTCATCAACCTCCTCGGCCACAGGATATTGGGTACGGGCGAAGTCTTCGGTCGACCCCAGTCGCCTGAGGCCGGTGCGAATGGCGGCAGATGGGGCATGTCTTGACACGCGACAATGAAGATGCAGCCCAAAAAAGTTGTGCACTGAAGTTTAATGAAGAGTTATCGTAACACTAGGATCTGTTATAGTTTTCTATAAAATAAAAATGCTGCATAAAATAAGCAGTGGACTGCATGTTTTTAATGTTGCCAACATAGTAAAAAAAGGCTTCCTAAAAATGATACCACTTAATAAATAATTTTTATTGATGTTGGGTAGATGGGTGTTATGACTAGTAACGGAACGTTACTTGGGTAATGTTATAATTTGACATTGAATCAATCATGGATGTCATCTCTCTCTTGTCATTGCGCCCGATAGGGGCTCGGTTAACACTTATAGGTATTAAGAAAACTTTCTTAAAACTAAAATATAATAAAATAAATAATACCAAAGACCCGAATAATTATTTAACTGCGAGAACAACCGCTAATACGGCGCCCGTGGCAATGGTGGCAGGCTCGTGGCAGAAGGCGGGCGCCGGGCGGGGCGCGGCTGCCCTGGAGCCTCGCTCCTCGCAGCACACCTTCTCGACGGTGGCAGTGGTGCCGGTCGGCGACGACGTGCCACTCACCGCCTTCACCTACGAGCTCTACCACTCGCTGAGCGCCATAGGTGCTGACTTTACATTTTCAATAGTTTTTTTTTTATGTTAGTCAGTGGCAAACGTGCAAGGTTCGCCTGATGTTAAGTGGTAGCCACCGCCCGTGGCGATTACCCGTAGGATTGCGGAACCTTTATGAAAGAACTAACGAGACGAAATGCAGTGTAACACTTCCACTTCACACCGGTACTGTGAGGTCCTGGTATATCCCCGGACGGACCTGCCCATTTGTGCAACAGCAAAGACTGTTGCATGGCCCTGCAACAGCTTTTATTTGGCTGGCGGGTTCTTATCAAGATGCTTATCACAGCTAGCAACGAACGTCTGCTATTTTTTACCCAAATATCGGTCAATGCTTGACTAATATCTGCTGATAAGTAGATGCACTCTAAGATGGTAAATTTACTAGCCCAGTAACAACCGATTCGCTCTTGCCTTGAAAACGCTAACATAATTATCGAAGGGGAACTGACGCTGGCAAACTGTTTCACTCTTTGTGAATCTCTGAGGAGTCCTGCACAGTGTCTAGTTTTTCGATGGGCTTTGCTTTGTGCCTTTGATTGGGCTTTATATGTTTTGCCAGTGGACCCTGGTTACCTCACTCACTGCCGAAAGTGTAACACACCACGCCAGTCTGTACCACCTCCGACGAGCCAGCCATTTCGCGAAACAGCAGAAACTGCTGATTTCTTTATGTAACTACTTGATGAACTCTCTGAAGTCATTAGTAAGGCCACGTGGCGTTATTTCTGGTGACCAATACTACTTGACTTACTACTCGATATTAATAAACTTGCGTGGCTAGCAACTCGAGTTACAACGTCACTGGTTGTAATTAAGTTCCCAATGACCATGGTGCGGGTGCATAACCCAAGGGTTTCCGCGTCGTCCGCTTTTCCACAAATTTTTAATTTTATCTTACGTGCTGAGAATACAAAAAATAATATCATTTACCACATTGGTAGAGCCACGCAACAGCTGTTGCACGAATGGGCAGGGTCGTCCGGGTAAGTGCCACGACCTCACAGAAGACCGGCGTAAAGTGGATGTATGACAAATACTTTCGCGTTTCGTCTGGTGAATGAGGTGGCCGGAGCCCAATTTCCAAAAAGGTTGTCTGCAAACCCTCGGGTGTAGCAGATGTCTATGGGCGGCGGTATTCACTTAACATCAGGTGAACCGTCTGCTCGTTTGGCAACTTGTCACATAAGAAAAAAAACATGGCTAATTGATTCGCTCCTCGATATGACGACACACGGGTTTTCTTTTGACATTATTCTTGTTAAAGTATGACATAATTTGTGATCTTGTAGCCCCCCAGTTCAGCACGGTTGCTTCAATTTTTAATTAAACACCATGTATTCAAAATTGTTCGCTCTTGTTATATAAATAAGGATCATGATTGATTGTTTGTATTCAGGGCCCACCGTACGTCTGACATCGGACGTGATAAGAAAACTCTTGGGTTTAACCATCATGGACCCCAACAACGAGTACAGGCTCAGTTCCTGGCTGGCGCAACAGGAGGACAAGCACAAGGTATAAGCATATATATTTCTAAAAGAGATGTATGTGTGTTTGTGTGTATTTATGTTCACCTTAAACTCGAGAACCGTTAGCCCAATTGATATGAAACTTAGCACGTATATAACGTAAAGTATAAAATAAAAATAATCTCACAATAACACAATTTAATCAAGGCTTCAAGATGCACATATTATTTCAAGACACACATTTCATCGGTGTTAAGCTCTGGGGTACATCAGGGAATTTTTCAAAATCGGATGGAAAATGTAAAGTGAGTGAGATATTCGAAGGAGGTTTGGTTTTTTTTGTTGTAAAAATGTACTTGTCGCGTTTGCCCACAGGTGGCACTGTACCAATGCGACCCCAGTCTGACCCAGTGGACACAAAGGTGCATCCGCCAAGCGGATTGCATCCTAATAGTGGCTTTGGGGGACAAGCAGCCAAGTATCGGAAAGGTCTGTTACAATTCTTTACACTGTAACGTTATAGCAGTTCTTTCGCTAAAAAATTTAAATTTTTTCATGACCTACTTTAAAAGTATTACACTACCTAGAGTTAGTGGTGGTATCCACGTTTGCGCTTATCCTACCTAGGTGAGGTCGGCACAACATGCGAATCGATAGGCAAGGTTTATCCATTATCTAAATCCGGAACAATTATGGGTGGATTGCGTGTGCTTATTAAGCTGCCCAAAATTATTCAATGATAAAGGTTAACGTCAGTATCGTCAAAGTATATTTTTAATACCTCTCTTTACCCCCAATATGTCTCCGAAACTTGTGGGCTTTGACTTGTTGCTACGGAATAAAAAGATTTTTTTTTTCTGATGTAACGTGCTAGTTAGTATATTGCATTGTAGTATTTTTACCATCATTGTTGTATACTTTGTTTTGCTTATTGTTAAAAAAAAAATTGAGAGATTTCGTTTTATTTCTTAATATGTACGGATTACGCAAGGAGAAAAAATAGTTATATCTGTGTTATAAACTGGCGATTTTCCTATAGATCGAGAAGGAGATCGAGCGATTGGCGATAAGAACGCAGAAGGAGTTGGTGCTGTTGCACAGGGAGGGGGGCGTACCCCCCTCGGGGACTGTACACTGGCTCAACATGCGCTCGTGGGTGAGCCAGCACCACCACGTGCGCTGTCCGCACCGCATGTTCACGCGCCGCAGCCAGTATCGGGTCGTGAGTATCCGAGCCATGGAGACAGTGAGCCAGTGAGCCATTGCGATTACGCTGCACAGTCAGTAGAGCTGCGTTTCCGCCGCGGAGACAACGAGCCAGCGAACGGACGGTAGAGCGAGCCGATGAGACAGTGAGCCAACCGGGCAGCAGAGCCACGTTTCTGTTGCTACACGAGTAACGTGTTGGCCCTACTGGGGAAGTAACATCGTAAAGTAGGAAGGAGTATGGTATGCTTTTGCGTTTCTTCTGGTGGCTGAAGATGACAGACTTAACCCGATAATAAGGAATGGGTGGTAACTTAATTTCTTTTTTTTTTTTTTTTTTTTTCGAAAAGTTGTCAAACGGAAAAGTGTTTCACTCGATTTTAATTGAATACCGCCGTCTTTGGACACCTACAATATCTTAGGAGTTGCCGATGCGTTACCAACTTTCAAAAAAGTGGGCCCCGGTTACCTCACTCATCGTCACTCCGGGGGCCGTGGTACTTTCAATGATGAGCCTGCCCATTTGTGCAACAGCAAAGGCCGCATGGCTCTACAACAGTGATATCTTGTATATATAAAACAGCCCTCGTCGAAATGGAGGGTAGTTGTAATGTGCAAAGTGCGCAGAATTTGCTTCTAATCTTTCGGGTCCAAAATGATGACGATAAAAGCAAAAGTGCTTGAAGACGGGGCCGCGTGATGACGATGGCGATGACGAAACATTGATGATGATGCCACTTCCAGAGCGAGCTGTACAGCAAGGTGCTGATGTCCGAGGCGAACGTGCACTCGGACTTCTCGCGGCTGGCCCGCTGGCTCACCGGCACGGCCGTCGGGCTCGTGTTGGGCGGCGGCGGGGCCAGGGGCGCCGCGCACGTCGGCATGATACGCGCCATACAGGTGCGTAGCGCACACATAGCCGTACAGGTGCGTGTGATGACAGCGACTCCGTGGCGCACACATAGCCGTACAGGTACGTGTGTGACACAGCGACTCCGTGGCGCACACATAGCCATGCAGGTACGTGTGAGGACAGCGACTCCGTGACGCACACATAGTCATACAGGTACGTGTGTGACAGCGACTCCGTGGCGCACACATAGCCATACAGGTACGTGTGAGGACAGCGACTCCGTGACGCACACATAGTCATACAGGTACGTGTGTGACAGCGACTCCGTGGCGCACACATAGTCATACAGGTACGTGTGTGACAGCGACTCCGTGACGCACACATAGTCATACATGTACGTGTGTGACAGCGACTCCGTGACGCACACATAGTCATACATGTACGTGTGTGACAGCGACTCCGTGACGCACACATAGTCATACAGGTACGTGTGTGACAGCGACTCCGTGACGCACACATAGTCATACAGGTACGTGTGTGACAGCGACTCCGTGGCGCACACATAGTCATACAGGTACGTGTGTGACAGCGACTCCGTGACGCACACATAGTCATATAGGTACGTGTGTGACAGCGACTCCGTGGCGCACACATAGTCATACAGGTACGTGTGTGACAGCGACTCCGTGGCGCACACATAGTCATACAGGTACGTGTGTGACAGCGACTCCGTGGCGCACACATAGTCATACAGGTACGTGTGTGACAGCGACTCCGTGGCGCACACATAGCCATACAGGTACTTTTAATGACAGCGACTCCGTGGCGCAGTTGCTAAGGTGTTGGTTGCGCGCTGCGGGTCGTGGGTTCAACGTTTGTATCACTCAAAATAATTTGCTAATTTTTTGTAATGCAGAGTTATTACATATTCTAATGATGAGTCCGTGCAGTTGCTAAGGTATTGGCTTTGGCGCCGATAGTTGATTGGTTCAATTTACACTGTTTTGGGTCTGGGTAGAAGTGACAAACAATAATTAAGTGTAATGGTTCTGTATTGAATAAAGATATTTGAATTTGAATTTGGTGCTTTTACACGTGAAATTCCGCCAATCCGCAGTGGGGCCGCGTGGTGGAATATGCCCTGATACCCTCTGTATAGAGGAGGCCTTTGCCCAGCAGTGGGACATGTATAGGCTGTTACTTTACTTTTTTTTACACGTGAAATTTACATATGCAAACGCCCTTGATACAGGACAATGTGATCCTATAGTAAGAGTAATGTTGATGACTCCGTGGCCCAGTTGCCAAGGTGATGTCTTCGACGATGCGGGTCGACATTGACCCTTTAGCACTCCTCCTTTCTCTTTCTTATTATTTGACCCGAGAAGCGTTGTGGAAAGTGAATCTGTCTCATGCGCCAGAGGGTGTGGGTTCGATACTCACTACTGGAAAAGCATTGTGTAATTCTCACATAAAAAAAATATTAAAAGAAATGGGTCGTTAACATCGCTCGTATGTCCGCTCGCAATTGCCAGGAAGCCGGCATCCCCATCGACATGGTGGGCGGAGTGAGCATCGGGGCCTTCATGGGGGCGCTGTGGTGCATGGAGAGGAACATCACTACTGTCACGCAGAAGGCCCGCGATTGGTCCAAGGTACGATGCGAGTCTAACTCTTTTTATTTGCACCTCATCAATCCAATCCCGTATGGGTATATTATATTACAATTATTATACAAATATTATTGTAATATATCTAATCGTTATTTGGAGTCCGAAGTAGGCAGGCCCGTCCGGGTGAGTACCACGACCTCACAGAAGACCAGCGTAAAGTGGAAGTATGACAAATACTTTCGCGTTTCGTCTGGTGAGTGAGGTAGCCGGAGCCCAATTTTCCAAAGGTTGTCAACGCATCTGTAACCTTCGGGTGTGGCAGATCGGGCGGCGCTTTCATTTGGTGAACCGTCTGCTAAACTCCAACACAAATGAAATAAATATGGTTCAACGCGGGAGCCAAACGGATCCGAATGCAAAGAGAATTTTGTAAATCGCTTCGTAAATGACGGAGTTATGAGGTTACAAAAAGAAAAAAATTAAAAAAAAAAAAAATTCAACAGATTTGGGAACGTCTTTCTTTTATGAGGTCGGTTGATAAGATGGACTATCTACCACCTTATCATATATGTACACTTACTGAGGGACTATGTGGTGGTTGTGAGGGGGGGAGGAGTATTACCCTTTCGTCGTCACCACAGGCTAAAATCGCGTTAGCACAACACTAACCGCGACGTCTCTTGAAAAGATTAAGATTTTTACGGTGGCAGGGCCCCGCAGCAGCCTCGGCTGTTGCTCGAATGGGCAGGCCCGTCCGGGTAAGTACCACAACCTCACAGAAGGCCAGCGTAAAGTGGAAGTATGACAAATACTTTCGCGTTTCGTCTGCTGAGTGAGGTAGCCGGAGCCCAATATTCAAAAGGTTGTCGACGCATCTGTAACCTTCGGGTGTAGCAGAGGTCCATGGGCGGCGGTATTCACTTACTATCAGATGAACCGTTTGGCAACTTAAAAAAAAGATGGATTGACTATTTAATGACTGACCTTTTAATCATACACATATTGAGGGATATTATGTGGTGGTAGTGAGAGGGGGGCTGGGGAGTGTATTACCCTCTCGTCGTCGCAACAGGGTAAAATCTGCCTCGCTTTAGAACAGCACCGCGGTTAGTATTTCCATTATTCGTTATTCCACCCCCGCGCGCAGAAAATGACCCAGTGGGGCAGGCAGCTGCTCGACCTCACGTACCCGGCCACCTCGATGTTCTCCGGGCGCCAGTTCAACGCCACCATCAGGGGCACCTTCGGCGAGGTGCACATCGAGGACCTCTGGCTGCCGTACTTCACCGTCACCACCGACATCAGCTCGAGCTGCATGAGGATCCACCGGCACGGTACGTGTAAACGATTCGCGAACAGGGGAGTGGCGGGGTCGGACTTGACGACGCCGTGGCGCAGTCGCCGAGGTGCTGGCCTCGGCTTCGTGGGTCGTGGGTTCGATTCCCGCACGGGACGACTATTGGTGCGACCCACAGATAGTTGTTTCGCATCTGGCTGTGTGCCGTGAAGTTCATGTTTGCAAAGCGTCGTCACGACATTGTATAATGTTATTCTGAAGTAATAGCAGTGTTTAAAAAAAAGGGCATTACTTAACCAGCTTGAATTCGCGGCTTCGTTTAACTACTGAAAATCGTGTTTTACACGATTAATCATCCAGCATGTAATATCAGCGTTCTGAATGTCATTCGATTCAGTTAAGCCGACGCTGTTTGTTGCAAGTAACTTACGCATTTACAATGTTAGTTTCGTTGGAAATTGGCAATTGAACTCACGACTGCACATCTGAGAGCGATTAGGGAAGGAAAACGTTCTTGAAATCCAAAAGTTATAAGAAATTCCTCCACCTCCTCCAACATTTTGGAGTGGTAGGTATCGTGTTTGACGCCATTTTAGTAATGTATCACGATGTATTGAAGTTTACTTATTACTGTAGCATGTACAAATATTAATAAATTCATCACTCTCCGATAACGATATCTGAATGCAAACGAAACGATTTCCGTAGACCGTAATAATCGAGGAATTGTATGTTCTATAATATATCTTCTCTCTAAATATCTCCCTAATCTTTACATACATACGTAGTGTTAGAAAATTAACACAACACATTCATGGACAGGAAATTTATGTTTTATCTGTTGACAAATTCAACGCTTACTGCGCACATACTAACACAGAAACTAGCTTCGTAATATATTGGGATCCTACAGACGAGTCACAGTTTTGTGGCCGTGATATATCGAGGCCATAAAAAAACTCATACACGTCTAATGGCGTCTGCATGCGATTTGTATAACATTCAGCTTTCCGTACTGCTCGTTTAGTAACTGCAGACCGGTTGATACGTGCGCTTTGTTGGGTCGAAGCATTTGCGGACTCGTCGGCGCCATCATACGGTCATATATCTATGGTGGGGCTGACGCTATAGTTACGTTTAAACGAACCTGGGACCTACCAGTGATGAGCTCGCCACACTGGCCACCTCGATCATAAAGCCACGCCTCGTGTGCCGATTTCGCTCGCACCTTGTTTTAGTCCGCTACAGTGATTTTTTTTATTCCCCCTCCCAAACTCCCCTCCCACAACCACACTCACTTGCATTTATGTGTCAGCCTTCGATGTTTAGATGTGTTTTTTTATGTATTTTTTTTATATCGCACGTATCCTATTTATTGTTGTAAACAAGTAACTGAATTATTTTTCCAATACATAACAAATTCGTAATTTTTACAATGTCTACGAATCCGACATTTGCTTATGGGTGTTGCCATTCCTTACTTGGAAATGAGAGAGGGAGATTTAAAAATAAAATACCTGAGCGCTTGTGATTGGTTTACCGAATAACGCTTTGATATTTTAACGATGGGAGTTGATTTCAAATGTATCATTTTATCTTAACAATCGGTGCGTGAATACAATGTCGGGTTGGATTGATTAACGATATATATATATTTATGTTGTATGAACTCATAGCCATACATTCTTCATCCAAAAAACCTCCATCTACCTTCATGTATATGCATGAGTGTGGTTTTATTTTTTATTTTTCATATCGTTTCTTTAGTTTCCATTCCCATCACTGTAGTAACAATGTCGTAGAAACATCGTCAGTAGAACTCATAGAGGCTTTTATTTGAAGGTCTGTTTCAAGTATCTAAGTTCGTAGTCACTCAATGTTGCTTAAGTCTGTGTAAAGATATTTTTTTTGTAAACAAATGTAGTCATCGTTTAAAAACTTGTAAAAATTCAAAAGACGGTTGGTGATGCGTAGAAAATATACAAATAATTTTAACCGAAGACTTCTGTGTGTGAAAAAAAACGGAATGCCCTTATATCTATTGTTGCGGTCAATTTAAATTTATACTTAAATTCACATGCTAAAAAAACAATATAGATAAAAGACGTTGAAAATTTGTCGGTGTGGCAATCAGCCGTTTAGCTTAGTGGCTAGAGCGTCAGGGCGCGAATCCCCAAGACATGGGTTCGATTCCCACAGCGGTGAAAAGCTTTTCGTTCCTTTTATCAACAAATTTTATTGTCAATTTAAATGTTAGAATTATGATCTATTTTATTTTGCATGAATAATATCGAATGTAACAGCGCATCAGGATAAATGCCATGTGTTTACAACCCAGGTCTTCAAATAATCATTTGTAAATTTGTCTTTTGATAATTATTATTAACGTAACATCATTATAAATGACGCCGTAGTTTCATGAAAATAGCTCTAGATTATATTTTGAAAATTTATTTAAAATTACAAGAATTATACCTCCTAGCGACTTTCTTTCTAGTTAAAGAAAAACATTTCTAAATGGACTCGAAACAATTTTAATAGAACAACTGTTGCAAGTACATCGTAATAAATAAAGAATAATCCTTTCTTGCACTATGAATACGTTTAATTTTCTTAGTTTCTACAAGGGACAGTTTTTTAATTGAAGGTTGAGGTTGTGGTAAGCATTAGACCTTAAAAATTCATGATTGGCTTTTGTAATTTGTTTATTATCTAATGAGGTAATGTTATAAAATTTGGGTAAATTGCAACATGAAATAATCCTTTTGATGGGTCACATATCGTGAAACCAATTGAATCGAAAAGAATCAAGGAGAAAGGTGATAAGAAATGGACGTTTATATTTATGAATGAAGATAGACAGAAGAGGAGAAAGAGATCGAATATAAACGTAATATTTTAAGGAGATATATTTTATATATTTGTGTCAACTATTTGCTGTTGCGAAAGGGCTGACTTCTGAGGACGGACCAGACCGGAGTGGAGTGGAGGCATTCCCACTTTTGCACGTTTATTTTGGTCCGTGTAATAACCAGTGCCCACTCTCTTAAAGGGTGGGCAAGGCCCCTTTTTTAAAGATTGCGTTGGCAGCCCCACCGCCTGCTCGCTTGCTACTTTCTTGTATAATAAAGCAATGGATGTGCTCTACTCTGGGGTGAACTGGAGAAAATCTACACGTATCGAATGCAACCTCAACTTACCTTAATGTACCAAAAGATAAAAAAGTTATATAGAAAACAATTTATTAACCTTTTATTAGTAGCTACGTCAATAGACATTGTGGACGTTTATATTGGGTTTTATTGTAACATGAAAGGATCGGCTCTTAAGGCACAGGGACGTTTGAAATGAGTTTTTATTAAACATTCATTATACTTTTTGTCTATTCAGGGATTCTACCATTAGCAGTTTTGATAATCACAGTGCGACGGAATCATACGCACGTCGATGCATGTACACCTATCGAAATACAAACCAACATAATAATATCTTTAAGCTTTCTTTTAGTGGAATGGGATAGAAAACCTAACGCATACGATTCTGTACCCTATATCCTACGGGCTAAGTTATATTTTTGCATTAATCGTTTCCTTTCCATGGATTGTGTTGTCTAACGCACTACACTAGATGAACTTATAGCCATAAAGTCCTGTTCAGTTCTCTCTATACGATCGAATCACTCTATATTTATCACACACACCAGCGGTGACGATATGTTCTTCCATTGACCCTTTGCATGAGCCTTTTTAAGTCATTGAACAAAATAAGTCAGTCCAGTTGGTAACAAAAGAGTTTACATTTAATAAAAAGATTTTATATTTCTTGGGGATCACCGATTGTACTAAAAATTAAGCTTAAATTTGATGATGGCAAATAGTAAGAGGAAAAGTTTATGAAATGGTAATTTATTTCAATTATAAATAAGTATATTTATTTGAATTATAAATAAGTATTTATTAGGAAATATTCGTTAACGTATCTAGGCATTAGTCATATATCTCGCACTTGGTAATTTGCAAATATTTTTCAGTAATTAATAGCGTTACAAAGCGTCAATATTGGTGTAAAATGTTAGAAATGTAATAAATTCGAGTCGAGTTTGCTTCCAAACGTGACGGAGTTCTTTCGGCTGTGCTTCTTAGGCTGCTGTTTTCCTAAGCCGTGTTTAGGCGAATAATGTCTAACGCCGACCGCGCGTCGCAGGTTCTCTGTGGCGATACATACGCGCGTCGATGTCGCTCAGCGGTTACATGCCGCCGCTTTGCGACCCCGTAGACGGCCACCTCCTATTGGACGGCGGTTACGTCAACAACCTGCCAGGTAAACCAATCACGGCGCGCGGTGATCACGCGGCGGGGTGCGTCACGCGGTCCGCGGACGGTGTGACAGCCGTCACGCGGTGCGCGTACGGCGTGACAGCGGTCACGCGGCGGACGCACCGCGGGACGCGACGCGTAGTATGGGTTGTTAGGCTGAGTGTAAATATTTTCCGTGTTCCATCATTGTCTCTGGGTTCCCCCGGTACGGCGATCTAGCACGTTAGCACCCAATGGCTATCCTTAAAGCTGTTTCTTAAGACTCATCTTCTAGTTGTTGCCTATCGCGCATTTTCTGAATCGTGTTCAAGTATGAAGTCACTAATTTTCCTATCTATTGCACAAGCCTTCTCGTTTTACGTTAATATATTTAAATTTATTGACTTTGACACGTTTTTATTGACGACGGTTTTATTACATACTAAGTTTTTAATATTTACACTCGGCCGCCGAGCTGCCCTCTAACGGTAAGTGATGGCAACATCGATTGGCAAACACTGGCGGCGCTTGTGAATGACGCAAAGTGGCGTATACTAGCCAATGTTGCCAAACGCCAGGTGTACTGTGGAGGTATTGCCGTGCTTCGATGAGCATCGCCGGGATTTTCCCGCCAATCTGCGATACCATTGACGGTCACCTTTTATTGGACGGCTGCTACGTGAATAACGTGCCAGGTAATTGTTGAGGATTTAAATTTACTAACAGATTAATTATATATCCGATACGTTGTGAATTTAATTTGAAAAATAGGGTAGTTTTGGTCTTAGTTCAAATTTAGTTAAAACCTCGAGCATACTCTTATAAGGGAAAAAATACCCTTACACGAGTATGATATGTCAAAGATAACATTTTCTCATGTTTTCCCCTCTTATTTACCAAAACATTTCAACGAAACTATGAAACTATTTTGAAACGTTTCAAATCATTTCAACTAATTTATTATTTCAATGTGTCAACGGGGTGTTTACGGGCATTTGCAGCGGACGTTATGAGGTCTTTGGGCGCGAAGCACATCCTGGCGATAGACGTGGGCTCACAAGACGACACGGACCTCACAAACTACGGCGACGACCTCTCCGGATGGTGGCTGCTGTGGAAGAAGTACGTTCATATAATTTCTCTTATTAATAGTAACAGCCTATACATGTCCCACTGCTGGGCAAAGGCCTCCTCTATACAGAGGGTATCAGGGCATAGTCCACCACGCGGCCCCACTGCGGATTGGCGGACTTCACATATTTTCAAAATATATTTTTTTGTTACTATTTCGAAAATATGCAGGTTTCCTCACGATGTTTTCCTTCACCGCGGAGCACGTGATAGGTCAGCACTTAAAGTTAAAAACTTCATTGTTGCCGGCACTGGGGATCGAACTCAGGTTGCTCGAGTATATTGAATTAAAGGCGAGCGCCCGGACACTAAGCTATCATGGCTCTTAAATTAATGCGGGTACTGAATAGTTGAAAGAAACAATTTTCTGTAATCATTAATAATCATTAAGTTTAGTTACTATTACCCCCTTGCATTAAATTTCTACGTTCGTTCAAACCCTGGAATTTATTAAAAATATCTTGCTATTTCATATTAGTTTGAATTCCTTCGTGTCATCAACCGGCTCCCGCCTTCGGTGTTTATGTTTAAAATGTACATAAATTTAAAATAAAAAACGTTGTATTCCGTAACAATTCATCAGATGAATTAATATCCAGAGCTTTATGAAAGCAACATAACATATCGATGAAACACGTCGCTACCGCCAAAAATGTATTGCAACCAACAGTCCTAAATAAAACAAAGTTCGCGTGGAAATTTGAAAAATACACTGTAAGACTCTAATGAGTTTGTATCAGTTTAATGTATAAAAATGTGTAGAAAAAAGGGCAAAAAGTTTTTTACCGCTGTGGGAAACGAACCCACCTCTTCGGGATTTGCTCCCAGATGCTGTAGTTGAATGTATTTTTACCCGACTGCGCCAGAATGAGGATTATGTTTTTCGAGAGTATGGTTGTATGTATAATTGTTCGGCACGCTCTGCAGCCTGAACGGCTTGAGAGTGTCGTTAGATTCGTATTTACTATGAGAGCGACACTGGGTATATCAAAATAAAAAATTACACAAACGTAGTCGGGTTTTTTTAAGTTTTTGTTAAATTATCTTCTACTTTTTTAAACTGTACAAGGTAAAAACATAAATAAAGTTAAAGCTGAATATTAAAAATCTTCCAGATGGAATCCGTTCACCACACCCGTCAAGGTGCCAAACCTGCCTGACATCCAGAGCAGGCTCGCTTACGTGTCGTGCAACCGACAGCTCGAGGTAACGAGAAGTTTATTGCATCGAGTTTGGAATTCGTCCTTATTTCTTTAGTAGCACGTTAATCAGTCGATGGCGAATGAAAACCGACCTCCGAAAAATTATAGAGGTCGCTGGGTTGCCAGCCCTCTAGAGGGTGTTATCCAACCAATCTATATACACTGCACTTTGTACCAGTTGCTCTTGGTACTTCATCTACCGATGTTGGTATGTTGGGAAGCTGTTACGTACCCATGTATAGTAAGTAAACTTATTATCCTTTTTGAAAATGTTGGCAATTGTGACACTTTTTTTTAATAGCGTGTTTCGTTTGTTAAGGTAATGCACCACGCTAGGACAGCACGTTCTGTCAGGTCAGCCGGGCAAAAGCTTAGCTTAATATTGCTGTTGCCGCCTCACGCAGTGAATCACCTAGAACTATATTGAATGCATTTCATGACGTCGTGGTTCCGCGTTCGGTAGACCACTCGTCATACAAGGTTTATTCTCAAATGCGAGAGTTTATAGGTTTTAAAGAGCAGCTGCTTCCCTTAATAGAAAAATAAGCGCCGTACCGTCGAAGAGGCTATATCTTTTGCGGTGGCTCTCGAACCGGACCAGGCAACCAACTCCCCCAACCCTGCCCACAGGAGGTGAAGAGCTCCGACTACTGCGAGTACATCCGTCCGCCCATCGACGCGTACAAGACGCTGCAGTTCGGCTCGTTCGACGAGATCCGCGAGGTGGGCTACCGGCACGGCGCCGCCTACTTCGAGGGGCAGCGGCGCGGCGGCGGCGGCGGCGTCAGCGGCGTAGGCGCCGCGCAGCCGAGGCGCCAGCCCGCCCAGCCCACACTCACAGAGTGAGTGGACGCACACGCACACGCACACGCACACGCACACGCACACGCACACGCACGCTCGCACGTACACGCACACGCACACGCATACGCATACGCACACTCGCACACACAAAGCGCTCGGTCGGCAACTCTGCTCGCAAACACTACAGATGCCACAGATCGCAGACAGGACTGCAGATACAGGACTACATATATAGTAACAAAATATACAATGCAAGACTGCAACAGATACATTACTAAACATACATATGCATGGCTATAGATACGGGACTCCAGAAAGACAACAAAAGACCAGATAGATGCATACGAAACTCCTGATGCTGGACTACAGCTACTGGTGTACAGATACGGGACTAGAGATTCTGGAATACAAATTCGGGAATACAGATACGGGACTGCAGTTACTTGACTACAGATACAGTAATAAATATACGTTAACTGTAGTAGGTAACGCAGGACTACATATACATCGGTACACGTGTAATGGTACTCAAAAACAAAAAAAACAGGCTTTATTGTGAACTAGCTGTTCTCCGCGGCTCCACCCGCGCGGCGTAAAGGAATTAAAAGTGAACAATGGCTGTGTGCTATGTGCGATTTTTTCCTACTTAGTTGACAATTATCATTACCTATTTTTTGGACAATTCACACCATATCTTTATAAATTATAGTCTATGTGTTATTCTGATGTATAAGCTATATTATTGTAGAAAATAGAAATGTTACTTGTATTTACTACCATATAGGTGAAATTTTAATCTAAGAAAGGGATAATTTTCATTCGCCCAGCTATACCTTCACTGATCTGGCTCAAATGGTGTGCTCCGTTCGCACCGCCCGCGACCTGGACAACTCCTCATCCTCTTCCTCCGATTACGAGGAAGACCAGAGGCACTTCGACGGTTACGCGTCCGAGCCCAGCGCCGGAATCCTTGAGGTAGGTTACTATATTATCCTAAATAGTTTACAATCGGTTTATTATCCAATATTCTTTCAAAATATTTCATTACTTGTTTCGATTTGGTTCTCATATTGATGATAAAATTTTCCTTTACAGGATTTTAAAATTCTCTTTCACTATTTTAGGATTTGATGTGATTTATTGTAGAAAATGTAACTGATTTGACTGTCGTATAATTAATTAAGGTGGATCCTGAAATATTAACTCACCAATGAAATGTCTATATGCAGTGGGTTTCTTGAATAAGAAAACTTAAGAACGGTTTAAATTGGAACGTAATTCTACTTAAATTTCCGATCTCTTTACTTCATCTCAATTTGAATCTTATACGTATGTGATTTAAGTCGATTGTGCTTCGCACCGTTTGGCAACGGGCGGTCTGTTGTCGACGCAAACGTTTGACGGATTTCTGTTGTTGTACGGCAGATGTCCTCGAGTGTTGAGGAGGGGGCCGCGTGGATCAGTGACACGGAATTGGTGGGCACATATTGAGCTGCACGAGTGCACATTAGTTTGGGTCTAGAACGATTTTTTTTATTTTTTTTTATGTCTCAACGCACCACGGGGCTTTGGTTTGCCGGTTGCTGGGGATGGGATGGACAACGGACGTTCCTGTACACCATTGATTCAAATTTCTTTTTTATAATTCGTCAGTTATCGTCGAGGCTTCGATATGCTGTGGATCTGAAAGGTTGTAAATCGTTTGGCAATATCGAGGGCGATTAAATTGAACTTTGTCGAGAAAAGTGAATTGACTTTTTTTTAATTAAAAAAAAATAACAAGACCGCAGAGCTTCTCGCCGGTTCGTCTTTGTACAGGTCTAATTTAGTGAACAAGAAAAGCTGCCTGTATTGAATAATGAAAAACTTGACTTTGACTTGTTACATATTATGGCAATAGAGGAATTTTATAGCCACGTTAAAGTGAAATAAACAAAAGTTTGAACTAATGTTAGACCGATGGTATCTAATTCAGAGCATGAGGACGATACGCCTTTTGCAATTTTGAACGGAATTTTTTAGAAGTTCTGTTGGTGATGCTTAGCAAATAAACTTACTTGGACGTTCGTTGTCATCCAATCCTTTCATTTTTGTCGGGGCTTGGTTCTTCTACGCAATTTTGTAAAGCACAGCAAACAGATAGCCGTGATAGTTCAGTTTTTGACCGACTTCAAAAAAGAAGGAGGACTTCGTTTCGATGATTCTTCTTTTGTTGGAAAGGAGATCCCAAGGGTGGTACCATGATAACCCTGATCTGATGATGGCATCCCAGAGAAATCGAGGTCAATCCTCGAATGTTATAGGTTTTAACAATGTTCATTAGTCTTCGGTTTGAAGTCGGTTTTTTTTTGTTTAAAAATTATCACTTGTAATTCAATATACTCGAGCAACCTGAGTACAAATCCTGATGCACGCACCAGTGAATTTGTTAAATTTAAGTGCTGAATTATCACGTGCTCAGCGGTGAAGGAACACACCATGACACCTGCGTATTTTCGAAACAATAAAAAATATTTTTCGAAGATATGTGAAGTCTGGCAATCAGTAGTGGGGTCGCGTGGTGGCCTATGCCCTCATACTCTCTGTACAGAGGAGGCTTTTGCCCAGGAGTGGGACATATGTAGATTGTTACTTTTTAGTTCAGCTCCGCCATTCTAATTAGTTAGCCACGTTTGTAAATTACAACAAAGTAACATCAACTGTTTGTTTTTATCAGTGGGGGTTTTGCCTTAAAGTCTTGGATACTGGGAAATACTGGTTAAGGTCATGCTTATAATTATGTTTTTATAAAATGATTTATTGGGTCAAACGGTGCAACTTTTGATTCGAGCCTATCATACGTAAGATTTTTCTTTTTTTTTTTTATGCGAAAAGTTGTCAAACGAGCAGACGGTTCACCTGATGTTAAGTGAATACCGCCGCCCATGGACATCTGCTACACTCGAGGGTTACAGATGCGTTGACAACCTTTTGAAAATTGGGCTCCGGCTACCTCACTCACCAGACGAAACGCGAAGAAAGTATGTGTCATACTTCCACTTTACGCCGGTCTTCTGTGAGGTCGTGGTACTTACCCGGACGGGCCTGCCCATTCGTGCAACAGCCGAGGCTGCTGCGTGGCCCTACCACCGTAATATTCTAAGATTTTTTGTTCTAAACAAATTCTCTTGATGCTCTGCTCTCTAATAGTCTTGTACTTTGATATCTTCGTATAATACAATAATTTTCGACTAAATGACTTTCTTTTGTAATTCGATGTTACTGTCTCACTGAATGTTTCTTTAATTACCATCGTCCTCCTGCCCTTATAATTACCATCGATGTGCCGTCGGCACAATATGTGTAAGCGTCTTCACTAGGTTTTCTACGACCTTCCTTGGGAACAAACACCCAGATCACGCAATCTGTGCCTCACATAAATATTTGTCCCGTGTGGGAATCGAACCCACGACCCCCCGCGCCGAAGCCAACCTTACTATCGTAAATACTGAGTTACTTATAGATAGTACAATATCATGCCTAAAATGATTATGAACATGATTCCCCTTGTATGTTAAAACAATTCTTCGAGGTGTACTTTTTGACATTGTCTGTCTCAGGGAGCCAAATACAAAGGCGGCTATAAACAATCTTTCTAGCGTAAAATTATGTAGAAATTGTAATACATAAAAAACTATCCACATCGATGTTGTATATATATAAAAATACTTAAAACTATTAAGTATTTTTATGATGATAATTAATATTTTATTAATATTTAACCGCTTATAACGGCCATTTATTTAATTATTAATTTTATTTAGCTTCATTTTAATTGTCTTAATAAGGCATATTTTTAATTTGTAATCTTAGATAGAATATTGTTCATTTAATGCCAATATCATTAACATTATACAACACTTTTCGACTCTACGTAACCGAGTAAATAAGCATTTTCCATAAATATATTAAAACTGAAACATATAATTTCCAGACGATGTGTAAACTTTGACAAACTTCTTCATACTAAAAAAGTGAAAAATCATTGTTAAGGTAAACAAACTTGGCGTTTATAATCAGAACAATAAATCACGTAACACTAACGCCTTACCACATTAAATAAACATTTAAAATTTCACCAAACTGTTCCATTAACCCGGCCTCCTATCAAACAGCTTTGGGTAAGGCTATTTTCACTGATCATATAGCTCGCGAGACAATTTTTAACGAAACATTACACAGACGAACAGTTTCACTAAAACCGCGCTTACTAGCGATCCATTGACACGGACTGAGGTGAATTCGCTTCGAGTTGAGCTGTTTTTAACGGACTACGTATTGTAGAAACAGCTTTATTCGAGCGATTATAGATGGATGATTGAGATTCGATACCGCGCGATCGTAGGAGGGCCTCCGCACGAGGCGGGCGGGCGGCTCCTTGTCGCTGTCAGAGGACGAGGTGGACTCCGAGGCGGAGGTGTACGATCCGCTGAACAAGCGCGGCGGGAACAGGTGAGACGCGACCCTGCACGATCTGTGCAAGGCGCTCTACGTGTACGCGCGCGCCGGGAGGGACTGAGCCTGGACGCCACTACCTCCCCCTCGACTCTACCGCCGCCGCCCTCAACTCTACCGCCAACGCCCCCGACTCTACCGTGAACGCCCCCAACTCAACGCCCCCGACTCTACCGCCAACGCTCCTAGCTCTACCGCCAACGTCCACTCGCCTTTATCGATTCGCGCCCAGCCAAATCTATTAATGTTATTGCGTACACGTGTACATCTGTTTCTGCGCCCTTGTATTTGTATTTTTATGGGGAAGAAGTTGGATAGTAAGTCCCAACGACCATTTCGATATAGAAAGATCTATGTTGTCTTACATTCGAAACCATTGCCCCCTTACTGTAGGATAACATTATTCTGTGTTGTAAGGACGTTTTACGTACATTTTTTCATGTGAACAAATGCTTGGATCCGAAACAATTATCTGTGCGTCTCACAAATTGTTTTCCCTTATGGAAATCGAACCCACGACCCCCGGCGGTGAGGCTGTTTACCTTGGCAACTGCGCCACGAAGTCATTGGAGCCCTTGGACTTTAGTGGGGGAAGGGAGTGAAAGTTTTTTTTTTGGTAGAGAAAAGCGCTTTTAACGCTGCAATGTGATTGTAATTTGACGGCTTTAAAGCGCTAAATGATGGTTCTTTTTAGCTCGTTAGCTCGGACGTTACCCTGACACCTTTACGGCAGCTTTGTCGTGTACTTTATATAATATTTTGTGTGTACTTTTGAGTATATCCAAATGTTTTGAATTGTGAGTGCGAATTGCACATGATCCAACTTTGTGATCGATAAATTAATCGGTAATAAAGCCTGGCGTGTCGTAAAGGGCGCGCGAAATTTCGAAAATAATTATCGAAAAATATGTGTAGATGTCTTTGTTATAATGTTAATAGTTTTTCTTGTATTACCAATCTAAATAATATTATGGTAATAAATTGAACATTAGATTTGTATTGTGTTATGAGATGAACGCTTCAGGAACGCGTCTACATTGAAAGTATAAATAATACGACAGTACGAAATTATGATATTCCAAAGTATGCTGTGATTATGGTGAAATTATTTTTAGCTCTACTTAGTTGATAATTATATGTAAGTTGGTATATGTAACAGCTGAGTGTATTTTTTGCTTTTAGTTATATGAAATTGATTTCCTGGTTTAATTTTTTCACTTTTGAAGTCTTTTGAAGGTTTGATGATGATGATGGATCTAGTTCTTATTCCGGCAGTATTCTCGAGTCTGTGCCTAAAGCCGTGTGTTCCCAATTATTCTGTCGGCTTATTTTATTACATATATTTGTAACACGTGCATTGGATAAATATCTATATCAAATCTCTAAAGTATTGAAAGTATACGAAAAAATTAATACATGTATAAACTTTACTTTTTGTATCCTGGAATTTGATGGAAACTCAATAAGGTTCAATAAATAAATAAATATCATCTATTACAATGCCCATGTGAGATTTTATGTGATAACAGTATGAGAGTAGGCACCCGAAAAGTTTTTATATTAAGGTACAAATAAAGTTGAAGGATAAGGAATGTTATTTTTCCTAAAGCTCCTTTTTAAGTTGTTTCCTCATTTAATGAATTCTAGATTTAAACGTGAGCCGCACAAACTAACAAGAGAAAAAATATTATTTTAATATGTTGAGTTTGTTCCAGTATTGGGAATTCTTAAAAAAAATGTACTATTTTCGATTTAATTTTTAAATGATTTATCTACGTATCGTTCTATATTTGATATTCGGACCTTTCCGGAATTCCAGTATTTTGTGTTATACGACTAAGTTATAAACGGAGTGCTATATCGATATCTACGTTTGACTAAGTCACTAATGTCTTGCCAAATATATGAGGACAATGAACAGTAGAAAATAGTAAATTTTAATTAATTTAAAAATAGAACTTATTTTAAAATGGAACGCATCGTTAGGCTTACAATTTGTATGTCATATTCAATGTCGTTCATAGCCTCAGTTTTGTCCTAATTTTTGAAGCTATAATGATTGTTAAATAAAACACATTCAAAATTGTGATATCACGTTAAATTATAAGTGCGCTTTCAAAACCAATTTACATGAAAGTGAAATTTCAATTGAATTTGTTAAATTATTTTAAGTTTTACGAATGTTATATTCATCGCAAATGGTACAGTCAGGTGTTTTGGTCAAAATTAGCCCAAAGTGTACTTAGGGCATTGACGATTTTCAATGAGTTGAATTGACAGTTTATATTCTATTTGAAAGAGTATTTATTGTGTTTTCTGTAAAAAGCAATTTTGATGACAGCAGCCCCGAATTTGTACTTGTATTTTGCGACTATCGCTATATGTAGCACTACTATTTTAGGTGATACAGAATTTGTCTTCTAAACTAGTTTTCTACAATACTACGATAGAATTTTATCAATATCAAAGTCTTCTAAACTAGTTTTCTTCAATACTACGATAGAATTTTATCAATATCAACGTTTATATGATATCTCGCATATATTCAGTGTTAGGTAGCTTTAATTAAGTAGTCGTTTGTTAATATTGCCTACAAATTATTCTAATCACCGTTGCATAGCGACCTTCTTAGAAAATCACGCTTGACTACTCAAAAATTCTTCCAAACGCAATGTGGATTGTATGAAAATGTTTTTACGGTGTTTTGGCGCGAAACTATCATCCGTGTGACGTTTTGTGTCGTAATAAGATTTACAATGTAAATAAAAAGTCTGCACCGTAATAGTATTTTCGACCAATGGGCGATATACGTCGTGTATGTATCAATATATTGTTCTATTTAATAGTGCATGTCTGTACGGTAGCTTAATCGACTGATGTTTTATATCTTTAGCGTAAGTCCGCCAACTAAGGCACAAAAATGCGTATTAAAATACCAAATGTAGCTCAACTAGTTATGTACGATGTCCCCGAATAAAAGTGCTTAAAAACAACGAGAAATTTGTTTCATTTCTTTCGCAGTAATTTTGACTTGGTTTTTTACAATTACAATGATTGTTAAATGTTTTACAATTATTATTTGATGGCAAATACAATTACATATTCCGCTTTTCTATTATAAAATCTCGATTCTATTATAAGTACTTTTTTTTAGATATAAAGTGACATTAATTAGTTGAGATAGTCTGTTTGAAGGTTGAATTGAAATCAAAAGTCAGTTGGTCTCGTTTCAATTTATGTAAATATTTACTAAGCTCCAAAAAGAGCGCTCCGTATACTTCTCAAAAATTGTAAAGACATCTTTACTAGCAGAATTTGAAAGAAATGGTCATATGACAATACTAACTATACGGCAATACTACAAAGGCGTAACACACGTGCCTGTTTCCTAACGAACAAATTAGCCGGTAATATCAGTCGTACGGCTTCCAATTTATGGCTCGTATTAACCGCTCCTTCGCGTCCAGCACCTGCCTTATATAAGTGCACAAGTTTACCGCATCCGGCTCATCGTCTTTGCCTTTCCGAAATTCCTGGCACACCGCCAACGCGTTCTGCGGTACATCGTCATCTACCTCGTCGGTGCCGACCCACAGCTCGGCGGGGCATACGGCGGCGCTCCTCACCGCATCCATCCAACGGGCCCCCACGTGCTTCCTTATATCGGGACAATCGCACAAGTTGATCAGCACCTGGAAGGAGCGCAGTTGGAGTGCGGGGCTCTTGGTGCATCGGCACAGACCGACCAGGGCTTCTGTGAGCTCGGCGCAGATCTCCTTAGCGCGCCATTTGGAGCGCGCGGTGAGTGTCGCGTACTGCATCAGGCCGACGGCGCTGATGCGTACCGCCATCGAGTTCGAGTGGAGGTGCCCGAGAAGGACGAAGTTCAGATCGTTGGCGTCCGCCAGTTCCTTGCCGACGGAGTGGCAGCACAGCTGCGCCATGCAGTCCATCGCGGCTGCCACTATCCGAGGGTCGTTATTGACGAATAGCGCGAGAGAGACCTGGAAAGCGTTCGCCTTCAGCGCCGGCACTGGGTCCCAGTCGGTCAGGTTGGTCAGCGTGCGCAGGTGCAGCAGAACTGTGCCGGTGTGGTCCTTCTTTATCAACTTTATTAAGTTCTCCACGATCCCCTCCACGGTCATCATCAGTTCGCAGCAGCACAGATGGTATGAGAGCGCGTTCAGAGCGTGCGCCGCCGCGTACCTTACCTCCTTCCTCTCCCTCATCGCCAGCCACATCAAGTTGGTTATCACTTTGGGCCGCGTCATCAACTGCCTCCTGCCTTGGTAGCTGGTCGCCAGGTGTGAGATTATGTTGCACACCTTCTCCATCACGATCGGGTTCCGGGACAGCATCAAGTCGACGAGACGGTGGGCGACGTGAAGGTCTATCAGGTACATCGCGCTCTCGGAAATCTGCAACTGGAAATGGGGAAGATTTTTTTGTTAGAAAACAAAGTTTTTATGTAAGAAGGTGGCAAACGAGCTGGTGGTTCCCCTGATGTTAAGGTATAATCGCCGCGCATTGACATGTGCAGCAGATGCGTTGCGATCTTTTAATAAAGTGGGTCCAGGTACCTCATTCCCCAGGCGAAACGCAGAAGTGTCAAACTTCCACTTCACGCCGATCTTCTGTGAGCCCGTGGTACTCACCTGGACGGACCTGCCTATTCGTGCAGCAGTAAAGACAGTTGCGTGGCCCTACTACTTACATGTTAATTGAGAAAATCGTTTAGGATTTCTATGAAAATAAAAACGAGGGATTTGTGTCTAGTATAACTAGATTTATGCACATTGAGATGATGACTGAAATAACCGACCAAATTTTGAGAAGTATAACAAAGTAATCCTACAAAACAAATAAAAAAACGTTCTTGTCAATCTTGATATACAAATGATCACAAATTGCAATAGGAGCTATATCTGAGCCTAAACGTAAAGAGACACTTGTTTTTTTTATGAGAAGATGGCTAGCGAGGTGGCCGTTCAGGTGATGTTAAGTGATAACCTGCCTCTCATGGACATCAGCATCACCCATTAGTTGCAGTTGAGTCCCGCATTTGAATGAAGTGGGGCACCGGCTACCATACCAATCGATCCTACCAGTTCTTGCAACAGCAGCCTGCTGCGTGGCAGCACCGCAGTGGCAACATTAGACTTGACATGATCATAAGCTATAGATATAGTTTACATGGCACTTACCTGGTCGAGCACGCTATGCAGGGCTTGCAATTGGATTAGCTGGTCGTCCGAATGCAGGTCCCTGACGAGGAGACGCAGGCCCGTGCGGCCGAAGCCGAGGCGGGCGCGCGTTATGTCCACGTGGGGCGCGTACAGTGACGGCTGCATAGATTCCAGACGCTTTGCGGCGGGCAGCTCTGAATATGGTGGATATTGTGAAGAATTTATATCAACAGCAGCTTTGTTCGTGATGACTGAGTCACGGTCTATTTCAAGCGGGCCATCGGCATTGACTGGACAGTTTTGGCGAACAGGCCAAATATTGTGATAATGATCGTTAAGTCACTGGCCAAGATGCTAAGCTGTCTCCTTCGTCCTATAGTCAGGGATCAGAAAGATCGACGTACATGCGCAAATATATCACCCGGCTTTACACTAATAAAAATTTAAATATTATTCTTCTTCTTTAGCCCTCTGCTACTTCACAGAACAAATGTGAGTAAAAGTAATAAATATAGAAAAGTTGCCTTTGCTGACTAGTAGAAATTACTTCCTCACTAACAGAATACTTTTATTGGTGTTATATTAAAACCGTTCGTAACAATAGCTATCACGATTCAATAAAATGACAAGACGGAAAGAAATCAATGACAAATTAAGTTTTTATTTCTCTCCTGGTTATAACGGGACTTAGAAGGCAATGGTGTTTAAAATTTTTTTTTATGTGAGAAAGTGGCAAACCAGCTTGCGGTTCACCTGATGTTAAGTGATAACCGCCGCCCATGGACATTTCCAATACCCGTACGGTTGCATTTGCGTTGCCACCCTGTAATACTTGTGATTTAATTATATGTGCTGTAATTATATTACCACCGTGTGTAATACTTCTACTTACGCCGGTCTTCTGTGAGGTCGTGGTACTTACCGGGATGTACATGCCCATTCGTGCAGCAGTGTTGCGTGGGCCTACCACTCCGTAAAGATTGTTTTACATTATATGACATTATAAAAGTGAATGTGACAGACGATATAGAACATATGATACGCACAGTGATAGCAGTGTATAGAATTGCACTCTAATTGCCCCAATTGGCGCATTTTGAGTGCCTCAATTTCGGTGCGCTAGTGTCATCTACCTCGTATTTGCATATAATGCAATAAGATATACAATATGTAAGATTTGCCTAACGTAATTGTGAAACGGTGTTACCTGTTTACAAACATTACCTGTGTGAGGGTCCAATCGTTTCACCTGCATCGCCTGGTCCACTGCTTTGTTTATCACCCGAGGGTTCACCGCGCACACCAGCTGCAGGTACGAATTCTTGTGCGGACTGAACATGATTCACAATTTGGATCGCTTATTAAGGATTGATATGAAAAAAAAATATTATAAAAAATTTCGTAAAACGTTGACAGTTGGCTGTCGTGTTGCGTCACTGTTATTTCATTAGATTGTCAGTTAACAGATTTGTTTTTTTTTTAATTCGTTATTTATTTTGGATTTTTGAAACTTGTTAGTTACACCAATTTTTTTTAGTATGCAAAATGCAAAAAGTGTATGGCTGTAATAAAGTTGAAGTCAACTGTTCGTTGCATAGCTTGGCAATATGGTGCTAGGAGTACGTTGTTGGAGATTTGTTTTTATAATCATTTTTTGAAAATATTTTACTTCATATTTGTTATTACAAAATATACTTCTCTTTAAAAAAAAAACACTAATGTCGTCGCTCAATCTTCTTCAACAGCATCTTTACACCATTGGTTTCCTCACAGGTTATATTAACAGTTATTCAATGAACAAATTGTTTATCTACTTTTTATTATATCATTATATTTCTTAATACTTAATCTTTAATACTTAATGATTAACTAAGCTAACTACTTTTAAAAAAACTACTTTTATAAGTTTCTTAAAATATAATTTTATTTAGACAGCCGATCATATATATAAAACATATTCCACATTGGAGGTAATAAAATAATAAACAAATAATGAAATAGTATTCTCTTTTAATGTAACCGTTTCATAATCAGCCGCAAGACGTCCACCGTTGAACATAGGCTTATAACGCCTCAACGAACGACTCTATGCCATTTGTAACCTAAAATATTGCTGCCCCCGTACTTATTGACGTGGTATTCATTTCCTCGGAAACGGTGCCCTGAATCCTTTCCGCCGACACTTTGTGTCCACGATGAGTTGCGCCTGCCTCTTCAAATAGCAGCGCGAAGGTATGTCCTCTTCTTCGTCCGACACTGAAGTACAGGTGTAAACGACATTGGCGATTGGATAAAATAAAGAAAAGAGCAGTGGAATAAAGAAAGCAGCGGTGGGTTAAAATAATATACTGAGCTTTCTTTAAATACAGACCTATTACAATTACTAATGATGACTCCGTTGCCAAGGTATTGGCTTGGGCGCCGGCAATCGAGTGTGATTTCCACGAAGGAGAACTTTATTTGTATGAACCACAGGTCGTAAATTAAAAGTATTATACTTACACGTTTTGGGCTGGTGAGTGAGGCAACTGGGTAGAGTTTATTAACGCATCTGCAACCCTTCAAATGTTGTCCATGGGCGGTGGTAATCATATAATCACAGGTGCACCGTGCATGAAAGTGTATTGGTACTTAGGTATATTTTATTCAGAAAATTCCTGCGAAAAAGCTGTGGCTACAGGAAATAAATGTATAGTTACACGAAAAAGGTTAGACTCGGAAATATGTACATACCCGGGGCTTTCGTTGGTTCTTTGTGTACTAATTCTTTGTAAGTGGGCACAGCTTTTTCCGAGTCCTTCGGTGTGCTGTGACTGTATATACTCATTCCGGCGATAGATGGCGCTGCACTAGTAGTCTGCAATTTTAAACGTGATTGCTTATTGTACTTTGAATTACATTAGTTATGTTGTTTCTTTTTTGAGTATAATTTAATTAATAAATAAAAAATACTGATTATTTTACTACCATTGAATGACATTATACAGATCGAGGCCGATACAACATTCCTTTAAACAGATGGCAAAAAAAATGATGATAAACGTAGTGATTACATTCTCTTTGCAGATGGTGTCAAAATGTCAAGCAATCCAGAATAGAACTATATTATTATAAGAAATATCTATATTCCTTAGACTTGCATGGCTATAACACAGTTAGTTGAGTTGGTGCAGTATAGTCTTCATAAATTGTTTCTGCAGTAGCCTGTATAAATTGTTTCTGCAGTAAAGTCTGTATAAATTGATTCTTCTGTGAAGTCTGTATAAATTGGTTCTGCAGTAAATCTGTATATATTGGTTCCGCAGAAGTAAGTCTGTACAAACTTTCTGTGTGAATATAATTGATTTTTATTGATGATTCTGTGTGAACTCTATACAAATTGGCCATATTAACTCACGTTGGATGGCACTACGATGGTGGTGGCGTCGACCCCCTTCTCCCTAATGGCGTCGGCGCGGGCGCTGGTCGCCTCAAAGCGGGCGAACAGGACCGCGACTATCTCCTGCACGTCCCTTGCTTCTGCAGTCCACTCCGGCGTGGGAGGTTCGGGTTGCACTTGCTGTTGATACGGTCATAACACTATAAAGCTTTTTGCCTAGCTTCTTCCCTTTATTACAGCAACAGGCTAAATATGTCCAACTGTTTAGCAAAAGACTCCTGTGTACAGAACGTCCATATCTTCGGCCTATATGTGCGCAAAAGCGTCCTATGTGAACCGGCTGGGGCATAGTCCGAAATATTTTTTGTCATAATCACCATGTTTTCCTTTTTCGCTGAGCACGTGATAATCTTGTGTCAGCACTTAAAATTACTTATTTCGTTGGTGCCGGCGCCGACAACAACTTAAGTTGTTCGAGATAATGAATTAAAACGAGCGCCCGGAAACTGAGCTATTCGTTTATTGTTTAGTGAAAACTGTTTTGGCGAATGTGCTACCTTTGTATATATTTTATTTCCGTTTGTTGCCCTAAAACAAGTAAATAAAGTTGGCCCCTAATAGAAGTCCTAAGGAGCGACAATAAGCCTAATTTTGTGTTACACAAAAGCCTCACCACATGATATCGCGGCAAAGCCGAGCAGATTCCGCTGTTGGGCCCTACTAGCATCAGGTTAACCAATCGCCAATTTGTTAACTTTTTAATCTGAGAAGGTGACAAGCGAGCTGGCAGTGCACATGATGTTAAGTGATAACCGCCGCCCATTGACTTTAGGAAGAACCGGTTGCAAAATTTTAATAAAGTGAGTTCCGGCTACCTCAATCACCAGAAAAAACGACCTGCCCATTCGTACAACAGTGATGCCTGTTGCGTAGCCCTACCACGTAGAGAAAATTTTAAACTAAACATAAAATATATACATTTATTAACTTGATAAACCTGAGGGTTAATAAATCATCAGATAAAGATAAAGGGCCAATAGTAGCGAGTTCTTGATGATCTTTGTGTTTAAAAGGTATTAACTTGTGTATAATTTTTGTGGAACTATACAAAAAAACTATAAAACCGTGAAGCTTACATTTTATGTAATTCATTTAACGTAACTGTTGGAATATTACAAAAACACTGCATTCCAGTCACACAGTACTTGGTTCTTGTGGAGAGTGTGAACTGTTTCATAATAATATTTTTTTTATGTGAAAAGTTGCCAAGCGAGCAGACGGTTCACCTGATGTTAAGTGAATACCGCCACCCATGGACATCAGCTATTCCCGAGGGTTGCAGATAAATTATACGTCCACTTGACGCTGGTCTTCTGTGAGGTCGTGGTACCTACCCATTGGTGCAATAGCCTAGGCTGCCGCGTGGCTCTACCCCAGTATATAACAATATAATATATAACAATATAATATATAACAATATAGTAGTTTATTCAGTACAGACGTCTATTTTTCATTGCCCTGTTACAACAAAAATCATCCGCCGATTTCTATTATGCTAATATTTTTCATTAAAAAGTATAAAATTATACGAGGGAAGAAAACAGAAAAACCGAACAGAATTATAAGCAATAACATTCAAATAAATATTCATCGAACTTACTTCCAAAAGTTTGCACAGTTCGTATAATAACCTCTTGATCTCCAGCAGAAACGTATCGAGTTCTTCCAATTTCTTCTGCAACTCTTCATACCTTCTCTCTTCCTTTTCTATTTCTATCTTTAATTCATTAATAAGGTCTTGGCTCCTAAAAAAGTTCAAAATCAAAAATGGTATGAATTAAATAATTAGAACGTTCAATTTTTTTTATAAATTTATATAAAGTTTTAGCAAATCATTACCAATATGAAACCTAGTTATTAATAATAAGTATTATCAGCAATAAAAATGAGATAACACACAACTTAGCTTCACGAAAACTAACAATAAAATCATAATAACCACAATTCCGTGTTCAAACACAAGGAACTAAATTATATCTAGGTATTTTTTAATTGTATTACGCTTGCACAAAGCTTCTTCCTAAGGATGCCAAAGTGCTAAGGATGCCAAAGTAAGTGAAGAAATATATCGATATTTATGAAAATATCAATATCGGCCTCGATATATAGATATTTTCTCTTTAGTCCCTAAGTACCCCTTTGTCCAAAAAAAGGCATGTCAAGTATTGAATATTTGACGCCTACGGACAACTTTTGATACGATTTCCGATATTGAATATTTTGTGTCGATATAACGGATAAAAATATATCAGCTGCAAATATTGAAATATCGATATTTTTGACATCCCTACTTCTTCGTCTCTTTCTCTTTCTCTCTCTCTCTATCTCTCATTATTATTTTGTTGCGTTACGAACTCGTCTTTATCCTTAACGGAGGCGAACTTGAATCCTTCCAGCTCCGCCATGAGCGCCGTCTGTGTCTGCTCTAGCCGCAGCTTCTCCTCTTCGGTTGTCTGCTGCAGGTAGTTGAGACGCGTCGAGGTCTCGCGCTGGGCGCGGAACCTGTCGAACACCTCTTCGGGCTCAGCGACACCTGCGATATAGCCTCGATTTCAAACCACTATTGGGACATCAACTTCTTAAGCTTGGGGATTTCTGGTTTAGTTAAACGAGAAACGTGGTCGTTCTGTAATTCAGCTGGCTTGTGATTCAGGACTCCAATTTAAAGTATCGTGTACTTTACGCACGTGGTGGGATATTGAAATGTGTGATTTGAAAGCACACATCTGCGTTGGCGGGAACCTAGCTATTTTGTCTGATAAGTCAATTAAAATGATATAGGTAGATGAGACAAAATTAAAAAAGGGTTTGGAGCGAATAAAAGAAAGGGCATATTGCGGTTAAGTTATATTTTTTTAAACATTGCCCTTATTTTAGGATAACATTATCGTGTGTTGTAAGGACGTTCTACATACATAAATTTCACACGGACAAACACCCAGATGCGAAACAACTATCTGCGGGTCACGCAAATAGTTGTCCCGTGTGGAAATCGAACCCACGAACCCCGACGCCGAAGCCTTGGCAACTGCGCCACGGAGACTTGACCGCGGAGGCTATATGACAACTGAAGTAAAAGTTAATTACCCGTTAGCTTCATCAGTCGCTGGAAGGTCTCCTCCATCTGTGCTGCGGCGGAGGCTTCTTCGGTCCTTTCTGCGTCTCCGTCCACGGAGCCATTCGTCTCTTCTTGCACCACCGCTCGCACTATAACACAACAACTGAACTATAAACAACATATAAGCCGTGGGTCATTTTACAAACTATTATAACATTGTGTGAAACAATTGTTATCAATACTAGAGCACAATAATATTAAGCTATAAGTAATTCTCATTCAGATCTTGCAAATCTGCCCATTCGTTCGACAGCGAATACTGATGCGCGGCCCAACCACAGTTAAACTTTTAGTGCAATTGGTCTTTGCTCGCTCAATATTCTCTACCGTCCGTCGGTGCCCCGTTGAGCCATGAAAAGCGGCCGCAGCGCATTCGGATGCATATGCATGTGTTTGCCGGTCATCTATACTAATAACTGCGGTTTTTTGTTCGTTCATACTGCGAAAACTACTGAGCCGATCGGAATAATACTTAAACCGTAAGTTGCAGCGTGTTTCGGAGAAGGAATTATCCGGACCGGAACCTATGTTTTTTTGACTTAAAGAAGAGGGTACGACCCAGCGAAGCGGGCGAGGGACAGCTTGTTTTTGTTTTTTTTTTTTTTTATGTGAAAGCAAACGAGCTGGCGGTTCACCTGATGTTAGGTTATAACCGCCACCCATGGACATTTGCAACACCCTACGGCCGCAAATGTGTTGCCACTTTAAGTACTGCCCCGGTTAACACACGCTACGCTACGCCGGTCCTCTGTGAGTTCGCGGTGCTTACCCGGACGGACCGCGCATTCGTGCAACAGTGAACACTGCGTGGCCCTACCATAGTATATTGTATTTGATAGACATGCCGGCAGGGGGGAAGATGCGCTTCTCGAGCCTCTCCAGCTCCTGGCGGCGCTCTTGGAAGCGGCGCGCGTAGTACGCCCGCTCTGTGGCCCGGCCGTGCTCCGCCGCGTGCGCGCGGGCCGCCTCCTCTGCCGCCGCCGCCGCCGCCCGCACCCGCGTCTCCCCCGCCTCCCCCCGTATCGCCTGCAAAGCCCGACTCATCTTTTGGGTTGGCATCAATGGGAGATTGCCAAAGGAGCCACAAGCACCACTCTCGGCGCCTCTCCCCTAGCCTCTCCCCTAGCTTCTAACTCATTCGTGCTGCCCGATAACTCTGTTGAGAGTTGAATGAAACTATTTTACGATTTTATCGCGTTTCTGTTTTGCTTTTGAATTCGCGACGTTTCGAACACTGGTCTGTCTCGTGATTATGAACGCTGTAGACTGTGTAAAAAGTAAAATAAACAACCTATATTATATTAAAACTAAAAAAATCTGAAAAAAGACTAAAAAACGAAAAAAAAAATTAACCTATATTATATATCTGTGCTGGACTATCCCTGCTGGACAAAGGTCTCCTCTGTACAGAGGGTATTAGGGTATAGTCCAACACGCGACCATACTACTGATTGACAGACTTCGCAGACTTCGCACATCGTCACGATATTTTCCGTCACCAAATTTCAATCCGTACTTTCGTTTAACCATATGTAGCCTCTGCGTAAACATATGAAATCAATATTCTAGTAAGACCTGGTGACAAAGGCGCAACTGGTTAGCTTTATGGAGAATAACATCGCCCTTAAAAATTCTCTCTTCATTTGTCGTAAAGCATAACACACACTTCATGCTAGTCTTTCGTGATGACGTTTTCCTAGAAGTAAGTTGCTGCTGCTGCGTGCTTCTATAGCAGGAAATGTTTAATGGTCACCCTGTTCCTATGAAGATCTCCTTTTCTTATGAATCTTCTTTATTTCGTTTCGTTCGTAAGCGTTCATCTTTCAAAATATTAATTGTGGCGTTTGTCAATCGAAAAAAAACTTATACAAAAAAAATGACGTGAAAGTAAGTTGAAATTAAAATAGCTTCATTAACCTCTAATTTTTTTATTTCATCTTGTTGCCTCTTCAGTAGTTCCTCGATGCGTCCAAGCGAACTTTCAAATTTAACAGAATCTTCTACTAAAGCTTGCCTGTAATATAAAAATAGTAGCGTCATTAGGATAAATATGAATTACAATTTATAGGAATAGAAATCACTCTCGGTAATATTCCTTTGAAAGTTTAAAAATAATATCTACTCAACCTTTATATCAATCCAATAAATACTATTCATTGTTTATTATGACCTGGGTTCATATTTTTATCGATGGATATGCTTCAATTGTAGTAATTTTTATACGTTATTATTCAAATGATTAAAATTTGAGTTAAATATAACAGAAATTATCAGGTAATAAAATTAAATTAAGTACGCTTATTCTATGAGATAAGTCATGAAAGTTAATAAGGTATAGTTATGGACCGAAATCAAACCCTGCGGGACGTCCATTCATGTCGCTGACCCGGGGCAACTTTAAACGGTATTTTGTATATTTTGACATTTTATATCACGCAATAGAAAATATTGAAATGATACATAGTGATATTAGTAAAGACATATTGGTTTTTAATTTTAATAGACTTGATTAACATTATTGTGATAAAATACAACATTGATTCTATTAGAACGGAATTTATTACGGTTTTTAAAGTTTCTTGGTAGATTAAATGACGTGTAATGCATTACGTATTAAACGCTCAAGGATTGTTTTGTATTAATTTTGGTCAATGTTATCATTTATTAATATACCTGGGACATTGCATGTTCCATGGTCTCTAAAGCGTGAGTAGCGTGAGCTTAAGTGAGATGCTATGGCTAAGAATGCTTAATGTTGGTATTATTTTTATCCACCGTATTAAGTTTTATTGAGTAACAGCCTACATATGTCTCACTGTTGGGTAAAAGCATTCTCTTTAAGAGGGTATCAGGTCCTAGTCTACCACGCGATCTCACCGCGGATTGGCATTCACATATCTTCGAATATTATTTTGTTTTTTACTTCGAAAATATTAGGCGAGTATACGAGAAGCAGATGGTAAATGAGCACTTAAATATGCAATTAACAATTTTATTGGCACCGGGCATAGGGTTTTGAACTCAGGTTGTTCGGGTACATTAAGTTAAAACCGGGCGGCCTAACACTGAACTATCACGGTTCAAATGGCATTGCGAGTTTTATTTCCATAGACGATTCTATGATTAAGTAACAATAAAGAATGAATTAAGACAAATAACATAGAAGTAATACCTTATAGAAAAATATTTCTTCTTTACCAACTCTGCTTCCGTCCATTGTATTAATACTTTGTGTATTTCATTCTCCAAATGAGATACGTGCTGTAAAAACAGAAGTAATAGTTAATCTCTCTCAAGCAAATATGGCGCCGAAGCCAATGGCTTAGAAACTACGGGTCACATATTTTGTTATGTATGTGAGGGTACATAATTATGTATTACGCGAGGCGATACCCGAGCGCGAATAAAGAGAGTGTGTAATTGCCCGCCCGGTAGTTTGCTAACATCCAAATTTAAATACATAACATACGTCTAATTAAAATATAATAGAGATAATAATATATAAATAATAAATAAAAAATAATAAAAGCCCAATCTTCAAAAGGTTGTCAACGCATCTGCAACCCTCGGGTGTAGCAGATGCCTATGGGCGGCGTTATTCACTTAACATCAGAAGAACCGTCTGCTCTCTTGGCAACTTTTCACATAAAAAATATCTATATATGTAAAAATATATTTAATGAAAAATAAAATATTTTTAACTATGTTAATCAGTAGACCTAGTACCCATAATACAAACTCTGTTTATATTGGGACCAAATAACCACAAAATAATAAAAATTTTGTTTTCAATTGCCATAATTATATACGAGTGTGTATCAGAGTATTTAACACCCAAATATGCGCAATAATTTTACGTAATAGTCACTTGTTTCTTTAGTTTAAGCTTCATTTATTTTAAGATTTAAATAAACATTTCACTTTCGAATGTAAGCTTTCAATTAACACTCAGCGGCCTTCGTAGTTAATGAGTATTCCAAAAATAATTTCGATTGGTGAAATCTGAAATTTTGTGTTTATGCTTGGTCCCATTGTATGTTCTTTGAATGTCGTAAATGCAACATGAATTATGTGTACGCTGTAGACGTGACACAAATGATACCATGCCTCGTATGTAATTGTGTATAACTTATCTAACCGAACAGTAGACCACCCAAGTCATGACATTTATCGCTATCACCAATGCAACATATTATATAATGCAAATAATGTGACTTGTGTGCATATATAATGTCATAATTGGCACAGTTGTAATTCACGATAAGATAGAATACATCCGCACTGCAACTGCATTACAAGTTAACGGTTATTTTGAACATATTTTAATAATTTTTACAAATGTTATAGAATTTTAAAAACTATATTATAAATTGTCTTTGATAAGTTTATTGGAATCGATAAGTTATTAAGCTAAGTTATTCCTTAACATTTTAACCATAAACCATTTTCTTGTTGTTAAAATAAATTTATTTTTATTGCTGTTCATCATTGGATTAATACATGTTATTAGCCTGAATACCGAAATTACCGAATATTTGTGTCATTTCTGACGTTATATAGCATATTTTTACCCGAGGTCTTATTTGTAGAGACTGTTCATACCTTTTTAGCTTTGGTCGTAATCTTCGATTTCAATATATCGCTTTTGGTGCTCTCAATGAGGACCAGTTCATATTCTCTCTCAAGGTCCTTAAGTCTGTTCTTCTTACTTCGTTTTTCATATTTGAGCAGATCCAGCATCTTCCGCTGCTCTATCACCTTCAAGTCCACGTTGTGTATAATCTGAAATGATATAAAGTTTTTTTTGTGTGATCAGTTGACAAGTGAACTAGCGGTTCAACTCATGTTAAGTGTGATTTTCCTATTTTAACATTTTTTCAAATTTAGTGAAAGGTGGCCTATTCCTATATTATTACTAACGTTGCATCAAGATGCATTGATATATATTCTGTCTAGATATTTTTAGAATACTGTATTTTTGAACCTTAATGTAAAGAATATCGTTGAGGAAGTCAAGATAACTACTAACATCACGTGGATGCATTGACATATGATTGTGTGTAAGTAAAATTCCGTGATCCCTCCATCCTGGATTTTGAAATGTGGCAGATTCAGGTAAAACGGTTTGTCAAAACTCAGGTTACACCTGTATTTGCCCTTTATAAGGCACCGTGCTCAGCAAAAGATATCTCCAGGCTCTCAGAGGAGAAGGTAGGGCAACCTTAATCCTATAAAATAATGTGAGAGTTGTTTTTTAACAATACATATCTACTATGGTTTTCGTTTTCTACTCTATGTTTGACTTGTGGCCAACATTCATTACTGATGTTAGTTTTCATTGAAACCTGAAGTCTTACTGCTGATATTAATTTTTATTGATACCTGATCAGAGGTCTTATTGCCGATAGGACACACATCGTTCAGATACTTCTTGATCTGAGCCTCTTCCTCGCCGATAACTGCACGAGCCTGAACCAGCTCCTCAATTCTCAGTTTTATTTCCTTCTTCAGTGTCTCTATTAGATCGCTGTTCTGTTTCCTCTCCGTCTCATTTTCCTCGTAGTGCGACTTCCTCTGGCCCTCTGAAAGTTAGTCCTCGATATATTAAGTCAGTTATTGGCAGACTCGAGATAAGTTAACGAAAACGTGAATTCTTTATAAAACGACGAAACGATTGAATTAAAAACAATTAAGCGTTTTATTGATTTCGATTAATTGGACTAAAATCGTAGATTCTTTAGAGGAAAAATCGACCGCCGGGTGGATACATTTTTTGTGCTTAATGTACGTACCATATCATTTGTACCATAGCACGAAGAATTTAAGATATAGCCTATCATAAACTTAACCTCGTCCATACACACCTGATAGCTGTATCTTCTTTTTTATTTCAAATATTTTTGTATTTATTGTTGTGAGACGGTCAGCCGTTTCGATCTCGAATGGATGCTTTTGATAACATGTTGCCATTTTATTGCCGCTTTAATATTTTTTATATCGAAATCATAATACAAACGATTTCAACGCAGTTGTTATGGCAAAATTATTGATTAAATAAACTGTTGGAATGTACAAACTTTCAAATTATGAGTACAAAGTACACTTTAATAAACAGTTTTACAACAGCTATATCTTTTAAAAATAATAATAATGGAATAAAGCATTAACATAGCAGCCGTTACCCTCTTAAAAATTCACCCCTTAAATCCCACCTTTTATATTAATACAGCGCCATCTATGCTGTGGTTGTCATACCACAAAGTTCGAAAGCTTCCCATTGGTTACGAGCGCTACGCGGTGTTGAATCGCTTGATTTCTCCGTTGAATCGACATTCCTTCGCGTACTTTAGCATGTGTGCGTAAAAGCGTTCTCACGGCTCTATCGAATAGAAAAGAATAATTATAACACAAATAAGTTGTAAAACAATTTCAAAGTGCTAAAAATTCAACTTAGAACATTGAAAATTCTTAATACAAGGGACGATCGTCACTTACAAGCTGCGCACACGCACACAAGCAGGGCCGCGGCCATTTTGATTTACCGTACGCTGTGTATTTACGAACAAAGCGGCCAGATGCGCGCAGGACGCGGTTGCGCATGTTGCTATCGGGCTTGGTGTATATTCAAACTGTTTTACCGCTAAAATGGCCAAACAAGCAATGTTTTCGAGGTAACAACAATTCATAAACAAAATGAAGTGTCATTTTTTACATTTAGTTCCGTGAGTGTTGATTATTGAGTGCTCAAACGACACAGAAGGAGTAAAACAAATGTGTGTGATCCATGTGTGAATGTTGTGCTTCAAAATGTGGTCGAGAAACTTTATACCGGATTATGGGATTAAATTGCTGTCTTTAGGAGTTCTGCTGTCAAGCCTGGCAGTCAAAATACATGGAGTCGAAGGTAAGTGGCCGAGTATATAATTCTAAGTGTCTGAGCTTATGAAAGCACGGCAACGAGGTAACGCGACCGCGGGAAAGATACGACACTGAGTAGGGAGCTTTAAACAGGTATTCTGTCGCGGCAATCGGTCGGTTAATATGTTGGTTCTCACAGTTTAAAGTACTTGTGAAACTAGTTGTTCTAAAAACTGGAGTGAAGTCAACGTAGAACATTTTTCAATGTATTTTAATTGTACCGCTTCTGTTGACGACGACTTCATGTAATGCGTAACTCGAATCTTATTATGATATCGGATTCATTTGAAACTGCAACGGTACTTGGAATTAAGGTTCACCCGATTTTTGCTTAGGTTTGCAAAACTAATGATGTTCATAATTCAATATTCATACGGACATTCAAATTTAATTGTTAGAAGTCCAATATCTTATGTTTTGTTTGATATCCGCCATTTGATATGTACAAATTGAAGGTAGGTTGTGATTAAAAACTAGACTGCATTATTAAGCGGGAAAGGTTTTAATAACAAAATTATATAAAGAGTTTCCAAGGGAATTTTGAATTAATGAGGTTAATTATTTATAAAAATATAAAAAATTGCATTAAAACATAATCGCTATAATTGACCCTAAAAGCCAAATAATAACTTAAGTTCAAATAATCCGTAAAATTACCCGTGAAACGGTTGATATGTAACAAATTTATACAGTTGTATATTTATGCAACCGCCATAAATAATTCCTAAACTTTTCATATTCCGACGACGCGCGCGCAAGGACACTGGACATACTAGATCTTGGAGAGATAAAAACAACAGTTCAATTTAGTACATAGCTTGCACGAAGCGTTCGTCTAAGTTCGTCTAGCTGAATACAAATCGTAGCACCCGGCTTTAATATGCGCTGTGTGGCCACACGATTTCTGTGCTGAGCACCACGGCTGGACTTTTCGAATGGCGATCGTCACCCGACATTGTTACCATAAAAAAGGGACGATTTGACACAGAACTGAGTTTTTTCAACTTTTGGAGGGAAAGTTTGGTTTACGAATTCGTATCGAGTAGGCCACGGGATTAGGCTATTTGTATTCTTATTAGTTGAGTGTTTGTGTATGTAAGGAATTATTCTTTTAGAGTTTGTGCCTTTGACCTTGTGCTTTGCTTTTTGTTTCATCAACATATTCCTTGCACCATCACCTATCTCAACAATAATTTCAGTTTAGATTTATTCTTTGTTATTTTTATTGCTTTTTATATTAGATTAATATTTTATTTATTTTTTACATTCAGATCCGTTTTATACCAAGTCATTTTAATTTCTAAAATTGAAATGCAGATATCGCCACGTTGTACAAGCGTGATCGCGCGTTCCTTTTTTTAAACAATTGCAATTAACGAGCAATTGTCCGTTACTGGCCAATTGGAGTCGCGTCTGAGGTCGCTACACCGCGTGCCTGCCACATATAAATCTCAACTAAGAAGCACCAATTCCTCACTTAACGTTAAGGGCTTAGTCACATTGCATTTCGTTCGCGATAGAGGAAAATTTCAATATGTTTTATAACGTAGTTACGTGTTAATTCAAAAAATAACGTGTGCATCGAATGATACAATCTTTTAGCGGTAGTCGTCGTTTAGTATTTTTATTTATTGTGTTGTTTAATCGCTTGTCTGCGCTTGCAGTGTGACATCTCCCTTAGCTCGCGCCGCTCCAGCCCCCGCTACACGTGTCGCGTTAATTTTCAACCTTATTCCGAGCGCGCGTTTGCATGCGGCGCGCAGACGTCCGCACCGATAAGTCGGCCGTGTTCCCAGTCAATCGCGCGTTCGTGTCAAGAAATCGTTCCGCGAAACCCCTTTATTTATTTGTAGCGGCCCGCGTCTGGGAAACATTGAATATTTGAGCGATCTGCCGGTGCTCGTGGGCCCGACGCCGACTAGTTTTTCTCCGGTCGATTGATCCGCGTTTTTGGGATGACGCCGCGTGACGTGAATGGTACATCGGTATGGCTCTTTCCATAATTTCGATTGATGCGAACGCGCGCAGGATTTTAATGGGCCGGTGACGGCGGGGAATATGCGTTTTTTACGTTCAGTCCGCTCTCCTCTCGATTCGGTGTACTCGAGCTAACAAAATATCGATGATGTATTCATACGAATGATACATGCTGTTAACTACGCGTTTTTACCGACGTAGATTTGTCCTTTATTGCGCGACTTTCACTGGGTATATTAAAATGATAAGAAATCAAATTGCGATCTTTTGGCGTCTCAATGTACATTTTCAAAAATGTTGTTCGTATGGCGGCAGCCTGTTTTTTCTACTTTTTGTAACTATTTAACTAATGTAACACGTGTACAGCTCGCAAAACGTAATTTTCGGAGTTTTACTAGAGAGCTCAAAATATTTCTCAGTTGATAGTCCACTTAGTATCCGAACCTGTTAGCGCTGTCTTATATCTTGGACGTTATAATTGCATTGCAACGTTAACACTCAAATAGGCACCATATATAGTAGAAATATATTCAGACCACACGCAGCACTGACCGCAGATATGTCGTCTGAATGTGCGCCGCAATAATTCAGTTCGACAGTTAGCCTTTTTAGTATCTATTGCCTCGTAAAACCGCCTTTTTTACGTATTAAGTGACGTGGACATTGCGCGTGTACTATTTTGTTCAAAGCTTTCGTATGGCTCGCGCTATATCGTGCGTTTGTTGTAACAGGTTGTCATTCTTATCTATTTGCACTTCAATGCTTACAAAGTAGCTTTTTTTATTCTTGACGGTTGAGACACATTCGGCGGTATGTAGATTAAAAGTTAACTGAAAGCTATTTTGTCTGTGAATGTAACTTTAACATTTAGACTAAAGTAAAATCAAAAGTGCGTTATACGTCACATCAAATGAAAACATGAGAAAGTAAAATTCAATTCATTCGTACATAAGTTTCCCATATTTACGATTTTTTTAATAGTACCTTTAAATACAGGCATAAATATTTCGCGGTTTAAGTATATATTCTTAAAAAACGCGAAATTTTATATACTACTATACACGGGCTAGCGGCCAAATAAGAATAATTGTGTGTTCTATTACAAAAAACTCACCTAAATAAGAGATAGATATTATTTTTAATTTGTATTGCTAATTCGAGGATGTGCGTAGTGCCCATTAAACGGGCTATTAGCGATCGGTTGCTTTAAATTATTTAAATGGAAGGTTCCTCTCAATGGCACTGTTGGTTTGCAATTAGTTTTTGTTGGTTTACAATTAGCATAATGTCTGTTATGTTCCGGTTAAGTCAGGATAAGCCAGTAGATCAGGATTCGCGTCAACGAGTTGGTTCAGCTTTGTATGTAAAGTTACAGTCTATATATATGCCCCATTGCTGGGCAAAGGCCTGTACTAGTTAGAAAGCTAGTCCACCACGCGGCCCCATCGCAGACTGGCAGACTTCACATATCTTCGACGTATTGTTTTTTTACTATTTCTTATGTTTTTTTCTTTCTGTTTTTTTTATCGTAGATCAAGTACACAATTCGAGGTACGGGCAACGCTTGGCGAGGCATTCATGAGAAAATTGAAAAACTTGAAATCTGTTCCATGAATATTGACATACGGTTTGTTGTTCTGCTGGCAATTCAAGGGTTAAGTGTTCTTACCTCACTAAGCGAACGAAATGGAAGTTCAAACTTCTACTTTATGTACGTTGTTCTCCACACAATTGCGGCGATTATACCATCGTTCTGTGTTAACTTCAACTTTCCACTGTGGTGGGGCCACGCAACAGTTTTCAATGTTGCACGGCTGGGCAGATCGTTCCGAGTAAGTCCACGACCTCACCGAAGAACGGCGTGAAGTGGTAGTGTTAAACTTAAACCGCGAAATATTTATGCCTGTATTTAAAGGTACTATTAAATAAATCGTAAATATGGGAAACTTATGTACGAATGAATTGAATTTTACTTTGATGTGACGTATAACGCACTTTTGATTTTACTTTAGTCTAAATGTTAAAGTTACATTCACAGACAAAATAGCTTTCAGTTAACTTTTAATCTACATACCGCCGAAGGTGTCTCAACCGTCAAGAATAAAAAAAAGCTACTTTGTAAGCATTGAAGTGCAAATAGATAAGAATGACAACCTGTTTCAACAAACGCACGATATAGCGCGAGCCATACGAAAGCTTTGAACAAAATAGTACACGCGCAATGTCCACGTCACTTAATACGTAAAAAAGGCGGTCTGCGTTTCGCCTGGCGAGTGTGGTAACTGGAGCCCACGTTTTTTAAAAGTTAGCAACGTATCCGTAACTCTACTGGTGTCGCTAATTTTCATGGGCGCTTGCCGCATTCTCACATAAAAAAAAACTTGTTTGCCATCTTTATAAAACGTCTGAGATGTAACACATAGGGAATTATTTCGCGACCTAATACCGCACTAGGCGCGTAGACATGCGGGTGCATTATGCAGAATCGTTACGAGGCTTTTTACGGCGCAAGACGTTGAGACAGGCTGCTTTTTTTTTGTTTATTTCGCTCTGGGAAAAGCGGGTTTCCCATGCGAAAGTTCTTCATTGTTCACTAGATTCGCCGTACGAATATTATGTTGTATATTGCTCGCACGGGTGGTTGCTGTCTGCGCGTGTGTTCGCCAAGTTGCGGGTAATTTAAATAGATTAAGCATTGAGATCAAGGATAAATAGAAAAGTTCATTCCATCGCCTTTGCTAGAGCATGCTTGTGATGTTAAGGACTGGAAAGTCTCATCCTAAATAGCCTACAGTTTCCACGATCTTGCTAGACTAGCGTATGCTTTGTCAGGTAAACGGTCTGTGGCTTTGTCGGTCTTAATAAAATATTATATATAAAATATTTCTGTGTCCGTCTATGTTATCCACATCTTGTCGGTAGCGTTTAAACGCGTCTTTATTCGTCTTTTGTCTTTCTTCTTAATGAGTATTATTTGTTGTCAGTCAAGGTAGATTTATTTAATGCCAGTCAGACGTCAGTTATATAAAAGTATCATGGTCGTAAGAAGGTTGTATCAACGCGTTGCAACATCAGCTTCTTTTTCTATGTATGGCTTTTAAATGCGCGGGAAAGGGCCAGTTGTGCAAAAGTTTAAATAATAGCGTTTAATCAATTTATAAAGTTGGTTAATTAAATAGGAATAAGTCTGCGAGGACGACAAATTTGACTAGTAATATATATTTTGACGTTTGTGTTTTTTTTTTATAAAGAAAACATTGACCTCTAAATGCAGGCTGAAAGTAATCACCTTGTTGTTTTAAAATGAAAATCGCCTTCAAAAATCTCCCATCGAGATCTCTCAGTTGTGAAAGATAATCGTAAAGGCGTCTTGCGTTGGACCAGTCCCGCATCCGTGGGGCACTGTTTGGATAAGCCGTCCTGTTGGGGTCGTGTTTGTCGGCAAACATCGCCTCGTAGATAACATCGACTGATATATGCGTTCGCGCCTAACAGAGCGAGGCGATCGTTGGGCTTAGACGTTAGATGCGTTTGCAAATGTTTGACAAATATAAAAAGACTAACGTGGTTTGCAGCACAGAAGAGGACTCGGTTTATTATTGGAGACAAATTGGCAAACGAAAAGAGGCCTTTCATGATGTCAAGTTATTTCACCGCCTAAGATAATCATCACCACCCGCTTTGTAGTTACGTCGTCACCGATTTAGAGCCTCCCTGGAAAACTATTTCTTTATGTGAGAAGTTGGCAAACGAACTGGCGGTTCACCTGATGTCGTGTTAATCACAGCTCACGGAAATTTGCAACACATTTGTTGTTATTGTTGTTTATTGTTGAATGGGCAACACAATGTTGCCCATTCGTGCAACAGAAAAGACTGTAGCGTGGAATATGTATAAGTAATTTAAATTGACGCCGGCCAGTCATGCGACAGTAGACACTACTGCCAGGCTCTGGCACATTGGAGAAAGTAGAATTAATCATTAAACGCAATAGAAATTATATACCTCAATATATTTGGATGAGATCAAAATGTACTTATTTTGGAAAATAGGATAATTACTTTTGAGAGGGGTGGTGACAGGGTTCTGTGCTTGCACTTTTAATATCCCCTCGGTAGCCATCGGAGACTGATCTCATAGAGAGTTATCCTATATGCCCGTAGCTATAGGCGTTAGTTGCAGGTTACTGCAAGACGAGTATTGGACTATGGACGAAAATAAATAGTCTAACAACTTTCGAATCTTAAGTTGAAAACTAGTTTCTTAAGGGAAAACTGCCGGTTTTGATGTTTGCGAAAATACTAAACAAAACACTTGAATTTGTTCTCTAAGCGAAAACGTAGTTATTTTTAAATATAATTTAGTGTATAACTTTCAGTTTGTTGACGTTGACGCGATAAGATTAGTAAAAGTTGTTTCATAATCGCGGAAATATCGTTAACTACATCATTAGTTACGTTTGAACTTAGGTTCACCATCGTTTAATTTTAACAGACTTGTGACAGACAATTTGTTGTATTATGGTAATATTGATGATCGAAAACTAGATTCCGCTTAGCCTAGTACTGCAATTTCACACATATCACTTTTCTAAAAAGCATTGCCAAGGTCGCTCAATATTTCTTTACAAAAAAAATTGTATTAACTATTTTAAATCAGTCCTTGATATTGCTTTCTTTATATATAAACAATTTAGCTTCTGTATGTTTGGGTAACATAATTTGAAAACTGGCCGAATGGTTGACCAGATATTTGTTCACAACATATTTGTTCCGTAGATTTATTGAACAGGGGAGTGTTTTCTACACTTTTTATTCCAACGGAAACGAAAAACAGCAACAGCGAAGTGCGGCCGGTTTCAGCTAGTAAATAATGGCAACTTGACATATTTCGTTGGAAATGCTTGCCCAGTCTCATGTAAACTCTGTCAATTATCGCGCATTGTGTTGTTAGCTTCTTACTTTTATCGATTAAACCGTCCTCTCGGGTCTGAGTCGATGTTTACCGATACCTAACACCTCTTCTGGATACCTCCATGATGGAATCCTAACGCACAAAAAAGCCCAACTCGAACCGGGTGTTATGCACCAAATCTCGCTGTTGAGGCGTACCTGAGCGCGAACTCTAGCCATTATCGACTTTATTTGGAGCGCGTTACGGTCGAAAATCGCCCGGCGACAGTGCAGTATCAACAAGCTGGGGTGTTTACTTAGTATCGTATGCATATGCACAAGTGGTTATCGTACTGGCCGTCCGTCGTTTGCTTTAATAATAAGCCAACGCCGGCTCCGCTGTCACGAACGCCAAACACCGCTCGAAGAGTGCCGTCGCAATGCAACGCGGCGTATGGAAATGTTTTAAAATCGTGGCCGTACTATTCTAATGTCGCCGCGTGAGGGTCCATTCGGAGATGGCCTCTTCCTGTGATGAATGTCTATTGTCTTTACGTGAAACATATCCCAATGGCACGCTTTGATGACCAACAATGTGTAAATGGAAAAAAAAAACATTCGGTAACAAACGTTTGTTCAATTATATTTAAGGTACTAGCGACCCTTCCCGGCTTCGCTCGGGTGCAATGTACTATACATATAAACCTTCCTCTTGAATCCGTCTATCGAGTAAAAAAACCGCATCAAAATCCGTTCCGTAGTTTTAAAGATCTAAGCATACATAGGGACAGACAGACAGGGGGACAACTTTGTTTTATACTATGTAGTGATTAAGTAAAAAATGTTCCGTTGCAACACTTTAATGTCATAATGTATAAATGGAAAAAATTTCGTACATTCGGTTACAAACATTTCTTCAATTGTTGGCTATAAACTTTGAGAAAACGTTGGATAAAAATATGCCTTAAATTTTTATACATTTGTGTATTGTGATAACACCGTCTTGGGCTTTGCGGAATCGTTTTAATGTCGGTTTCCCGCGTTTTTCATTGCCTCGAAGGACTGCTGGAACTTAAGTAGTTTTTGCATTCATACTATAAAGATGGACAATGTCCCTAAAGCATTAATCCATTCAAATGCTCCTTACAACCCACAAACTGTTTAGCGGTTGTCGACGGACGTTCGTATTAAATCCCTTCACTTGGAGGCACCATTGTTAGTCCACTCCATTATTAATGAAATACAATACGCAAATAGATCGCTATTAAGCCGCGTTCGAACTGTTTATGGTGCCTCTGAACTAGGGGTATGGGGTTCGTTTCCCACGTATCGTATAACCGATAGCCCGAAGCCGACCGACTCGTCGTTGCAACAACGTCGACGTTGGGAATTGATTTCAATGCTCCGAGAATAGGGTCGCTTGTCGAAGTATCGTGATGTGCGTTAAGTTAGCCATGCTGTCAACGCTGTCAAATTTCCATTATGTGGTGAGCGTTCAGGAATGTTTTTTAAACCGTTCTTCAGTACTTGTTATTTAGGTTCACAGAAAGTAAATATCAATTGTATATAAATGCACAAAACTGAACTGTTTCAATACAAAAGTTGTGTGCAACTTAATTGTAACTTTGACGAAGGTTTGTCAAAAAGTTTGATCGCGAACTTTATAAGAAGTTTATATATAATATATATTCTAAAATCCTGAATGAAATACGCCTCCGTAGAAAACGATATTAAAAAAGGAAAATTGTAAAATTACAAAACTATTTTCGAGCTCGTAGAGGACCATTAATTAAGTCTTATTTTATTTAAACTTTTTGATAAGACATTGCAAATATTAATATACGTAAAAAACCGTAAACACCTGCCGTTATTAACGGAAATACTCGAATGTTCGAAATTTTCTTAAAATTAAAGCTACTCATTTTAAGTTTTATTCTTTGATATTATTTGAACGTGAGTTACCCTTGCGAAATTTCCATAATATGTTATATTGCTGTTGCAAATTGACGTTATAGAAATAAAGTAAATATAAATTACACTTCTTCATGGATGAAATAATCGTTAAAACAATTGTCATTCATATTTATGTGCACATATTCAGTTTATGAAATGCCTGTTTCTATCGTTGCTATTCGAGAAATAGCTTTTAAATGTCTTCTGTTATTTGGCATGGTGGAGTATTTGAGAATAATTTTAACTTCACGCAAATTTTGTTGCGAAATTATTTTATTAAATAAGAACTTCGTGATAAACTTGCCACTGCTTTAGAAGTATCTTAGAGAAGCGTTTTCATACTAAATACAAAGTACTATAACCATACACTTTCGGTAACATAACTTTCATGTACCTATGTAATTTGTGATAAGAATGTGTATGTAATTTGTTATGTTGGTAGTGCACTGGAACAACCCTGTAACAAACTAAACTAGTACATAGTTCTATAGTACAGAGAGATCAATAGTACAGAGTACTAGTTTAACAGAGGCATGCATGTCCATCATACCACTTGGAGCCTAATGCTTATCTATTATCTCACTTGGTGTCAACTAGCAATGCAGTCTTTGGTTATGAACACAATACCATCGTAAAAGTTTATTTTCCGTTAGGTTCATCACCCAAAGCTCGGCCAAGAAAGCACCTCAGAATGTGGAGTGCACCTTTTTGGCATCATTTATTATCGATTGAGCTGCTCCGCATATCGACTCGAGCTACACTTTAACAGCGCAGACAATGAGTTGAATGCAACATCCAGAGACGACAGACAATTGTTATTCGACGTTTGATTTTAAACTCGCCGCGATGATATGTTTTGACTACGCGCTGCGTTTCTTCGCGCGTACGCCGTCGGCGCAACCTATACAAATACAAGTTCCGGCACACGTCTTTGCCTTTGTTGGATGGTGTTTTGACTTTCGCTCTTTCGGACTCCGTTCAGCTTCAGTCGAGATACAGACAGGCTGCAGTTTGCGTTGGCAACTGTGGCATGGACATTAAGACCACAATTAACAAGCACGTCAGAATTTGGAGTGCGCCTTTTTGGTATGACGATTTTCAGAATGTGTTCCATCTTCAATAAACTTGTTAGTACTACTATTCGTTCGTTACGAAAATAACCGCACAATTTGAGGGGCGAATTGTCTCCGTTGTTTGTCTAAGGAAGTAATCCTTTCCGCGCGACGAGTTTATTTGGTTGAAAGTGACGTAAGTAATCACAAAAACGTACAACTAGCTCCGCTTGGCGGTGCTGAGATTTGAACCCGTAGATTTAATCTCCTACACACAGCTGTGCAGTTTTTCAAATATGTTAATTAATTTTATGCCCGTGAATGTTTTACCTGACAGCGTATAGAAAAAAATCGAATTAGGTGTAAAAAAATACGTGAATAACAGTGTTGAATACATGTATCGTTGCTGTGACAATTTTAATCCAAGCAGATCGTGGTGTCTAGACCTTACGGTCTAATGGGTCCTAATAATTTCGTAATCCTATTACGAACTTGTTCGCGAGGCTAAGTTATCGCCGCGCGGTAAATTCCGCGTCTTAATTAGCCGACTCGCTAAAGTCGATAATAAGTACTAGGGTCCAATAATTTACTGCGTAAATATTAAAGCGTGAATTAATTGTCAATATACTTAGCGGACGGTAAATTACTAATGTACTAAGCGGACGGTAAATCGAGACATTGGTAAGATACTTTTGTGATAAGAGACTTATTTGAACCAAGGTTTTTAGGATTAAAAAGACTGCTTATTATTCCGTTGCATAAACTTAAATTTTGTTTAAATTGGTAGTATTTTAACTTCTAAATTGACGTTATAAGGAAGAATAGAGTGTTTTAAAAAGAAAGAAATATTGGCAGTGACATTATTACAGTCACGAGGACTGTAATAAAGTATACCCCTAATAGAAAGTACTTTCTAATAACATAGTACCTAAGTCCTTATTAAAGCACTTTTTAGTAAATGACAACGTGGTTTCTACTTCGTTCCATTCTAGTTCTCCTTCAAGTCGAGAATACAACTATTAGTACGAAATTAATTGATAGTTATTCTGTTTTCCTCTGTCTGTTTGTTGGAATATGCTCTTATCACTACATAGTATAAAACAGTCTTTAAAACTATGCAACGAATCTTGATGCGGATTTTTTTTACTAGATAGAGTGATTCACGAGAAAAGGTTTATATTTATAATTCATGCATAATATAATAGAGAAACACTGATGGTATTAGAGGTTTCTAATGCGGTTGCAAAAACAAACATTCACGCAAACGGGTCGCTAGTAAATAATAAAACTGATCTAAACACGTTTCTCGTAAAGTCGACACCCCGTCGTATTAAACGCGATCGCGGTTAAAGTGGAGCGGCTATCGAGAGCGGTCGATTGGCGGCGTCGGTTCACACGGCCGATACGCGAGCTTCCGGGCCTTCCGCCGACTTGTTCGGACCTGAGCCCGCTATCGGCCGCATCCGCCCGACAGCGGCCACTTGCGCGATAGCCGGACGGGCAGCGCTCACCGCAAGCGATACGCCCGCCCCGACTAACACAGAATGGGTTACGCAAAACCCTGAATAGCTATTTGTGTAGAAACTATTATATTAACAACTAGCGATCCGCCCCGGCTTCGCACGGGTGGAATGTAGCATACATATATATATGCCTACCCCGTGAATCACTCTATTTAGTAAAAAAACCCGCATCAAGATCCGATGCGTAGTTTCGAAGATCTAAGCATACATAGGGACAGGCAGACAGCGGGACAACTTTGTTCTAAACTATGTAGTGATTACACCGTTTGCCCCATCCCCGCGGCAAGATAGTTGTTTCTTAAAGCTTTACATTAAATGAGGATGTTACAATATTTTTTTAGAAAAGGACCAAAACAAGTGCCAAAGAAATAAAACTTAGAAGATTTAACTGAAATCCATTCAGTAGTTTTTCCGTGACTCATGCACAACTGCAAACGTCTATAATTTTATTTATATAGACGAAGAAGAAGGCAAGTCCTTAGTTCACAATGTTGTACAAACGCACTTGTGTTTCAGATCTTTTTAACTGGTTGTTTCACTTAATACTATGTACTTTATGTATGTTAGAATGTGAACGTTTTACTGAAGTTTTTATAATGTGATTTCGATTGTATTCCGCTGCGCACACTCGAAATAGCGGTGTGTTCGTATTATTGCGATGATCCAAATGTCGTGTTTACCAAATTACTAACGGCCTCGCCGAACAATCGAATGAGGTGTCGCCGAGCAAAGTTCAGTTTATGTCGAGGTTTTCATTCATTCATTCGAGCAGTTAGATCAATCCTTCAGCTCACCATTGCGTTTTGTACACGGAAGTGTAATGGAGAGATTTTAATCCGATTTTGTGATTACTCGTCGTAGTAATTAAAAGAATATAATCCGTATAAATACAAGAATGCGTTGGCTAAAATCGAATTATAACATAGTCACCTTTTTTTTCTAATTGAACTTCAAAATACTAAGTAAAGGAAAAAACCTATATATGTGTCACTGCTGGGCAGAGGCCTCTTCTGTAAAGAGGCTATAAATTATAAGTATGAGAAAGTTATAGAATAAACGTAGTTTACACCGAAAGCACTAGTTTTTAACATGTGCTATCAACAAGTCCACTCTGCGACGAGTACACTCAAGTAATTACGCGTATTGTACACGACACTTCCCCGTCGTGGTCCGGAAAGACGCACTCGATTCCGGCGCGGTGTTGTCGCGTTCAGGTGCACCGCTTCCTGCTATCGAGTGGCCGCTTCGTGAGCAAATGTCCAACGTAAGATGACCGATAGATAGGTCGTTGGTCCGTACCTTTTATGAGGTGCCTGGGCTGGTGGTTGATTGTGACTCCTAGGCATACAATGAATTTTATCGACCTGTTTTCTGGCCCGCTGCTTTATATTTATTTAACATATAAATTGTGACTCTTTTCTTTCTTATTTAAGATATGGTTTAATGAATAGATAAGACCCATTAAGAGATGACTACCAAAATTCCGGTTACATTCTTTCGCAACATGTCTGATCTCGTTTTGGGCTAAAAACAAATTGCTTTCGTATTTGCAGGCATTTCATGTTCACGTAATGCTCGATGGCAATTTACGATTCGACATGCCAATCCACTGTTTGAAAATAATGGCACGAACTTTAAAAAATTGCTTCCGAGTTCTACTATATTATATAAGGAACTTGTGTTCAAAACATCATCATTCAAGATGCACTAGTCGCTAGTCTGTCCATTTTTTTATGGGAGTAGGTGGCAAGTGAATTGGCGGTACCTGATATTAATTTGCCGCCCATGGACATATGCAACACCTTTTAACAACGACTGCCCATTCGTGCAACAGCCGAAGCTGTCGCGTGGCCCCACCACGGTAAGAATCTCTGTTAGAATTTCAAATTAATAATCATACTGTCGATTGGTTTATTAAAGCCATACGAGCTGCGACAGAACTCCGATAATTGGCTTGCACTTAATAGTTCAGTGAACGTAGCTATCAATCGAATTCCCGCTTCTATCTCGTGCAATGCTCGAACTGTTTGACGAGCAGTCGGTTCCAATTGGCGGTTCATACGGACAAGAGGGCCGTCGACTGTACGCACCCGCGCATTACCGCGTCGGTTATCAGACAAAGCGCCGCTCCAACTGAAGCACAAATAGCAACTTGCTCGCGCAAGCAATGAAGCCGCGGCTTTTAATTATTGAGATTATCCGTTCGCCCGTCCGCCCGGATCTAGGGCTGTCGCTGCGAATTGTTAGTTTTTCATTTAATATTGTCTATGGGCTTTAGAATCCGCAGTGGAGCCACATGGTGAACTATTCTCTAATACTCTCTGCACAGAAGCTTTTGCCCAGCAGTGGGATATGCATATGCTGTTACTTTACTTTTTTTTGTCAATGAGGTTTTGCTTTCACATACTAGACTAAATGAATGTTTTAGAGGCATGAAATATCCATATGTGTAGTAGCTAGTAGTTTTCAAGTTTTACAGTTAATTAACTTTATTTTTTCTAATAAACACATAATTACTACTACTTACTAAAGTACCAATCTGTAGTATTCGTGTAAAACCGAGAAATTTTTATAATAAATATTTTAGGCCACATTTTTACACAACGTTCTCTAGTCCCAAATTAAGCAACGCTTGAGCTATGGGTACTAGATAACTGATAGATATACATAAACATACTTTTCTTTTGTAAATAATATTATACATAAATAGAATATATAATATAAATAATTCTATACAATATATATACATAAATAGACACCGAGACGATGATAGATTTTCATCACACAATATTTTTCCAGTAGTGGGGATCGAACTTACTTTCTAGCGCAGGAGGCAGTTTTATTTATAACAACATATCAACGTATCTTGCATCTTTATTAACTGATGTTTTTGCTTTCAGTCCCGAGACTATTAAAGCTTCATCTGATGCAGAACCGATGGGCTAGCCAGAACCCACGGGTTTGGGCCCTCCGCTGTGGGTAGGGCCACGCATGTGCTCATGCGTGCGTTTAACTATGGTGTGTCATCTAAGGGCCATCGAGGTCGCGGTTCGGACCGAAACCCCGATGGCCGTCGACTGTGCAATTAGCTAATCGGTGGCTGGGGGCGGTGAGAACCGCCCCGGAACGCGGGTGTACCTTGTGTGCATATCAACGTATAATCAGCGTATAGTCAACGAATCTAGAAAGTTGATAATATAAAAAATACCTTAACACATAGTAGCCCTGTGAGCGATCTTTGAACATCTGGTCCGCAGGCGTCAGGTAATTATCGAGAATTATGCAAAGCTACTGGGTCCTCGGGAGGTCGGGCTATGTTTCTACCAAAACATCTCCAATCTATTAAAATTTGTGAAAATGTACGAAAAGTTTGTCGTCGCTGTGGGAATCGAATTTTCGTGTTTTGTCGGAAAATTTTCTTAGGTGTGGCAATCAGCCGTTTAGCTTAGTGGCTAAAGCGTCAGGCCGCGAATGCCGAAGACTTGGGTTCGATGCTCACAGCGGCGACAATCTTTTCGTACTTTTTCTACAAATTTTAATGTTTAATCTTAAGTTCAGAGATTAGCACTACAAAAAATTTAAATATCTCCAATCTATGCAAAATCTGATAATTTAACAATATTTCTGCAAGCTAGGATAGTTAAAAAACTTGATATGGTAATTAGAATGAATCTCGTGGCGATAATCAACCTTCGGATGACACGCGACTGCAATTTTATGGTGCCTACTTTAGTGTGCGTTCAATTTTTATATTCCTTCTATCGAAAAAGAAATCTTGTAAAAAGATGCTTCATTGTTATTATATAAAGTTATTGAGATCAATCTTGTAATTGATTTTATAATCAAGATTAGACTTGGTACTTCATGTTGCTTTGGTCGCTTTGGTTAATTTACGATTACCGGTAACGAACGGTTTATTTTATAAGCAACGAGACTAGTTCATAAATGCTGATGAAGTTATTTAACTACCGTTAAATTGATCTTTACGTGACAGTTTCGGATGCATCGAGACGATTTCGGTCTATTACGTCTCGATGAGATCTCGTTTATGCCTTATCTGATTTTATCGTCAAATAAATATGTTACGACATCAATCGCTTAGTATAATTAGACGTGTGGAATACATTATCGTATACATATACGTGTGGATCGACTCGTTTTTCGAAAGTTAAAGAAGAAGAAACCTTGATTTCAGGCGACATTATCAAATGTTCTCTCTATCACTCTTCTAACGAATGATGTGAAACATATTATTATGTGTTAATTTCTAATACGATAAAATATTTATAATTAATTTTGTGGGCGTTTTAACTGAAAGGTTTACAGTCGCCATTAGCATCTACAAAATCTATACGGTCCCAGTTGTGTTTCCAACCTTTAAAGTAAGATGTAAGTATCACTCGCTTGTTTAAACGCTATTGTTTAATTACTATCACCAATTAGGACATTTGTTTTGACACTGAAAATTCATTAAAATAAGAATCGGGAAAAACGATTTGGTAGTCACTATATGTTCTTGAACAATTACTGTAGAAAGTAACTTGAATCAGGCATTAGACAGCTTTTAAGAATGCGCCACGGCAGTTGCAAAGGTATTGGATTCGATTGGGGTAGTGGGTTCGATTCCCACACGAGACAACTATTTGTGTGATCCAAATCCTGTTCTGTAAAAAGTCCTTACAGAACAGGATAATGTTATCTTACATATGGGCGCAATGTTTTCGAAGGGTAGACTACAATAGATCTGTCTAGGTCGCAGTGGTTGTTCGGACTTACTTCCCAACCCCTTCTACAGAAAATACAATACAATTACCATAAGCCTTTACTTACCAACAAATGTATAATGAACGAGATGGAAGCAGATTTAACTATTAAACGCAACAGTCTTCAATGTTCTCGACTGGTCCGTCCGTGGAAGTATCACGACCTCACGGAAGACCGGCGTGAAGTGAAAGTGTTACACTTCTGCGTTTCGACTGGTGGGGTAACCGGGGCCCACTTTATTAAAAGGACGCATTTGCAATCCTACGGGTGTCACAAATGTCCATGGGTGGTTATCACTTAACGTCAAGTGAACCACCTCGCTTGCCACCTTCTCACATAAAAAAGCGTTGAGCAAGAATCAACCAATCACGAAACAGCCGGTGTCCGTTGCTCATTTTTCTATCCGACACCAAGTTGATTCAGAAGCAAATAGACTTCGGAGAATGAAATGTTGTGTACTCTGTAACGCAAGCGAAGCACGCTCGCCGATAAAAGTTAACAGTTTATTTATTTTAAATATTTCTCAGTAAGATAATTTCTTGTATTAACGCGATAACACATTAGTGAATTAAACAATATTTATGGTCTCATCGCGTTTATTTTTAAATTTTATTTGAAATGAACGCGATATATCCGTAAATATAGTTCCAATTAGTGGTATCATTCGGTATGTTTAATAAGACTTGGTGGGGCATTTGCTGAGTACGGTTACGGTACCGGGTAGTTGGTTCGATTCCTACACGGGAAAAGTGTCGTGCCCCGCGACTAGGTTCGTTGGGCAGGATAATGCGGCATGTTACATATCTTTATATGTAATTCTTCTGTGCGCGTGTAAGTGATCGCACTCCTAAACGGCTGGACGGATTTCGATAATGTTTTTTGTGTTAAGTGGAGTCGAGAATGATTTAGATTTACAAATTCATTCAATAAAGTATGAAATTTTCGGATTTAATACGTGCGTACAGGACAAAGTCCGTCGTGTCTGCTAGTGTCTTTATAATGTTAACAAACGAAACAAAAACGCAGGCTGGGAAACAATATCATTGGTGTTGAGTATCCCCACAGTTACCATCAGGTGAAACAGTTGCTCAGCCGCCATCTTATGAAATACAAGAATCGAATTTTCGCTCGCAATCTTTCTGTAACTTTTTTAGTAACGTAAGTTGACCTCCAATCGAGAAAACGCCTTTTACGACCTGATATATTATAACTTAAAGAGTAGAATGGTCGTGTCTGTAAAAATTGACCGAATTTATTACATGGATGTGTCCGTTCAAGAAAATAAAGTGTGATTTAAGGGAAGTTTGAGTATTATATAAGCAAGCTTGGGATAAGGTGGTAATTTTTCGTGCTTTTCCTGTCAAGGAGATTTGTTCGGTGGACAAAGAAGTAAATTTATAAATGTATTTCTCGAAAATCTTAAGTATATATCATTTCGGGGTGTTCGCAATTTCCTTATTTTTGTTCATATACAGAGGTGCTAAAATCATGGAGTCATGGTTCTCTGACGTAATAGTTGAACACCCTCTTATAACTTGGTTCTGCATAAAATAATCTGTTTGATATAACTGTAATTTAAAAGAACTAAAATCCGAGAAAACAGAATGCAATCATTAACTTCGCACGATTTGTAATAAATTATCCGCTCTTTCCGAGTGAAGATAATCCGTTGAAGATTTTATTTCAATTTACATAAGCGATAAAATAAGCGTTAAATTCAAGATTGATATTAAGATATACACGGAAAAGATATGCGGATACATATGTATGTATGTCGAACAGAATGTACCAAAAATTATCCGTATAGAGTTTATGTGCATATGGATGGATTCAGATTAGTGGTAGTTTGAATTGTAAATGTGATACGCTTTGCGCCAAAGCTCCCAATAAAGTTTGTGTGGACGCTTTAGATTGCTTCCATCTCTGATGATTTGATCATGACTGGGATAAATGAGAAAGTATTTGTGCCCCACATTATTGTTTCGGATCCAGATCTACGTGTTTGTCAGTGTAATTTTGTGTTTGTAAAAGGATTTTTTTAATGTGAAAAGTTGTCAAGCGAGCAGGCGGTTCACCTGATATTGTTAACCGCTGTCCACGGATATCTACACCACCTGAGGGATTGCAGTAGTGGGCCCCGGTTACCTCAATCGCCAGACGAAACGTGAAAGTTTAATATTTTCACTTCACCCTGGTCTTCTGTGAGGCCGTGGTACTTCCCCGGACGATGGCATGCGGCCCGCGTACCACGGTAATGTTCTATGTATTCAATAGTTCAAATGCACCGAGGAGACCACTATCTAACTTTTAAAATATCATTGAAGAGACTCGACACATTGCTTCGCGACCCACGGATCCCATAATTAGGCTGTTAGCGTTCAATGGCGCATAATTATTTTGAGACGCCACCGGTAGGTTATCCGTTCGGACCTTTATTGCGTGTGTTATTCAGTTCGACGATCCCTTTTCATCGTCGTATTATCTCAGTTCGTCTAATTATTCTGAACGCTATGACATAAATCATACACAAGTGTTTATATATTCAGAAATTTATTTACACAGGAAAAGTGTTTAATTATGTTTATCAGTTAACTAGCCATAATACGCAAGTAAGAAAAGTAAGTTGTAGACTAGATACCATTGTGTAAAATATGTACTGTCTTCTTTTATGATAGACTATGGCCCGCTTGTAATCATCCAAATAAATTTTTTGAATAAGGAACTCGGGTTGCGTCGTCATCCGTTACCGCTCAAAACAATGTATAAGTTGGCGGTACCGGTACTCTGGCAAAGAGTGAAACAAAATGACGGACGCCACGAATATTTGACCGCTGACAATTATCGAGGCGCGCAAATCATAGGCCCTGGGGGCCGGATCGCGCGTGATTCACTGTTCCGAGAAAGCGGAAACCGTCGAAATTCTCCCGCCTTCGCGTGCTGCAACCCGGCCGAATCGCGGCGCCCGTGGCTTGTGCCGTCGCGGGCTGGTGTCGGGCGCGATTCGAAACGGCCGTTTAATACGGAACACCTGCCCTAGCCGGGGGAATCGCGGAGGGTGCGATGGGCCGGGTGGGGCAGGCAGGTAAACGGTCGTCAGGCCGAATGTAACCAACGTTGCATATTGGTGCGCTTATGTTTTTTTTTTAAATCTAACACGAATACTGCGACTAACGTGCAGTTCGATTTAGTGCCAGACCAGGACAGTTTGAATATTTTATTTTCTGGTATATAATACAAAATTTTCAAAAGCTTGTCAACGCACCTGCAACCCTCGGGTGATGATGAGATGTCCATCGGCGGCGGTATTCACTTAACATCAAGTGAACCGTCCGCTCGCTTGACAACTTTTCCCGTAAAAAATAATTGATATTAGTAAAAAACGTTAATATCATTACAGACTAACCGAATATAATAATGGAATATAATAACTGAGTTTTTTCTACGTAGTCGTAAAACTTAAATTTTTTTCGAATCATAAATAGTTGGAAACATTAAGGCAATGTGTCTAAGTTATATTTAAGCGATTAACGTCCAATTAAGTTGATCCCTTATCCGCTGTCGCCGATTCGGTTAATTAAGCTGACGTCGAATGTATAAAACGGCGCCGATATATCTTAAAGTTCCGGCGAGATAAATCTCAGGTTGAGATTTTTCATTTCCCGTCGCCATAGCGCCCGCCGCTTGAAAGCAGGCTTTCATTAATCATATTAGGGTTAACTTAACAATTTGGAGGTTTCATTGAGGCGAGTCACGCGGCTGGTGTTTCTTAAGAGATGAGAGCGCTAGATGGTCTCGAATATTCCGTCTGAATCCACTCTCTGCTTGCTCTTATTAAATGAAATTAATTTTAGTGATTTTTTTTATGTTCATGTCTAATTTTGGTTGTAAAACTATCTATCTCCCGACTATGTGAACTCTGTAGATGCGAAATGTCGGGAGTTAAAAATCAAAGTTAAAAGCGAAAACAACACTAAAATTAGTTTTATTTAACAATGTTTCGTGTCCGTTGAAAGAAGTAATTATGTGTATATATATATGTAGTAATTTGTATATACTACTTGTACCTTTTGTAAAGTTTAAAAGCTATGTTTCCATACGGTAAGTTTCCTTGAATAGTACTACTAAAAGAAATGTATTATGGTTTTCTGTGAAGGCTTGCGAACGTAATTTTTATGCCGGATGTGCCGTCAAATAGTATTATCCAAAAATATATTTCGATCTTTTTACGATAAAGATGCTCTATCTCCGCTCTCCTATTTATCAATCTAATTTCCCACATTAATTCCTTACAAATTGTAAGCTCTAAAGGTTGCATTAGTCTAGATATCCATCTGGCCTATATCTTTCGTGGAGTTAGGTACCGTATTGTGAAATACTTATATGGACAATCTGAGAGCGCTCCGCGGGTCAAACGTTTTCTATGTTTGGCGCGCGAGATTTCCGTTCGGTGTACAAATGTGGCAAGAGAATTGTCGATGGTCATAAGCAAAATTTATATATGAACAGACAAGCCGCAGTTAATTTGCATTTATTTCGTATAATAATGTTACCCCTTCGGATGAGTAGCATGTCTTTCCTTCCCTTCCCTTCGAAAACATTTTCGAAAACATTGTCCCCTTACTAAAGGATTACATTATGCTGAGTACAATAAGGGGGCAATTAGTTAACAGGAAGGACGTTTTACGTATATAAATTGCACATGGACAAACACCCAGATCCGAAACAATTATCTGTGTGTCACACAAAGAGTTATCTCCTTTTGGAATCGAACCCACAACCCTCGGCGCTGAAGCCAATACCTAGGCATCTGCGCTACGGAGCCATCCAATAAATTTGCATGCCTAAAAACTCTATCAGCAATTAACGATCCATATTCAAGGTTGCAGCGAAGGGCGTCTGAGCCGAGCTGATCATCGTAATCTAATGAAGGCGCGGTTCAACGAACTTAGAAACAATCTGTGGCTATCAAACCGATGCAACACTACAGACTCGGGACGGTCGTGGGTCGTACGCGCGCCCCCGACGAAACCACAACGACCTTCTCGTTTGCGCAAACGATAATGGACCTTAAAGATTTCACAGCAAGCGGGAAATTGCTTTGCGGTATCATTGCGATTGGATACGTTATATAATTTTATAAGTTATATTAGCCACTGGCTGTAACAAGTCCTACTCGAGTGTAATTTCGAGTGTTGTGATTAATTAACCGACCCCGACTCCGTTCCCGCCTTTTTATACAACCGTTTTCACGTGCACCGATGAAGTATGACTTTCGTCGTTATTAGAGAGTTCGGGAACATTACTCATTGTACCATCGTCTATTTTTCAAACGGCTACGTTACAATTTTGTACGTGACTGTGTTTAATGATTGTGCGTTTTCTTTAACTATTGTGGCTTTGGCCATTCTTATGAGTACTCTTTGGATAAATATCGAAAATTTTAAAAAATAACCCCCTCTTTAGATTAATGATTTGTTTTACCCGTACCTTTTAATTTATTACGGCATTGGTCATAGTTGGTGTTTTTCTTATGCAGTTATTGATTGTGTTTGCTCGAACTACTAAAATAACCAGTGATTTTTCCAGCAACTTTAACAGCAATTTCAAATCTGAGCAAATATCCACGGTCTAGTAAAATAAATGGTTATTTTACTAGTCCGTGGATATTTTCTCAGATTTGAAAAAATAGCGATGCTTTTGGTGATAACGATAAACATTGGCCACAACGAATAAGCGTTTAAACGTTACATAAACGCGCTGAAACAGCGCGAAACGAAATCGCTATAAAAGTAACGGCTTTAGAGATGTATCGACAATGCGCTTGCGCTCCGTCATAACTATTGGCATTTCGACATTTATTGTGATGTTCGCGGGTATTGCGGACTTCTAAGCGAGTCCGACGATTACGGTAATTTAGATCATACTAGGGTTGCACAATCTTTTACGAAATTATAATGGACCGTATTAAATATGTTCTTACTATCTGAGTGGTACGAGAGTACCCAAACAAATTTGACGGTATTCGATTGAATCGTTTGAAGACCGAGGTAAGGTTTATTTTTTTCCCAACCGGCTGGTGCTTAATTACTCTTTCATCTGAAGTAGAAGAATTTACACTTTTGCGTTTCATTTACCCTGTGAGGTAACTGGGACCCTGTTACTTCCTCAGGTGCAGGATAAAGGCGGCGGTAAATGCTTAATGGTAGGAACCGATTGCTACTTCGCCACCATTTTCATCGTCAGTTTACCTATTTGTCTTAATATGTCCAATTACGTCTTGAATATTGTTAACCCTTAAAATGCGAAATTTGTTGTTTCATCAATTATTGTTAGGGTTAAATTATAAATTTAAATTGTTTATAGTGCCAATCTTTGCACTTAAGATTGAACATTAAACATTTTAAGGGTTAAATTATTGTTAAATTATTGTTAAATTACATACCTACTCTAATCGATCCCTATCGAGTTTCGTTGTCTATCGCCTGGAGATTAAACGGCGTTGTTAATTAGCTAACTGTAGCGAACGCAACACTGCATCTCACGTTTTTTTTATTTGAAAATGATGCTTCGTTCGTTGGACTGTCCTAGAATAGACCACTCATCTGGCAACATTGCGCCGCGTCTATCAGAGTCATGACGAATCGAAATGGGTATTCTTCGCCGAGATCCCTTCGCTCGCCGACATCTTGTTTGGACTAAGCGTTCAGACGCGGGCCGTTGACTTTATTGCGATAGAGTTGCGTGCATGAGATACATTTATACAGTTTGGTATATTTTTTTTTTTTACTTTTAAACATCCCATTGATTTGCTACTGGCAACAACAAATTGTAGGTTACGATTTATTTTTCTAAATGTGTTTCTTTTTAAATGTCATTAATTTAATTCATAAATTCGATTGAATACAAATTGGTTAAAAATATTATATTTGAACAATTTAGTGTCACGATTAAAATTTGTAGCAATATATTTAAGTGTTATATTACATGTTAAAACATCGAGTTTTGTACTGCCACAACGCTCCAGCCTATGGCTTGGTCAGACTACTTTATATAACGGTTTTCAAGTACATCCTGGTTGATAGACTCCGTAATAGAACAAATGAGATCCTCCGGCCTCCGCTTTCGAACTCATTTAGTCGTCTTTCTGCTTAATATACATGTTTTAAAACCACATGGTTTATGTTGTGTGACATATTATTATTGTGATATTATATTATATAAAATTGATTCAATTTTAGGGAATCCGAGTTATTTATTAAAAATGATAGTAAAATGCATGATGATACTAACAAACGATAAAAAGAGGAATATAACAAGACTAGCCTCTTTAGGGTGGAAATGAATACCCCATGGATATGTATTTGAGAGTGTTGTTTCCCTGAGATGGCATATTCAATTTGTGAGATAAAACTCGTGAGTAATCAAATCGTAGCTAATGTGAACATGATTAATATTATAATAAAAACATTTTTCTGTGATTATCGTAAAGTCGATAAACAACAAAACCCAGTTTTGGTCGAAACGGATTATCTTAACGATGTTACTGTTAACGTCTTCCCTTTGTTCAATAACAGACAGATTACTTCGGAGAATTCAATGCTATTATCATTGGAAGTGTATGTAAATACTTAGAATATAAATTATAGCAATTTGCTTCTTTAATACGTATAGCGGAGGATTAACACAATGTGCCAGCGTCATTTTATATTTCGAATACAATAGGCCTTCAAAGTAATAGTGCTTTGAGGTATAGTGTTCACCTCCAAAAACTACATCATACCTTCGGGCAAAGTAGAGGAGTTTAAGTAGAAAAGCAAACCCATGCTAGGTAGAAGAAGAAGACCTTCAATGAGAATCTAAAACAAACGAGTTTCCTATTTAAAACCAATAATTTCTATGTTATTCTGTCCGAAATAATGCAAGTCAAAACTCGTGTACAACTGAGGTTGATTTTTAAAAACAACAATGTCTATCTGTGTATTTCTGTACGACAAAATCTGTACACCAGTTTGTATTTCTGTACGACAAAATGTACACCAGTTTCCTTGGAAAGCTCTCCGAATTCCGTAGGTAGGAAGTAATTAGAATTTATCCATTGTATCGCGTTATCTGCGCTTGTAGCCGCGTCCAGCAATTGTTCTGCGGGTCTTGTTCGTGCGCGCGTTTGCTCTTTTTGGTCTGCCCCTTGCTTCGACAATAGACGAGGTTAGTAGTCTTGTTTCGCGTTTGGAAGGAGCTGGGCTTTGATAGTTTCAAACTTTACTTTTTTCTGTCTTGCTGATAATGATCGCTGCTTTCTTAACGTTTCTTTCCTGGACAATTCTAAATTCGTGAACCGGTCACAGGTGTTGACGTTTATAAGTGCCTGAAACAAGTCAAAACTTACTAAAATCGAATTCTCTTGATGTAGTACGTCCTTCTTATCTGAATTTTTGCAAACATAATAAGATGACAGTAATTTCATTAGTTAAGCTACCGCCGATTATTATTTTTTCCTTGTGACATTTTCCAGTATTGCTATGCATTCATTTTCGATTCCCGCCATTTTTAGAATATTTCTCAGGCATGTTTGTTTTTTATCCTACTAACACTTTGAACATACCCATATTGAAGGATAACATTATTTCTTGATACAAGGGCGGTGTGGTAAATGTACATTAATTTCTCGTTTCATAGATCTTCATGTTAACATATGCTTTTGTTTTGTTAACTTCTAACAGAAGTCTTCTTAATATGTTTTTGTCTCCTCCGACCATTAGATGTCGAACTGTTCAAGGGAGAAAGTACGCTTACTAAGCGAAAGGTACATATAACTTCCATAATAGACCAGGGCAACAGATGGGCGCTGCATCCGAAATCTGATTCCGGTGCAGCCCACGCTGGGTTTCGAAGGACCTCCGGCGCGTATATAAAATGTTTGTCCGACCGTTCACGCTCCGGCGGGTGCATTATTCCGGGCCCCTTGTGACGCGTACGACAGCTGCGCCAACGAACACTAGCTGCGTCCCTTTCTAACGCCCGTCCCTCCGTCATCCCTCTCTGTCGCACGGTAACGCACGTCTGTCAGGATGCGCGGGCGCAGGGCGCCCTGGTGGAATAGTATCGATCCTATGGTCCTAGTAATGTCAGTATTATTCGATTAACAAATATAATAAAGATCGTTAGCATAGTAATATAATAAACATAATAATCTTTATTGCCATTGAAATCGTTGTTTAATAAGATGACGATATAGTGGTGTATAACAGCTTATGAACTTCAAGTTTAGCCTTTACAATTAGCATGTAAATAATATAAAATCAAAGCCAGTACCGCCACAAACAGGAGTAAATAAAAACAGAGGGTATTATATATGACTCCAAGTTCAAACATTACAAATAACATGAAAATATTATTGAAATCAAAGCCCATAACAAACAGGGGTACATATAAACAGATAGTATAATATTCTTCATGAAGTTTTGATTTTCCTAAGTTCATGTAAAAACTATTTAGCCTCACAATTCAGAATTACATCAAAAGTACCCTTATTATTGACAAAACGTCCCAATGACCTTAAAACTTAATTCCTTTTAAAATGTTCTTTCAATTAAGTTATTTCCGCGGTTAGTGTCACTCTTCAATTCGGACGGATAACAAAACACAAACTAAACTCCACCCTCGGCCCCGTTCGGCGTTCAATGCAACGGCCACGTGTTCCGTGCGTTAGTTTTTCGTATGTTTTTTTCGACGATAGCGTTCAGTTTTTTTTTTGTTAAACTTATTTGGTCTAGTTCTTTTTGTTGCACGCATAGAAACGTAACGCGGAAAAAATGTTTTCGGGATGTCGGGGATCGAGTGTGAGTAACAATTTTAGGTGGTAACAGAATCGGCTTTTATATGATTGGTTTAAATCTAAGTCTTAATCATTCAGTTATACTAAATCACATTTATGCCTATTTTCGACTTGCAAGTGTTACAGCCAGTGCGAAAAACATCTCAGTGCTGATGAGTTTGTAAATTGAAATTGAATTTTTTTAGAGTGGAATGCATGATTCATCTTCTTAAGAAGTATCTTCGTGTAAGAAGATGAAAAAAAGAATAATGTTACAAGTATTAAGACCGAGCTTCACTGAAGCGAATACAGGGCTCATACTGGTCCCTTACCAAAATAACATTAACGGGACAGCGAAGAACGCCGTTTCCGCTTTAATGGGTTTTTAATGGTGACGAGTAAATAAATTAACAGCCGCTAACTGCGATTCTCTACTTCCAAATGAACCCGTTCCGATGGCGGTGCGTGGCTAAATGAACGCTTTGTTTGAGTCCGAACTTCCACGCAGAGTAAATAAAAAAGTAACAACCTACCCGTATGTACGTATGAACCGCTGCTTCCTCAGCTCAGAGGGTATTCACTTTACGTATCTTCGAAATATTTTTTTTAAATTATTATTTCGAAAATGTACACAAAGCATTGATGACGATGATGATGTTTTCACCACCGCATAGCACGTGAAAAGTCAGCACTTTTTAAAGTTTCAATTAACAATTTCATTGGTGCCGGCACCGGGATTTGTAATCAGGTTGCTCGAGTATACAAAACTAATCGCGAGCGATCGCCTGGAGACCGAACTATACCACGGATAAAAAAACCCGGCCAAGTGCGAGTCGGACTCGCACACGAAGGGTTCCGTGCCATTTATCTATAAAAACAGCAACAAAATTATATCCAGGATTAAATATTTTTATTCTGATTTTTAGTAGTATTTGTTGATGTGGCAGCAACAGATATTACATCATCTGTGAAAATTTCAACTTTCTAACTATCACGGTTCATGAGTTACGGCCTGGTGACAGGCAACGGAGTCTTAGAAATAGGGTCCTGTTTTACCCTTCGGGTGCGGAACCCTATAAAGATGCCGATTGAACATCTGTTGAACTATGATTCATCGACATTTCGGAATTTGCAGATCGCTCATGATAATGATATTTATACCTTTAACCGCATTTGATTTCGTAACTTTTTTGTTATTATTAATACTTTTAAGACTTACAATGTTAGATCATAGTTAATATTAATTATGACTAAAAATACTGGCACAGACCGTTATCCGTCGAAAGAATCAAAATTGAAAGAATCGTTCGTTACAGAATCAAAGTTATCGGGGCTTGTCATCAACAGCGGGACATCCCCCCAACATTGGGCCGAATCATTAAGGAGAAATCACTTAATATCAAGATTCCCAAATTAATTACCGGGGGACGTTAATTAACTGAGTTGTCTAACGTCCGAGCGAGAATTTACGCCGACCATAACAATTACATTTTATACGCAGTTTGATTGAAGTATTTTATGTGCGTTGTTTATTTTTTTATGAGTAACGACTCCCACAAGTTCGATAGGGTTAAAGAGCTATAAATATGTAGAACGCACTCAGTTTACGATTATACCTGCGGCTTAGATAAAACTATTTCCCCGTTTTATTATAAGTTTTTAATTCCTTCGGTAGGCATCCTAACATTATAGTCGACACGAGCTACCGTCAGCTTTTAAACATTTGGAAGTCATTTAAAACAACGTTAACATTTATTTATTCAATAATGAATACTATCAGTTGTTACAATGGCGCGGCTAGAATATCTATAAAATAGTTTTATTAAAGAACATAATGACAACGATAAAAGAAGTCGCTAATGGCGACTGTTTAATCGAGCCATCGCTCACCGGTGGCGTTAGCGAATTTGGTCACGTCCCGAACAAAAAGACATGCGTACATGTGTGTAGTACAAGCACATGTGATCCGTTGTCAGCGCCACATGTCGCGCACTTGAGTCCGCTTTTTGTCGGGGTTCGGTTATGGGAACCGATCGCTTAAACTTGGATTGGATGCGCGGCGTCTCTATTTCTATCTCCCTCACGCGAGTGCTCTCTTTTCCGCATCTTGTATTTATCATTTTATAACACTCTTTCAAATGTATTGACATGTTGCTTTTGTTTTCAATTTAAAAAAGTAAAAATTATTCGATTTGGCACGAAAACAGTTTCGTTAAAACACGATAAACTGTTTTAATATAACTGTTTTAAGAATTTTATTGAGATAAAATCCGTAAAATAGTTTCGACTATGTGTAGTATTCTAATAAATTATTACGACTCGACTTAATTCAATTCTTTCTTTTATGAAACTGGCCAGTGTTTGGCTGCTTTGCTATTCGATTCTAGTGTTGTAAATTCTATTTAACTTAAGTGTTAAAAATAATTTAAATATTAAATTAATGCAATAATACATTGTGTACGATAAAAGTGTAATCGAATGTCGTGCTTTTCGTTTTTCTAAACCTAAAAACCAACATAAACAAATGTGGTTAATATTTTTCGAACGATAATAAAGTTACCGTTAAAAATACATTCTATTGTCATTCTATTCGATATTCAAATAGCACTTGGACGTTTCTATATCCACAATTTTATGCCGAGTAACGTCGATATCATCTCGTGTGGCGCGGATAAAACTGTTATTTCAATACGCTTTATCCACAAATAAGAAATAGGTACGGCTTTAAAGTATCATTTAAGGTTTTATTCGGCTCGGTTGGAGGGCGGTCCTTTTCGTCGGCGCCCGCGGGAAGGCATCGCCGCGGGAAGCATGGAAATATCCACAAGCATTTTTATGTTCGCCGGGCTGGCAGGTCAAATACCTTAAATTAAGATTTATAACTCTTTAGCGTCGTGCCCGTCTCCCACTGGAGTATTTACTCAAGGCCTTACGGCTTCTGCCGATACGAATGTTTGACTAACGCCTCAATAGATTCACGTTAATGCGGTATGTTAAAAATTCGATAATCGCGATTATGGAACCTACATTTTTCAATGGAATTAAACTTTATTTTTTTTATATTATCCTGGTAGTTTATAGTTAGGCTATGATTAAATACGACCAAATTTTTACTCTCTGCTGATGCTCGTCTTGCACTGAGATCACGAAAGCAATTAACACTACAAAACTTTTTTGGGAGAAGGATGGAAAAAAGAATGCGATTCTCTTGATGTTAGGTGGTTACCACCAAGAATATGTTCCATTAAATATATAAAAGAAATAATATATACATATATATATATATATATATATATATGGTTTAAGAAATGTAATATTTATTTATGTATTTCCATCTACATTTGTTGCGAATGATCCGCTTTAATTAGACATAAACGCTCGGATTATATAACAAAAAAAGGCGCCAAAATAATCACGATTTGTCCGTTCCGAACATTTCGAATTTGTCGTTTTTCTTTAACTTTGACAGCTTACACTCAATTTCGGTCGGCCAATGTCAAATTAAAAACAAAAAGAGCAACGAAATCGGAGTGTGCAGCCGCGCGGCTACCAGATTGCGTCAGCGTGCGAGCACAGTTTCGTGATCCGAACATTGGAGCAGACGACGGGTGCATCGGCGGTTAAATAGAATCGCGAGTGCGTCTGTCAATTGCTTGTCAATGCACTGACAGCCCCACGCGGGCCGCACGCTTTCTCTCCTGGTAACGCGTTATTCTATCTAGTTTTTCAAAAGCGTTTAACGTTATATTATTACGTTATTTTTATAAAAATCGCGGTCCAATCCGATCCTTTTCGTTGTTGTTTATGTCTCAATCTTTAAGTTAGGATTTTTATTAGCGAGAATGCATAAAAGTTTTGCGAGGATGAGGACTCTTAAATATTTGAATGTTATTTTCCTTAGCAAATCCGTTTCGAAGTGTTTGCATCGCGGTATCGTATATGAACAAAGTCAAATGATCGATGTAAGGGAGCTTAAACAATATGAATCTTTGCGACCTTCGTAACCGGCTGATGACTGTATCGCAACAATAGCTGCGCAGTGTACGTATGGGTTGTGGTCGGCCGATTTCTGGCCGTGGTTGACCGCGACACATAACCGCTCGAATTAATTCGGATGGCCTTGTATGACTTAACGGTCTTTCGTTGTTGTATACATTGGCGGTCTTTTTAATGTTATTTCATGTTTCACTTTACGCAATCACTTATAAGCGCTACAGTTCGTTTCGTATGTTAATAAACAGAGAATTTTATTTAGTTCGTTAATAAAAGACAAAAGAAGCAAATATGCTGCACGTCTCTATGTCGGCTCGACTTGATTACATCTGATACTGTTATATTATAGCAAGTACTTAATAAAGATTTTGAACCACATAAAAATCCATTGGGGTACATCGTTGCAACTGCTGCTGTCTGGATGATACTGAAAGCTCGTTGATTCCGATTCACACGGTATATATATATATACACTTTGAAGTAACCGCCCAACGCCTGTTAATTGAGCCGATCGCATCTGTATCATCGAAGCCCAGCGTAATTGAGCGCGCTCTGGAGATTCTTCAGTTATTGCTCTATTCTCAGGCTCGTTAGATTGTGAGAGTTCCAGGCCTCCGTGACGAAAGCCAAACGCACGTACGCTTGTTTATATCTTACGAAAACAATTACCTTAATGCATCATCAACATCCGGAAGACGTCCACTGTTGAACAAAGGCTTCTTTGAACTGTCCTTTGAAAGGCCCCCAACCAGGCCTCCTTTGGAAGGACTTACAGGAACATTACGAAACGATATTTAGAGACTGCACTAGGTACATTGAGGACATCGTCAGAGCCGCGGGCAAATGGCAATGCAATACGTAAAAATTTTACGTTCATCTGTTAAATTTGTCCGCTGAGCGGATCACGAACCTTATTAAGCTCCACCTGAATAAGGTTCGAATTTCCGCAACGAATTTTCAAGGGAATTTTCTTTGGTCCACCAAACCCTAGAAAATTCTTTGAAGAACATTTAGTTAATAATTGCATTAACGTATAAAATCAAGGTATTTGTACATGTTACTGTTGATAAGTTTTTCGATGACCACTAACTATTTAATGCTTTAGCTTTGAATGAGGAGAAGTACTTATACATTTAAGTTATTGACTTTAATTGATACTTTAATAAAGTTCAATGTCGTTGAGCCACGCTTCTGTTTTGAAAGTCAGACTTCTAAGACCTGAATATGCAGGATTTATGCTGAATTTTTAAATCTAAAATAACACAGCACAAATTAAAATCCTACGATATAAACATTATAAATAACAGAGAAACAGAACCTATTTCGTTTCCGAAAACCGCTTCAAACTAAATGAAATTCAAAGGTCCAATCAGCGGTTGGGTATACCCCTTAAGTGTAATAGGAGCAGCGAGTCTTTGACTTGCAGATCGCGATTAAAATTGCCAGTCTGCGCTCGTACGATTTCAGCGTGGCCCTAATAGACCCCGTTAATGGTCTATTGGGTGGATGAAGCATACAGCTGTGGACGTTTGTTAGCATTCATACGTCCTTCTACTGCCCAATTGCTCTCGCGTCGCGCATTGTGAATTCCGCTACTATGAACCGCAACTGCATTCAAATAGTTTTCCTGTCTATTTTAATTACTTGCAATTCTAATTATAATAGTTTGAAGACTGCCTATGCAGTAGCCAGTTACTAGTTAGTTAGACCCAGGCGGTAAACTAGTTACTAGAAATCTTAACAGTTATGTCTTCATAACCGCCAAATTTTAAGTGGATATAATCACCTGATGTCAATGAACATCAGGTGTTGGCTACAAACAGCTTTAGATTGAGGAGATGCGGAGAAAACAATATCGTTCCCAATTTGGTCAAAATATTGGATAATTGGATTGGCAGTATTTTTTTTATTTTGGAATAATATGGTTTATATAGATTGTACGAATGAATATACATTATTGCACACCAAAAATAAAATAAAAATTATGTGGAAGTTATGGGTAAATAGGACGGCCTTATCACTAAAAGTAATTTCTTCCAGCCAACCTTGTGTAGTCCAAGATTTTAGTTAGTTAACTTATTAGCTGCAACCTAGAATAAAACTGCAGCTAACGATTTAGAATTTGCTGGCAGTGTATCGTTGCGTTGCCTCCAATCGAATACGACCAATATTTGCTATGAATCCGCTTGTACATATACGAGTATATAATGCACCGTCATCACAGGACAAGCTTCTCTTAACCTCACTAAGGCTAACAGTAAAAGCGTAACAAGAAATCGAATCCCTGTGTTGCCGTTAAATAGCATTTAGGAGTTCGTTATCTCGATGCCTTCGCACAACAATAGGGTTGCCGCGCCTCTTAAATCGCGATCACATGAGAGCGCATTGTCTCGGCTCGCGATATCGCCATCCGATAGTCCACTAATGACACGGCCTCTAATTGTACACTGAGTACACAGTGACCAACGGCTAATCTATTTCGGCATTTGATGCTAATTTGTCGCCTTGCAACATTAATTACTCGTTTCTCGCAGACCGCTCTCCCCGCATTTGCATACGGAAACAAGCATAAGACGGTTTGTAGATCTGGGCTAAGGTTCAAGCTACAACAGAAAATGTAACTACAAAACAACAGAACATATAAAGCTGCAGAAAATATCAGTACTACAAAACTTCGTATTGTATAAGAGATATTAGCAATGAATAATCTTTAAAATCCTGCAAGGCTAAATCGCAGCAGGCATTGAAGTCGGTAGAAAAATAAACAATGTTACACGTCACCTTGTTTTTATAATTTCTTTTTTCATCTATTTGAATGAAAGATGCTAATTGATTTTTCCCTTTTAATGTAGAAATCACATCTCATCTTTAAATGTCGTCCCAATTTTCTTCAATCGGATTCTGCGTCCTTACTTCGGTGCTGGTCTGTCGTGGGTCGTTTATACACGTCGCCGGTTCATTAGGACCGCATTAGCCAGGGCCCGCGGCGCTGCAAATCGCGGAGGTCGTTTATCCAAACCCACGCTGCGGTCAACAACGCCCTACCCGCAATTTGTGCGATCGCCCTAATCATAGATGGCCGTGAGTCAGCTTCCAGCGGCCGAATTGACGGCAGCGAAATTACGGG